TGGGGCTTGTCTTTCCATAAATATTCTTTTAATCCTATACGTTTATTACTAAGTTCTTTAAGATGAGAGGGAAGGTTATATTTTAAGTTATTTACAATTTTCTGAGTTGCTGATGAGTTCACCAAGTAATTTATTGTGTTTTCAAAAGAGAGACAGCAGCATAAAGTGTCAAGTTATTAACCACTCTAAAAAAGGTTCCAATTGGTTACCTCTACTCTGTTGATGCTACTTATATCTCCAACAAGCAATAACACCGGGTCATGATATGATGATACTTCATGAAAGTTAGTAATGTATACAGGAACAGAAATGTTCTTTTATAAAGCTATATCTAACACAACGGAGCTCTAGTTGAGCGATGTGTAGGTCTAAAGGGTGACTAAAAAAAAATTCATTATTTTCCGCCCAATGTTCTAAAATCTTGGTATTTGGATCGTCCTTCCTGCTGTTCCATTAAGAATGCTTGCAATATAGGCCTTGATGAACCTGGTTAGTATTGTTAAATAACTTATATAAGTCCTCCTTCAATAATTCTTTTCCAGGTGATTTTATAACAGGAAAAATTACTCGCTGAACCAAGTTTTCTTGAAGTTATGCATACTTCGGGAGCCACTATATTTTAAAATTTTAGTATTTAATAAGGGGTGCTTTGTTTGTCCCTTAACAAGTATAACTACGCCCCCCCTCCCAGTTTCCAATCTTGTCGATATATATCATAATTTGGTATATAAAACTTATTGCCGTTTTTCAAATAGGATTCTGATATTAAAATGAGGTCAAAATTCAAACTATTGGTCAATTTCCGGAGCTCTAATTTTTTTATTTTATATGCCATCGGCATTCCAGGAGGGTCTTTTAAGAGGATGCCAACTAATTGGCGGTTTCATTCGATTATTAATTTTTAAAAATAAATCCCTAATCGATTTGGATATTTGAGGACTTATCGCAACAGTTAAAGAGTTTAAAAATAAGTTCATCGAGACTAGTCGAAGTTTGAGTATGTTTACTATTTAACGCTTTAGCGTAGCTTTTCGTAAAAGATACCAAGTTCTCCCGAGTTTGAGATATAGGCTCATCAGTATAGTTGTTTCTTTTAATCGGCGTATTTTAAGGGAAATACAACCAACCTCTATAGCTTGCAGTGTTCTCACCTAAACAGTTTACACATTGGGGTTTCTCTTCTCTAGGTTTAGGGATGGATTTGAAATCGTAGTTTTTTGCACATTTAACAGACTGGAATTGAAAAGTGCAGAATTTATCGGTATGCCCGAATGATTGGCATCGAAAACATTGTCCAGTTCTACCATTTTTTTAAAAGGTTCAACCGAAAAACGGAAATATAACCAATGTTTTTGACTTTTAATATAGTACTTTCGTTTTTTGGGAGCTTTTACTAATACGAGGGGCAAAGGGGTTCTGTTTTCATCATATTTTCTCATTCTAATAACTTCAGTGGGATGGAGGCCTTTTTTTCCAATCCTGTTTTAACCCTCTCTATATTCATCTCAATAAAAATACCTCGAAAAACAACCTTAAGTTCATTTCGGAAAAGAGTCGATAAGTGTAGTACTCAAAGTTTTCTAGAGCTAAAAGAGAAGTTAAACGTTTGTAGTCTTGCTCACTAGGCGTATAAATTCTAATTTTATGATTCCAGTTCCTTGCCCCAGAGATTTCGATGAAGTTTATCTTTATTAAATAGGCAAGTTTGCTCCAGTCGTCCCTGTGGCATGTGTTAACAGGTTGGATTTTAAATTTTATTGTACTATTAATATTATTAAAGTTATTATTACTCGTACCATTATTATTAGATGTAATGTCTATTACTATTTTATCGGTGATAGTATTACTATTACCGGTTGCATTAATATCTTTATTATTAGTAGTATCATTGTTAATACGCTTATTATAGCTATCCTTATATTTACAGAGGATACCTGATTTTATGTTAGCTCCCTTACTAAGACTACTATTTGTACATAATTTACCACAATAATTGTGGTTATTTTTCTTGTTATAATTAGCATTATTGTTACTATTGTCTATGACGGCATCCAACAATCCGCTATCCTCTAATATATCTATATTATACTTTTCCGAGCTTTCCAGAGTTTGAAGAGCGGTATATGGGTTAAAATTGGTAGTAGCCATTGTTAGGGTATTTAAATCTTTACTGACTTGTATCTAAACCTTTAATCCCATTAAAATTAATTGTAAACATAAGTATATATATATGTACATAAGTGACTCAAACAAAAAAAGCACTAAAAAAAAATTTACACGGCTGCCCGTTTATTTTTCATGAACCTTCATTAAATACAACTAAGCAATGAAATAATCAATAATAATCGTAAGATTGCCTAAAAATGGTAATTTGCGTTAAAACTTATGAACGGGATCTTTTCTTCAACAACTGTTATTATTTACCTCAACAGGTTCTTTTCGTCTTTTGATATTTTTATAACTTTTTTTCTTCTTTTCAAATTGTCATAGTATTTTTTTTAAAATTTCTAGCTCCTTCTTGAGTTGAGTTCATAGTTTGCGGCCAACAAAGGGGCGATAAGTTCTTGTTTGCTGCAAGTAGAAGTGAGATCCATGAAAGGAAGAAATTAAAAGAGAAAAAAATCAAATAAAAGGAACAAAAAAAAAAGTTTTCAAAATAATTTAATATAATAATAATAATAACAATGGCACTAATAATAAAATAGATAAATAAATAAAGTAATACGATTAAAGATAAGCCTTCACGAGGAAGTTGAAAGTTTTCTAATAAAGTTTTGGTCGTCACCTATACACCGCCACTGTGTTCGGAGTTGCTTAAAAAAAATTCATATATATGCTATACATATTAAAACAATTGATTTCATAAGGTACCTAATAAACATAATTAGTTACCCTCAATAATTTAAATTTTAGATCAGTGCTGTAAGGTGATTAAATTCTGAACATTTAAAGCATTTCCATTATTCCAGGTTCTATAACCAGCTTGAATGAGGTATGACACGAATTACCATTTGAACTTGATAAACTTTCACTGTTTACCTTTAATCAAATTATAGGAGTATTTATGGAAAAGTTGTTCTTTTATTAATGTATTTTTATTACTAACTTAAATATACAAGCTTACTAAACCAATTATAATTTATTACTGTAATTGTTTATGGTATATTCCACTTATAGAGCACGTTTGAATGAGATAGGCTCCACACAACTAAGGTTTTACGTTTTTCTAATTATAGCTGATGGATTTTACCAATTAAGTTTATTATTAAAACTATGCCTATATAATCATTTTAACCTTAGTACGGAGTAAGGTTTTTAGAGTACGTTTAGTAAATAAGGCTGAATTTAGCGTTGTTACTGGTTATCTAAAGGATTTTTTTAAAATGAGCTTAACGTCAAAGGACGAGTGCACTCATAAAGCTTGATAGCTCCAAAAAAATTCTAAACAGATTAAAAAAAACTTTATTTAAACATTTAATATATTCTACGCCCTACAAAATTTCAGTCATTTAATGAATTGTTGACTTACATGACTTCCGCTATTAATGGTAGGAACTTAGAAAGTGTAATAAAATCAGTACACAAGACATATTATCACTTATGTGACTTAAGGGAGCTGCCGATACGCAAAAAGCCATAACTTTAACGCAAATTGCAAAATTTATTAGTATAAAAGGCTGAAGGACTGAATGGCAAGCCACATTTAGAAAATGCTGCTAACCACTGATTGAGACTTCTTTAGGTAGAGTACCGCCATTTCTCATCCACAAACGCTTCAATTGGTTATGAAAAACCATATTTAATTTGTTAAAACCCGGAATCTTAAATAGATAAAGCAGTCTTTAACCACAATATTTAATTTCTGTTTCATCACTTATTATTTAGAGGAGCGGAGTAATGGACAGTGTTATTTTTTACCTATAAACACCTACTTAGCGTATAAATGGAATATAAAGTTTACTTGGACTTAGGGAATAGTTTTGCATATGATTACTGTTTGAGTGAAAGTGAAAGCAAAAAAGATTCACCTTTCTAAAGTGACCCTGTAGGTAGATGTGAAAACCTACGTGAAAATGCACTTAAATGTGTAGATTTTTTTTAAAATGATAAAAAGAGGAACAAAAAATTTTGTACGCGTTTCAAAGTAATTTAATTTATAGTGACTTACAGAGTTAAATTAAGTGTCTTCTTTTAGGTATAAAACTACTGGAGCACATCCCTAACGAGAAAGTGCTAATAAAAATTTAGTCTCCCTGATAAAAGCAGTGCACGCTATAAGTGGTCCGTAAACGAAGCCGCTATATTTCTTAGCTTGATTTTTAACAAATTCCACGTTGACACCCGAAAAACACAATAATCTCAAGTATAAAAAATAAATAAAGCGGCCTTAAGCGAAAAGTTGATAAAGGGTATCACGAAGATCTTCTAGTAACTTCAGTCGAGTATTACAAAACTACTCTTTTACATCCCGAAGAACCTTGCGGCAACACAACGGGGCTGAAACATTCTGTTTTCAGAACCACGTTGCTCCTATATCCTTTTCTGAGGTATCCTTTTATAAAAGAAATTTTGCTCTTCGTCACTATAATTTCTAATTGTTTACTATAAGAGTATAATACTGCCAATATTTCTCCACCGAATCACAGTACCAGACCGCCTATAAAGTGAGAAACACAGTAGGTGTCAAATTTAGGACGGGCATAGATCGTTTTTGATCTACTTTCGTTAAGGCTGGTTAAGGAGTAACAACGCCTTGCTCTTTCATTATAAGGCATATTCGTCCACTTCCAATTTACATGTTTCGTCATATTATTGTAAGCTCAAAATGCCTTAAAAAAAAGTTTTTGACTTTAAAGTAGGAACTAAAATTATAAAATTTATTAGCATAATGAGACTCAATTTATAACTAAGAACAACTTTATTGTTTTAACCAAAAGTTTGTAAATAAAAGTTTAATTCGTAGAGTTCGAATATATAAATTTAAGTTACAAATATTTATTTTATTCCAAACTGGCTAGAAGCTCCTATTAATAGATATTTATACAAGTAAAATAAATAATATTCTAAAAAATATTAATAAAGTCCAAAGTCTACTGACATAGCAAAAGAAACAATAAAAAAAAACAATGAACAGCAAGAGGAAGCAATTACGCTATGAATAAACAAATGAGTTAAGACAAGACCTTCTTTTCAAGTTCCTTTGCCTCGTATAACGCCTTCGCCTCAGAAATAAGTTCCTCTTCTTTAGAAATATTCTCAAGAATAACTTCGTTCTCAAGTAAAGCTTGTTCCAGTTTAGCAGTAACATCGGCACCTTCAAGTTGGGAGCAAAAAAAGTAAACCGAACATAAAGTTTATATACATTATACAAAACCTTTTTTTAATATTTAAAAAATTCATATAATGGTAAATAAGACAACAAAAGTATTACCATCGCGATCTTTTGACTGCAGAAGACGTAGTTTTTCTTTGTAATCCAATATTTCATTTTTAAGATGAGTGCACACTCGATTGTGATTTTCGATTTCGAACTCAAGGCTTTTTAATACACAAAAAATAATTAAAAAAGTAATTAATAAAACATATGTTTATAAAATTAAATACTAGATTAAAGTATATAAAACAAAATCATACTATAAAATTTAAACTTTTATTAATATATATATTAATAAAAGTTAACAAATATATATTTAAACTTAGAGAAAGAAGTAAAAAAATTTATTGTAAAGCATATTAATATTACCGTGTTCGTTCATTTTTCTTATCTTTAAGTTCTTCCTGTAAGAGCTCCTTTTCTTCTTCCTCAGCATCGGGATCATACACTAATAGGAGAAAGATTAAACAAATATTGGGTGCAACGTTCACTAGTAAATAACCATTATCGGGATTATTAGAAATTTGATTTTCTAGATAGTGAATCTGTGTAAAAAGGATTAAAGCTAAAAAAGAATGTGGAGAAAAGAGATGTTACCATACTTTTTCTAATAAAATGTCTCTTCCTTCTTCATTACGATCTAAAGATTCTTGTAAGTATTTAACTTTTCCTGGATATGATTGGTGGACGCTCTCTAATTCGCGAACAGTGTTTTCTATAGGTATTAAAGACAATAAAAAAACTCTAACTTTAATATAATATTTAATAACCCAACTCTTTTTTTTGGTTAAGTAAATCTTCGCACTCGGCCTCAGTAGCATCTAACTTTGCTTTAAGCTCACTAAATTTAGCAGCAGCCATCTTTTTTTTTATAAAGTATGATATATAATGTATTTAAAGCAAAGAGAAAAACACAGGAAATACAAATCAAGCGGAACTATAAATTAAGAGCGTCTTTGATAGCGGCGAAACCCGGCGCAGTGTATCTCGCAGGTGTCGGCCACGAGAGTAGTGTAAGAGTGACCAAAAATGGTATTCAAGCGTTAAACCATATCTGCCAACTGAAACTAATTGGTTACAGATGGTTTATTAGGAAGGCTGGGTTAAATTTAATTTAAAAACTGTTAAAACTTAGCTTAATAAATTAATTTCTTCCCTTTTTAGGTGGGCGTTCATTTTTTTTTGGCGTGGTTGGAAAATCTAGCACGTTAAAATTCCAAATACCCTTGTTTGAGTTTAGCTATTCCCGTAAATATAATTTTTTGCTATTAAAGTTATTGTAAACCATTTAGTAAGGTAAGGGGGTAAGTGAACTATTTAATACCTTAATAAATGCTTTCCTACGCTCTTTAGGTAGGCGGATCCTTAAGGTAAAAAGGTTTAATTGACAAAACAATGTAGGTAAGATAAGCCGGCAATTGAATCCTCAACTTCGGGGAAAAAGTTAAAGAATTTTTTTTACACGCCCTTTTCCCTAGTAAACGATAACACATTAGTTATATTTTATTTTTTAAATAGTTTATAATTCAAATTTAGTAGAGTAAATATTTCAGGGGAGGAGTGAAACATACTGAATGATAATAAAGTATCCCAAACATTCTAAACCCTCAGTCCAACAAGAAGTTCCGGAATAATTGGAAAAACACAAATAAAAAAGTTATTAACCCCAATTTATATATTTTTTTTTGCTCTTTACTTATAATTATGTATCTATATCTTTATTATAACGTTCTTATTTTTTTTTAAAGGAATAATGACTAATGTATTTGGATGAAAATTTTTGTATTTATATTTTTCCTATTATTCCGGAAAATGCTTGTTGTACTGAGGTTTAGAATGTTCTGGACACTTTATAATCATTCAGTTTGTTAGAGTGTATTTATCAGAATTTTGTTTGTGGGGAAGTTTTAAACATAACCACCGGAACTCGTCCTTGAGATAGCGCGATAATGCTCTAACCTCCGAGCTACGGTGACAAGTCACGTTTTCGGTCGGTAAATTATGTATACAACTTTTGTTAACTTTTAATTAGTTAGATATCCTACCACGTTAAAAGGTAGACGTCCACCTTAAGGGTATAGAAAATCATTTATAAAAGTACCTTCTTAACATAGCTAAACAATCCGTAGTGATTAGGCTACTATAACTACAATGGCGGTCGCGTAAAACTTTTAGTAACCTGAGGTGTCTGGGGCATTGGTGGTAAATTTAGTCGACCTTATATTAAAATGTCCTGACCAAACTTAAATATGTCCAACTTTAGTCCAACACTAGTATGAAATAAACCGCCTTGGTTCAGAGAGTATTAACGTTTACTTAACCAAGTATACCATAACTATTAACCTCGCCTTCACTAAGTGTTATCGCCTAGGTAGATATTATAAGTTTTGAAGATAAAATGCGCAAAACTAACTATTGGAATTTGTTAATAGGGAGGTTGTACACGTAACCAGCTAACAGAAAAATTTGAGTTGGCATTACCTGGGAATCAAGCCGCGGCCTTGAGATTGCGCGAAAATTTATCAAAAACTACTTGCACAAAAATAAACCCCACAGAAATAATAAAAGAGAAACCAATTAAAGATATCAAACTATTATTTTGATAAAACGCAATTTTAAAAGTTTGGCAGGGGCTTATAATCTTAAATTTAGTCTAAACAAATATACTTAAATGGAAATGCTTTTTTCGCCAGTTGTAAAAGTATAAAAACGGCTTGATTGCCTAAAATACAACAGCCTTCATATCTTTTGTTCTTGCCCTCTCCCAGTTAATGCCATTGCAATGCTCTTGCCGCCGAGGTACAGTGACAACTCACATTTTTGGTCGATCAATTACGTTTACAAATTTGTTACTAACCGCATAGCGGATGTTAAATGATATCTATCATACAATAATCTCTTGCCACCAATTTAGTATCGTATCAACCTTTTTTTTGCTTCCCACCGCTTGCGGAATAGGCACATAGTTGACTTCTCGTTTGATGGCAACAACTTTTACAGAGCTGGGTTGCTTGGAAATTTTTATGTCAGCAAGAAAAGAGACCCACTCCTTGATAGTGAATTTGAATATTAATACCATCTTTTTGTTGAACTTAAGTTGCGGCTGAATTCAAATAAGCTTTTTCAAATTCTAACAGCTGGTATCATGGCTATTGTTGTTGGAAACAAAGGATTAAGGGGTAAATATATATGCTGTCATAGCTTTTAGTAATTTGCTTAAAAAGAAGTAAGATGGTTTTTGGTTTTTTCGAAGCTATAATAATAAAAAAAGTTGGAGCTCTACAGAAGAGTTGGAGTTTATTAGCAAAATTAAAAACGCTATGTTAACCTTCAAGCTTTTAGGTAACTAAAAAAAATTGGATCCTCCTATTGAAATTATTTGGAGCTAAAGATGATGTAATTTTCAATGTTAAGGACTTTTCACAAGAGAATATTCATCATAACTTCAATTTATGCCGTTAACTTCTGTTTAAGAACTTTTCTTATAAAAAAAAATAAACTGCTTTTTCCATAAGGTAGTGGGTTAAAAAAAAAACAATTGCTACACTACAACTAAAAATTTATTTGAGAAGTTTAAAAGAGGATCATCCATGTTCGAAACTCTGGTTCTCAGTGATTATTTATAGACATAATATCATTGTTAAAAACAAGAAAGCGGGGAAGGATACTTAACTAAAAGTTTAAAAAAGCTAAAGTCCGCTTGTGGGTATAATGTAAAATTTCGACTTTTATCTTGTCAAGCCCCGAGATATCCCTATTACTCTAAAAAAAAAAATCTAAATCTTATTTCTACTTTTGTAAAGCGGAAGTATCGGCCGAGAACCTTAACAAAACCTTTTTAGGGGTTATGAATACCTTTTTTTCCTTTGATAGCCCGTAACCTGCTTAACTCTATCGTTTATGAAATAATGCTAATAGAGTTTCTTTTTAAAGGGTTTTTTAATATACATTTACTTCCAAAAAGAACTTTCTGGCCTTATAAAAGTTTACGTTAAAGGCATTCTATCCCTTTCCTTGGCCTTCCGAAAAAAATGAAGAAAATAATGTTTTCGGATGAAATTATAAAGAAAACGTTGTTTTCTTTAGTAAATAACCGTAGTTCTCTTACAACGAAAGAGAAGGGCTAAGCAAAGAGATTAAAATTTTACTTTTTAAACTCAACAAAGATAAGAAATTAAAAGAACATAATGAAATTTCTTTTTCTAGGATTCTCCAGGGATTTTTCTTTCTTCAGCAAGTAAAACCCTCCTACCGCCCGTCGTTTAGGTGTATGACCCATATTGCAATGTCCAAGTTCAATCTAAATAAATCTGCGTTGTTAACTAAAATAATGTGATTGTCGCACGGTCTATTAATGTAAAATTAAAACAGTTGAAAGTGACAAATTTATTAGGAAAAAATATACGAGGTTATTTACACTTCGGAGACTTTCTGCAAGAAAAAAGATGTTTTTATTATTATTATTTAAAATAGTAACAAGAAATGAAGAAATAAGACACCCACGGGGCCCTCCGATACCGACAATTTTAAAAAATCTTAGCTTTTATTCTAAGGAAATTCAGAGATAATTTTTTCTTTTGCAGGCCTAATATCCATTTAAAGGATACTTTTAATTTTTTGTTTTTTTGTTTATTATTGTTCGAGCAGCCGGGTTATAAACCGGAACGGCTAGATCCTTGAGAACTATGCAGAAGGTGGCGGGCAAGGAAACAAAAAAAAAAGCACGATGGGCGTGTTATATATCGCCTTTTAGAAATATACAAGTATCTAACGGCTACTGAAATCCTGGCTGAAAACCGTCATTGGATCACTTGTCTAAGCGAAAGGTAAAATGCTGTAAGGACATACGCTCGATCTTTAATACATTAAAGGAATTTTTTGTCCCGTCGATGTTTGCACTGCTGAAATTCTCTTACTTTATTGGAGTACGCTGTTGGCGACTGCGATTTGCGGTAAAATGAGCTCGCAACGTGATGTTTGGTACCCTATAAGCCCGATTCCTTGAAAAGCTAATAAAGGGGCTTCTTTTGAAAGATCATAGCTTACAAAAATGTTGAAGACAAACTTGTGTTCAAACTGCGTATACCGTCACATAGCAAAGAAGGCCACTGTGCGCCTAAACTGATAATGTAAAGAAAAACTAAAAGAAGCTTTGGAGGCAAGCAAAAACAGTCGCGCCTTCTGGAAAGACTTCAGGTGAGTCAGCTTTCTCTAGCACGATTTACGGCTAACCATAGCTCAACTGCGATACTGTAGCCGAAAGCGATGAAGATATAGTGAAACTCTAGATGATCTTGCTTCTCAGTATTCCCCGCCTTCCCCCTCAACTGTCCATAATGCGCCTCTTAGGCGAAGTTTTTTTTTCGGCAAAAACGAATGATGCCTTAGGGCAATACACCACAGCTGATAACTGATCAATAGGCAACGCGCTACCAAGCGAATGGCGCCCAGCGCTGACGGCATAATTAACTTAGTGTTAAACAAATGCCGAGGGTGATTATGGTTCTGTGCTAAGCAGCCTTTTGATTACAATAGGCAGATTGGTTGTAGAGGTCATAATGAATCGTTTCAAGACGGTTGTGGACGCTCCTATAATTTTACGTAAGGTTTCCCTTAAATTTTGAAAGGACATTTAACTATTTAACATCTTTTTTACCTAACCGAGCGGATAACTTGAACTTTTAATTATAAGAAAGTTAAGGACTGTCTTTCTCAGCGTCGAGAAGCATTTAATCCAGTACAGCAAGAAGGCCTCTTATAAAGCTACGCATTTTTACCATCATGCGAGCTTCGAGACTTGTTGAAGGCAACGGCCGAGCCTTCAGCACGCTAGAGGGACTTGCATTGTGTCGCCTCGCCATCTCTGAGCGGGAGCCCCGCAAGACTCATTTCTATCATCACTGTCTTACGAGAGAGACGCCTCTTCCAGTCAAACCCTTATAAGCGGGTAGTCCTTTACGTTGACGACCCGATGATTCATTTGAAGTTGATCATCTATCATGTACGCCAACTTTTACACAGCTTATCTTGACGTACTTGCTAGCTGATATTATCATGGAAACCTTTTTATTAATTCAACAGAGAGCAAAGCGTTTTTCATGACAATGAAACGCACTACCCTGCCGACGCTGTTTACCCTTCGGCATAAAAAATACAAGTTGCTCTAGGGTATACCTTAGGGTCTTGTAGTGGCGTTCGCCCGTGATTTTCGAACTGTCAAAGATCAAGGTAGAGCGACTCAGGTCCTATATCCTGGAATTACTGTTTCTATTCAAGTCTTAAAGCTGAATTTAAGCATGTTAGCAAACCCCTAGTAGTAAGTTTTACCTACATTAAGCTTTACTTAAATTCCATTTTAAAAGTTGTATTTAACAAAAAATTAACAGCAAAAAAACTTAAAGTCCTCGGCAAACTTATAAAGAAAAATGTTATCTTAGTTGACTCAAAGGCGTAATTAATTTTATTGTCCTTTACTATATAAAGACAAGTTTGAATCATTAACAAAAATTTTGTTAAACTTATTAATCTCTTAAGAGTTCAATGAACAAAACGAATAAGTAGTCTACACGTAGGCAGGTCAGCAGTACTAATTACTTCTTTATTAACCACTCTAAATTACCTATTTATCTTTTTAAGTAATTTTTACTTATATTTAAATATTTGACGTTAAATCCTGTATTATAGTAAAAAAAGGTGATTACTCAAAGAGGTTTTGTTACAATGCTATATTTAGACCAAAGTTTGTAACGTACTATCCAGGTAATCATGCACCAACCTAACCAATATAAGGTTAAGAGAATATATGGATTATCAAGTTCTTATAATAAAAACAAAATTAACTAAGGCCTAGAAAATGATCGTTTAGCATTAGTAATAAATATACCCACAGGGAAGGCTGGATGCTATGGCAAGTAATTTCTTATATAATAGCTACTATAAGATAACATTTTATCTAAGTTTAACTCGAAAAAAAAACACCGAATAGTTGAGAATTATAACGAACGGTTTAGAATAAAAGTAAAACGGCATAACTTTGAAAATTTGACAGTATAAATTTCCTCACTAACTGAAGGGGCTTGCGATATAAACCAGTGTCGGCGCAAATTTAATTAAAAATGTTGCTAAGGAATTGTTAATATATTAATAAGTATGAGTAGATCCTTTTGGGCTATGACAAACTCCTTAAGATAATGTTTTCTCCATAAGAGGGACATTTTGTTAGCGTGTTATGAGATTTAATTCTTCTTTAACAAGTACTTGAATACAAATGCTACTGTTCAAATAGAACTTATAGTAAAAATAATTTTTATATTGCTTGACAACACAAAATAGTTACTTTCTTAAAAATGATAAAATGAATCAAGCTCCAAAGTATATCTATTTATTTCGACATCATTCTTGACGCGTATTTGTTCTTTCTTAAGCTTTTGAACATTCTACATAACTTACACAAGCTTCCTTAAGCCTGATTGCTGCTAAAAACTGCAACATTTTTAAGTTAACTATCATTAGACTTTAAATAAGTAGACAATTTATGGTATCTTAAGGGTTAATTTAATCCACGTGCGCAAGAATTTCCTTTAGGGAGGCAGTTTTAAAAAGTAAGTTAGAGAATGGCCGGTATGGTGCGGTCGCTTGCCAGCGAATGATGGGCAGACCGAGCTCGGTAATTGCTTACGGGCTTAAGTTTTGGAACTCCGCTTCTTGTTACGGAAAACTTTCAATTATAAGTCATTTTCTTATAATGCTTTAATTTTAATGACCTTTTTTATTTTTTATCTTGAGTTTTTTGCATCTAATTTATAATTAAAAGCTGCTCGTGGGCTATTTATAACAAAATCCGCCCTCGGGATGGAGGAATTTTTTGATAAAACTCCGGTGAGAGAAACTTTACAATACGGTCGCGCTTGGGAGGCAAGTGAATTGAGGCTTAAGAGCAATACCGACCTACACAAGTTGTGGTAGTTAAGTAGTGTATTTGATTTTTATTGTTATAAATTTTTTGTTTAATCGTCTCCATACGCAAATAGGTATATTTTACTTAAAGAAAGAAATTTAATTCTTACTCATCGCTATGATGCTTACCGTGAAAATAAAAAAATGCGTGGTGGCGTAGAACGTTATAAAATGGTAGTGATTTGTTTGACTATTACTTAATTATTAACTTATATTTTAAAATATTATTATTATTCAGGTAAGACAATCAATGGCCAGAATTAAAAAGGTTATCAGCGAACGTGAAAAAGCTATAGATCCACCGGAAAAACGAAAAGTTATCGTAAAGGTTGTTAGATATGTGAGCAAACCTAAAAATATTATACGGCCACTCCTTAAACGGCGAGAACGGAAGAATAAGGACAGGAAATATAAAGCTATTCGTGTTAAGGGGAAAACTATATATATAAAGTACATCAATAGGAAAATTGAGTAATACTTTATTAAATATAAATAAAGCGCGACTCGTAATAAAGATTTGTTAAATATTCTATTGTTTTACCACCAACAGCCGAGTGCATCATATTAGTCCTCCACGAAGGCAATTTTCTTAGAGGGAATATCCTTTATATTTTTTAAAATAGAATTTTGGCTTCGCTTTGCCATCCAAGAAGGGTGCAAGCAGCTCTTTTCTAAAGCTTAAAGCACTATCTTAGTCGACGCACAGTTGTCGTACTGAGAAAGAGAGAGAAACCTTGTTGTGTTTGCACCTGGTCTCCGCTGTTACTGGTTCGCCTGACAAGGTGGTTAGCCTGAGAGCCGTACTTCTCTTCCCACTCTCTAAAATAAGCTTTAGCGTAACGACTGAAAAGAAAAAAAAACTAAAAACCTTCTCCTCTCCTTCTGTCCCTTTCGATTTGGTCTTAACCAAGTTAGCATAGTATTTATTGATAATTCTTTTTAACTTACTTTCGGTTAACAGGGACACTCTTATTGTACTGAATATTTCTTTTGCGATTCCTTGAAGTCAAATATGAATCATAAGACCTTTAAACATATCTCTTTCAGTCAGAGAAAAATACATTATATAGTGCTTAAGTCTCACCAGTTGTTATTTAGTTCTAGATACTTTTGTTTGACGGCTTTGGAATTTAAGACCCGGTAAATAAGAGCGGTGGGCCCACAAGTGTTAAAATCTTCTAAGTATTTTACACTGTTAAATAAAGTAAAATCTTTACTTCGGTCCAAATGATCAATAAGCAATTTGAAAAGTTCGTGCTTGTTAATAAGCTAGAATATATAAAGATTTGGTTGACCCAACTAAACAAAAGTTTGGTACAACCTTCATTTGTTTTAAAAGAAGTTTATAGTTTTCAAGTTTTTTAAAAAAGTTGGTTGTACTTTCTGCTTTGACAGAAGAATTCTTTAATTTAGAGTTTAAGAATTTAATTCTCTTTATAATTCTTAGTTTCTCAAAAAGACATGCTTTTTTAATTATCCGCTCTAGATGCTTGCTATGCTTAATCTATATTATAAAAATTAATTATCTTCGTAGAGGATATAGTGTCTATTGTATAAAGTTTCTAAGATTTTTTAATACATATTAAAAAAAAAAATAAAGAACCCGAAAGTCTTCGTAGTTTTCTCTCATAATATTTTTTGACGGTCTCATTATCTTCAAAAAATATTAAGTTCGTTAAATAAAACAGGAGCTAAGCAAGTTCAAAAAGATCAGAACGTAATTTATCTTAAATAGGGTAGCACTATGAAAACGTATTTATTTATTTATTAATTAATGACAGTTGCTCGGACGCTCGATCGAGTTACTCCAAATACTCGAGCTTTCAATAAGGAGTGGTCCTAGATATTATTTTTTTTACATAAACAAATAATAATAAAAAAACTGGTGCTTACGCGCGTCACGTGGTGGAGAGAACGTGCTCCTTCCCATGGCTCATATAAGTAAGTTCGCTTACCAGCAGGCGAGTAGTGTGCCTGGTGAGCCTGTCGTAAAGGACCAGGTCATGGCGTTGGAAGAGAATGTTTTAAAGGGTCCAGCTGAAGGCCCCGGTGAATGGCATCATTTCGCACAAACTACGGCGCCTTTGTTAGAACACGCAGCAATTTGTTCTTTCGCACTTGAAGTTCCGACGCTATCGCCGTGGAGTTGTAGGTCCAGGCGGTACATGCGTATGTCCTTATTGGCTGGATGTAAGACCAATACAATTGCCGTCTCTTTCGCAGAGAAAGCTTACTCCCTACCGCAAAGTAAAGGATAAAGCGCCTTGGTTGGTGCCTTGGCCTACGCCACTACATAGTCCACGTGAAGCCGCCAGGAAAATCTGTTGCCGATGATGATATTCCCAAGTATTTCTCTTGAGAACACCATGGAATCTTCGCGCCATTAAAGGTTAAGGGGAAATGCATCAACAGAGGGCACGTGTTTCTTTGAAATTAATATAGCTTTGCTCTTTATCGCAATTTATAGTAACCTTCCAATCACGGCACCAGACAGCAAAAAGCATCAAGAAAGCACTGTAGATGCTTGCCACAGCAAGGCGGGAGACTTCGAAGAGGAATATACGGTTGTTCCATTACCGTAGAGGGCAATTCCTGTATGTGGGTCGAACGGCAAGGGCACGTGGCTCATGTAAGTTGCAAATAAAAGGAGTGAGAGAAGTGATCTCTGAGGAGCCCCTGCTGTCAGAGTTCGAAGCGCCGACCGGGTATCTCCAACGCGCACGCTAAAGACGCGACCATTCAGCTATGAGTTCAGCGCGTTATAATGGCCAGGAGGGACGGATAACGAGCGCAGTTTGTGCAGCAGACCTTTCACAAGCCAAATGGTTAACTGCCTTCTCAACGTCAAGGAAGACAGTGCCTGTTGCTTTCTTATGGCTAAAAGCGCGAGTGGCCCATTCACTTAAGCGGAGGAGCTGCTGGGCCGTTGAGTGCCACTGCCGAAAACTCAAACTGGAACTTCCAGTAAAGTTTCCGAGCGTCAACGCCATCTTTCAGACGGCGAACTAAAATGGCTTCGCCCCCCACCCCCCACTTTGGCGGCCGCTGACAGTAGGCTGATGGGTCGGTACACACTAGATGCTGATTCCGGTTTAAGTTTTATGGCAGCATCACAACGATTGCCGTCTTCCATCGAATCGTAAAGGCGCCAAGGAGCATCGAAGATTTTATAAGGAGGTAAAGATAGTGCATCCCTATCAATGGCATTTTCTTTAGCATCCCACTAGTGGTGCCATCGCGGCCTGGTGCTTCTCGTTTAGGTAGCGCTGCGACATTTGCATGCACCTCGTCAACTTTAACCAGGTCAAGTGGTTTGTGGTTAACGGGGAGGGGTAAGCTCAGCTGAGGGAACGCATCATCAATAGCAGTATAGTGAGCAGCTGGCGCATTTTGGATAACAAGAACATTGGATAAAAGCGTAGCTTTATCTCCTCCGCTTTCGGTCACCATATTTCCTTTACGAAGGGGCGGTGGTGGCGCAAGCCCCCTACTTTAGATCCTTTTAACAAATTTCCAAGAGAAGCGACTGCTGCTGCCTGATTCTGATATACAATGCAGTTTGTTCTCCCATTTGCTGTTAAAATGGTTCATTAGCTTTTTCTAACGCACTTGTGAAGTCGATTAAACGCAAGTTTGTCTTCGGAGCTCTGCTACAAAATGGCTACTCGAATAAGAGTCGACATTGGCACATAAGTGCCTTTAATACGTCAGGCAGGCGACCGAGGTGGTACTTTATTCCACGAGTTGTCGTGGCAGTAGTGGGAGCCATGTTTAGTGCGATATCCAAAAGGGCGACAGCAACACCCAACAGGGCGGGCGCGACGATAATGAAGGGCACGGCGGCAGTGTGATTTCTAATACATCAGCATATTTGTCCCAGTCGGTAAAAATACGGTAATGGTCTTTGGTGTGCCCTTCTCATCCCCTAAATCTAGAATAACTGGGAGATGATCGGAGGAAAGCACGTGGAGCTCTTCAATTGCCATAGAGAGAGATATCTTTAAGTATGGCAATACTCAGTACGTCCGTTGTGCCTGTGGTCGCCAAGCGTGTTGGTTGCTGAAGTCCTAGAACGCACAGCCCGGTACAGCCCGGTACAGCCCGGTGCTCGTCAGATAGGCTCAAGTATGTGACCATTCATGTTAGCGACTCGGCTGTTCCATGTAGGATGCTTGCAATTAAGACCTCCTCGCAAAACAGCAGAAGAGGCACTCCCAAGGATGACATCCAAATTCGAAGACGGAGGAAGCTTAAAGGTGATTGTAAACAGATACCGGCCCTTGGTCGGTGCATAGGGAAATTTTCACTGCCTCGACATCTTGTAGAGCCTTCATAGATATCAAACGATGTTCGAATACTCCATTTCACCGGACAGTCACGCTCCCATCGCGGGCATCAATTTTGTCTTGATGGTACATAACAAAGTTGCAGAAGTTAGGTTAGGAAGAAGGTGCGTCTCGTTGATGGCACACACAGCAATTCTTTCTCTTAGTAACAGCTCCTGAAGCTCGTGCTTCTTACTTTGAACACCATTTGCATCCCAGAGTAGGAGTCGAATGGGGCGGCGAGTCTTTGGCTTAGAAACCGTTGCAAACAGATTCCAATCCTTTCACAGTTTCAAGCATTCTGGATAAATTTGTCATTAAAAATGGCTAACATCTGCTGTATTGGCTGAGGTTTGTACTCAGACGAGATGCATAAGAGATTCCCGGGGTAACAGCACTATTGTAGTTGACGCCGACGAAGTAAACTTTGCACTTGGCTGACTGCCTTACGCGAATAATATTTGGAGCCTTGCGAATTAGCGTATGTGTGCCTCGCCACAATTCGCACATCTAGCAGGCGAGTCTCGTGATTTGGTACAGTCTGCGCTCACAAGACCCTTCCCCCATTTAACGCATAGAGGTGCCGCAGAGCAAAAGCTTGCAGCGTGGCCAAAGGTTTGGCAGCGGTGGCACTGGCCACCGCAACTGCTTTTTCGAAATCCTTCTATTTAGATCTGAAGATGGGAAATATTCTTCATCTCTAAAAGCTTTTGTCGCTCCGTTCTCAGTATATGCATCAGCACTAGTACGGCTTCTTCCGCTTGTCATTGCCAGTATTCTCCGCGCCCACCCGTGCAACTCGGAGAGGTGTAAAATTGAGACCAGCACGAAGCTTTATTAGAATTTTCGCATGAAATGCCACCGGCATCCGTTGCAAAAAGCAAAAACTACCAAAATTATCGGACAACGGGTCTGTATATCTTTGATACACATCTAAAGGAAGGAATTTTTTTTTGAGTAACTTACGATTTTGTATACAAATGCGGCAAGAAAAATAATAGAGGAGGCGTGGGCTTCTTAACTAGAAGAGACACCTCACATTAAGTCGACTCTACTTTTTCGACAAGGTAAGTTTAAAAATAGTGATCGAGCTCTGTTATAATGAAAAGGCCGTTATAATTGCTGCTTAGAAATCTCCCGAGAGAAATATGCATATATTTGATGCTGATTAAATTTTTGAGGATTTCACGAACATAGCTGGTAACATGAACTGCAAAGTCTCTTGTGGATTAATGAGATAAAAATGCAAATGAAAGGGAGTTGCCGAACTGGCCACTTAAAATATTCATTAGTTATAGTCTAAAGGACGCAACCTACCTTTTGACCTTTGAAACTACCTACTCTTTAGACACCACGATAACAAGAAATTTTAATATACCTGACTGCCAATACGCTGTACGAATTCCTACTGACTACAACCCGAAACCCATAGAGGTGGGAGATAATGTGAGCTCGGGCTTTGTGTTAGAAAAGTACCTAATTGGACTACATTTCCAGAGCATCAAGAGGAAAACATAGGCTCCCTCTGTTGAAACGACTCTTGACAAGGACACGGTTGTTTTTAATGGGAATAGCTCTAAAGGAGGCCTTTATCAGGTTCTTCATTGGTAGGGAGCAAAAATTCTATTAGGTTGCTAATTATGACAAGGCAGAAATTGAAAGCAAAAAATATGGTCCCTTGCAGATAAAAAACTTGATCACAGTATGTACAGCCGAGTTAAGGAAGAATTAGTAGGTATTTTTTTTTTAATGAGAACGGGGAGACGAACAACTCTATTTATTAAGAAGAGACATTAAACCTACAAAAGCTAGAGACACGACAGCCTCTGAAATTCAAAGGTATCCGCTGACATATTGAAAGCTCACTCAGCTAAGTTAAAGCTTGACGAAAATGCACCATCTCAATCACGTGTCCATGCTAATTTACCTACTAAGTCCTAACATATGAAATCAAGGTTAAGCTACTTCTCTGTGCAGAACTTAAAATCATTGTACAATCTTTATATACAAGAAATCTATAGGCCCAAATGGTAATTTGCGGTTTAAGAACTTAACCACAAAAAGCTATTTTTTTACTGACCTATTTAATTGTTACCGCCTTCTTCCCAAATCGGTGAAAATTAGCAAAAGTTATCTTCTAAAAACCAAGCCTTCTAACTTTTTATTAAATATTAATGTATAATGCGCTTGTTTTCATGCCTTAAGAAGGTGACAAAAGCGGATGATTCTTTTTAGATTACAAGAGTTTGTGGTTAATATGTGTGTTATCTAAATTTTTCATTAGGTTTTCGCAAAAATTACTTCCTCCCAAATACTTAAACTCACGAAAGAGGCTTCAAAAGCCTTCATCATTTGAAAAGTTATAGGTGTGGTTTTTTTAGCAAGAATTTCCATGTATCTTAAAGGAGTCTCTAATTAAATTTTCGCAATTTTTAACACTTTGCTTGAGCGGTAAGTTGCAGTGCAATTTCTTTTTCACACCTGTTGTATTTTATTATAAGCAAGATATTTTACCAATAACTCGAGTTCTTTTTCAAAGGGTATGCGTATATGTAGTGCTCTGATTCCTTCCATAAAGCAATCTCTTAGTATTATAAAGTCGTCTGTAGAAGAGGAGGAATACTAATTTATCGATCTACCTTATTTACGCCAAATATAAAAGAAATATTTACTTTTTAAATATAGTGAATAGGATTTTAGGCTTACTATTACCACTATCTTTTTCATTATTTACATTATTACTACATTGTCCCTAGTACTATTTTTTTTGATAACATTGATATTTATATTAGTACTATTATCAACACTCTTAGTAATATTGTTGTTCTATATGCTGCTTACCATATTTCTTAAATACTAATACTAAAGTCCCTTAATGTTAACAAATGCCCTGATACAGTTCTTAAATTAAAAGATCATACTGCGATTAATCTATAAAATATTATTGCGGTGGGCAAGCAACCTTTCAGCGTAACAACTGTCAATTTAAGGAATTGATGGATTAAACTAAATAACCATATGTATCAAACAAATTTAATAACTACGCAGTCTCTAATATTAATATAAGAATTATTATAAATATTATCATTTTTGGTAAGAAATAGAAGCTACAGACTTTGTATTGGGTGACTTCCCGCCTGCCTTTTCGACCTATTACTGGCTGTTTTAGTGTATTCCTCGATATATAGAGATTTACTTCAAATTTAATAAGCCCGCCCTGTATTTTTTTCATTCCATATACTTTTGTTTAAGGGCATTATAATTCTTTTTAAGTTTTCATCATTAGCTAGTAGACACAATAGGCAATCTTTTAAGAGTAAACGGGAGCAGTTATTAATAGAACTGATATACATGTATGTGTATATAAGTATCATGTAAATAAAGATTAATAATAATAGAAAAGAACAATGTAGCTCTCGAAGAAATGTAAACATGAAACATGAAACTCTTTGTATTAAGTTTTTTCCTTTCCATACTAGTTACTTAAGAATTCCATGCGTCGACTATTAGTGGGATGTCGAGCCACAATTAAATTGCACTTAAAATTATTGACAATTAACTACTTAAAATAACGTCAACTTAGTGATGTTTTTTAGCATTTAAGTAAAGAAATCTACTCTAATTATAATTTTTAACCGACTTCGAAACGGCAAAACAATTCTATAGATTGCATCATAACTACCACTGTCGTAGGCTCTGAGCTAGGCAGTGATCTAAATTAAACCTTTGGAAGGAAGGTAAACATCAGTTGCAATTCCCTTGAAACCTCTAGGCAGCACCTAAAATATATTTTTAATTTTTTTTTGGGCGTTTGGCATACTAATGCCAGCCTTCTTAGAAGACCTTTAACGGCTTAATTTAAATCCTCCTCTCTTGAGGGTTGGGGAGCCCCCACCAGTATACGCTCCTTATAGAGCTACAATAACTCTTCCGAGGACTGGTAAAGCTGAAGATATCCGGCCCGAGCCCCACTCCCTTTTTTATTAGAAATCTCTTATTAACATTAAATTTACCCTACCCGAAAAAAAAAGTTCCCAACTTTATATTATTCAAAATTCTTGCTATTATAATGAAGCAGCGAACGAATTGAACCTCTTTAACTAGATTATTGTTAAATCTCAATAATTGGCGTTGTTGCATGTTTATAATTCTGCATTTGGTGTAAGCGAGTATTTAAAGAACCCTTCTCCCTTGGGATCTTTAATTCTGTCAACATTTTTGTAATAAAAAGTCTTTTGCCTGATCTAACTTAAGTTCCATTTCCAGTTTTATTAATCCCAAATTTTGTTCTTTTTTTCTTTCAATTAATGGCAACAATATATGGGATTATTTGATCGAGATAAAGAAATTTATTACTCTTCTAGCCCCAGGCCTTAAAACGCTTAGTTAAATATACTGTAGAGCCCAAACAAAAGATGTAAATTCTAAGGGGCCGCGGGCATGTTTGCCCCATCCAAGTAACGGTTTGACCTTTCCTTCCCCACAGTAGCCTTTTAACTTTTCCTTGTTCACCTACTGCTTCTTTATGGCAATTATACGTTTTGTAAGATGCAATATCTAAAACAATGGGAATCTGCTTTGCACCGGAAATATAAACCTTTAAACAAGTGTAGTTTTTTTTAATGTAGTATTATTGTTCACTTTGTACTGTTATATTATCACTGTAATTAGTAACTTAACTTCCACTGGAATTTGGCATATTGAAAAACATAAAGTAGTTTTAAAAAAAACAATTGGGAAAGAAATTCACAATATGGGCTGCTTTTGTAATGGTTATCGGTTATTCCAGCCTGGTTATTTATATGTTTAGTTTCTAATCAGTTTCGTTGTTTAGGGAGTCGGGAATTAGAAATTGAGGAGGCTCTATATTTGCTAGAAAAGCGTGGTGAACTTCCTCATATCTTATTACCTTTTGTAAAAATGATAAACGCTTATTATTAAAATTTCAGTTTATTAAAAAGCGTTTTGTTATATATTTGTATGCAACACTAGTTATAGATCAGCAATTTTTATTTAATTTACGCTTTTCACTATTAAATAAGTTAAGTTTTTTACTTTTTTCAAGATCTACAGATTACTAAATCCGAGAACGAGCTTCTTACAGTTCCTGAAGCTTATCACTTATTGTTGCAGTCGATTTCCTTAGAATCATACCAGGTGAACTTTCTCATAGAATTGTCTATAATATATGAATTGTTTTTCCTATGTAACAGACTTATACTTACCTTAAACGTCAAGGCTTTCACCTTTTTCGATCTAAATATAGAAGGACAAGTTCTTTAAAGACTTGCCACTCCGTTAGTTTGATTCCTTTTAACCTAAAAAGTTTTTCTTTAGGTTAACAGTTTTTGTCTATGTAAATTTAAGTTGAAAAGTATCTTTTTATTACTGTTCTTTCGAATTAGTGTAATTTAGTAACTAGCATTATTCAACGCTATCTCTGCCAAGTATAAGTTGCAATAGATCCTTTTCATATCTATTTTATTTTATTTACAGAACGACCTAAAGCAAGTCTTATTTCCTTTCACGAAACGCCAACTGAAAACTTAAATCAAACGGATGATCTTAAGATAGTCTGTTTCGATTGGGACGTTTATAAACCGGATAAACGATTTTCAAAGAAAAGGGCAACCTTGCCGGACTTTGTTATAAAAGTTTTTAAGTAAACGTGAGCTTTTATTTTAATCATGCAGCCGAAAAAACTTTTTTCTAGAAGCTCTGACCCCGTTCCTCAATTTTCTGAGTGTTCCTACGAGATGTTTGACACTGGTAACTGCCTCCTGCTAGTTACGAGTGTTTCGAAATATATAAATCAAATACAAATTATATTTACCGTTGCTAACAACACAATACTACTATAGAGCGACCAGAAGAAAAAGTAAAAGTGAAGTATGCCTGCATTGAAGCAGGAGAAGTGGTCTTTTATTCCGTGGCCTATCATACAGAATGTCTGCCATAAGCTTTCTTTTGGAGAGCGGTTTACAACTTTTAAGATAGTTTACTTTGTATATTCCAGATCTTTACTTGTGCCTACAAAGCCTTCCACAAAATAAAATATGCCACGAACAAGGACTGTACCCCCTTGTCGCGATCGTTAATTACCATTGAAGCGCAGTTAGTGTTTACAAAAACATTATTTTTTAAATCTTTTACTTTTCTTCTTTACGACGAACCTCTTCGGGTCTTTCCCGGCATTTTTATTGGTAGAAGTGGTGTCGCGTATTTCCTGGCATCGCATACACAGCCATTTCCCTTGCGAATTTAAGGAGAGAAGGGTATTACAGAAGAGTGCCTTCTGGCTACAAGCTTTTCTACCTTTTGGTTTGCTTTGGAGGCCTACACAAGAAAAATGAAACCATCCGTGGGGCACTATTGAAAAGAGTAAACGAAGGATCCGTCTGAAAAAGCCTATAAACTTGACTACGTACGTCGAAGTTGTCGCAAGCAATCATCTCGCCGTAGCTAACTTGGTGGCATATGCAATAAGTCGGTTCAAAAGGGTCCACGGGCATCTCAAGATCAAACTCAATTCTTGTCTAAAGTAAAGGCGGTGAGTGCTCTTAGATAAGAGTATATATCGTAGTTGTTGTTCCTATTAACAAATACTGTTAGAAGATTTGATTATATACTTTAAGCACAGACACAGTAGTGACGAGTCAAAAATTAATAAACACCCCGTTAATAATGTTTGAAATAACAAGAAAAGACTTAGAATTCCCACAACGTCGAAAAGTAAGCGCCCGCTTAAGAGAGCAGGAAATCCTTAAAAATAAAGGTATCGAGTTCTAACACACTCCCTAACCTTATTAACGACTTTCATGTAAAAATAGTATAGTAGCGTATAAATAAGTTAACGCGAGTAGCTAAAACGAACAGGAGTAGTAGGACTTTTAATTTACTACACTAGAACGTGTACGCCTGCTTTGAGGAGGCAGGAAAACAACTTTAAGTTTGGGAAGCACACGGACTTAGAAATAAAATAGCGTAGGTTTACATAACACTCAAAGATAATATAAAAACTCGTTTCTATTGTTAGAAAATAGTACCGTTGTATTCTCCACTTTTGGTGTTAAATTCAACTCTGATAAAGCAAACTGCTTTCCTATAGAAAAAAAATTACAGTTAAAAGCATTCTGTACAACGAATCAAGATAACCAGGAGAAAGTTTATCCGGGCTACTTTTATTTAATTCGACCTCGAACTTTTTTAAGTCGCTATCAAGGCGCCTAATGTGTTTGTCTATCTGAAAGAATATTTAGTTGTACATTCCCGGGGAAAGTGTTGTTCGTAACCATATCGTATATAGAGCTGGCAATTTCGTACTTCTCTTCACTTAAAGTTAGGCACTTCGTCAAAACTTCCGTATATTCTATAAACATAAAAATTGAAAGTTATAAAAAGTTTGAAGGCTATTGATTCTTTGATGTTTTCTAATAAAAGGGAAAAAACACGAAATGACAGTTTTAAAAATCAAAGCTGCCTTTAGTCTCTTTTTTAAATTCCTCTATGGGAAGAACTTCAAAATGCTTGGTCATGCTATTAAATTCTAATTTAAGGTTGTCCATGGTATCTATATTTATGTAAATAAGCATAATAATTATAAAAAATCTAAATTTAATGCCTTTTATAACTGCGTCTAGTTCCTTTATAAGCGCAAAGTTTCTCTGTAGGTCATTGGGTAGTGTCGAGAGCACTTAAAATATACAATATTATATTAAGAAATATAAATTATGATAATATTACACTCTAAGTAATGTTCTAAGTACGAGGCCGGCATAGCCATATTTCAAATAGATACCAAAGGCTTTTATTTCTTTGAAACTTGGCATTACCCTTACAGGCAACTTAATATTAAGGTAGGGCCCTCCTAGGGGTAAGATGAAGATCCCTGCGTTATTATGTTGCTACAGTTTTAATTTTTCTTGGAACACAAAACGAAATATTCCCGTCTATCTTTTACCTTTTAATTTAGGTATATTATAGAATTACCTAGGTGGACTGATACGCTAACTCTAATGTAGTACATCTAACTTTTTAGGAACTTGTTAATTTCTCGCGAAGTGTATACAATATATGGAATGGTACTAAAATTAACTTAAAACCGTATTATTATAACGTTTGCACATAAGGAAGTGTACCTACTTTATTTTTGCTTATAAATTAAAAAGGTTATAAGGTACCAACAAAATTTTTTGTCTGTTCTGATAAATAATTATTTTTATATGTTATAATAATTTATATTAAGCAGACATAAAAGCTGAGAGTAAATGTTATACCCAACCTTTTAAAGGGAGGTGGGGTAAGTATTACTACGGAAATTCGTTTTTAAATAACCACTTAAAATTAAGAAAAAGCTCTAGCAGTTAAAAAAACTTTTCTCGTTATCATTTTTACTGATTTATTTCTCACAACCTCATAGTGGCTTTTTATTGTTTTTGCAGTTTCATTTACACTTAAAAAGTTGCTGTCATCATTTTTATTAGTAGCCCTCAGCACACGTCACAAATATTTACGTTGGGCGTGTGTGTGTACTTGTTTTAATTGGTAATAAAGCAAAAATTTTGTATTACGCTTGCAGTATGAGTAAGAAACCTTTAGTCAATATCTAGTATCTTTTTCATATAACCTAGCACAAGCCTTGTGTTTTAACAAAAAAGGAAACCAAAACTCACTAATTTAAAAAAATTCGGACACAATCCCATTGGCCGAAAATTTCTTAATGATTCGACTAAGGTTTCTCGAAACTATCCGAACAAATATTAATATTTAGGGCCCGAACCGCTGTTCAAAAAAGCGTAGTTTAAGTTTGCTAAAGATTAGTAAATTTTAACTCGGTTTTCCTGTCATAAATTATATTAACGAGAATTTGAGAGCTGAATTTTCATATATAAATATAGTCCATGCATGCGCTGCTATAACTTTTACTCCTAGAGAGTCTAACATAATCAAATAAATTTCTAGTGCTTTTCTGTTCATTAATTACGTATTTATATTACGTAAAAGCCTACATTTATCTTATTATTATATTATATAACGTATTGTTTCATATTTATTCTCGAGACACCCGGCCAGTAAAAAAATAACATTTTTTATTCTCTTAGTAAAAAAGCTCTAGTAAAATTAAGTAGAGAAGCCTCTGCTATTGTTAATAGACGACGAAAGACAGATAAACGGCTAATTTTTATTTTGAAGGACATTTTAATATTTGATGCAACTGTTTCTCCGCTCAGAATGTACGTACTGAAAAAAATAATTTGAGATTAAAAGGGACGCTAACGCAGTTCCAATTAGTGTTTACGCAAAGTTTTGATTACGCCGTTCGGACCTGTTAACACGTTGGAAATAGACAAATAATCTCACTTATGTTATTATCTTGTTTGGAATGAGATTGACCTTAGGGTCTTTGATAAAGCGGATAATGGAGAAACTTGAATAGGTTATTGGAGCTCACTAACTAAATTAAAATTTATTTCTTGACTATTACGGATTAACCATTTGCCACCAAAAAATTTTGCAAACATATTTAAAAGCTGGCGATAAGCCTACGGCGGTAAAAAGCGGGAGATTAAGTCAGGAGTTCATAGTAGGCGTAACCTTCAGATATGTTTATCTTGGAAATTTGCCAACCTCGAGGGGCTAACTCCATTTCGGGATTCTTTACCTCCTAGAGCGTAATAGAGGTTAGCGATATGAGGTTTCCACTACGACTCTAAAAGGGCATTTGACGTTCTGGTCATAGAAAAAATTGTCGTTCGTCTATTATTTTATATCTAACTTCATAGAAGCGGTAGATGCGTAGATCTTCCCTTTGGCTGATTGAATTACCTTTTGAGAGAGTTTTTCGTTTTAATTCTTAAAGAACGCGCTAAAAGAGCTGAGAATATGGCTCGGTGGTGCAAGTTGTTGGGGTGAGCAAGTATGCACTTCCTAAGTAGCAAGCACATTCGAATGTTGGCAATAGGCACACATAAGTTTCATGGCTGACCCACATTTACACATTTCAAGGTAGAGATATAGAAGGTAGAGTTATAGTAAAAAGCTGACAGAGGGGTCACTACCAATATACAAATAAATAAATTATTCTAGAGTATTCTTAAAGACATTTTTTCAACTGTTTATATATATTATTTGATACAAACTAATTCACTGCATTTAATACACAATTAAATATGTTCTTATATAACAAGAGTTTATTAAATTGCGTCATTTTTCTGTGTCACCTGCTGGATAAAAGTCATTTAGTGATCTTCAAGGGTGTTCGTATTGTAAGCTATTACAACATATTAAACCATAGACCACAAACACGAAAGTATTATCTCTCTTCCTTAGTTCTATAACCGTGTTTACACGAAGGTATTAGAAAAGTTAATATAATAATGGCACAGTATGCAATGGAAGCAAGCATATAAAAGAACAGGTTAAAATTATACAGCTAGCACAATATTATTTTTATAAATATCTGTACAAAAATATAAAAATATTATATATATGTTGCAAGAGGCGTATTATATAAGTATTAATTTTTTTTTAAGATATATTTTCGTTACCAGTTACATTTAATAATCGCCAGTAACCTGAAATAATGCTAAACTTTACCTAAGTAAACAGCGGAAATTCGTTACAATAATGTGTGCCTACAAGAATATAAATAACGCGAAGCAGAGGAAGTAGAGGAGGAGCTAATAAAATGTGTGGAATTAACCTATTGACCAAACTTTTATAAAATTTAAAATAAAATTAGAGTTAATATTTAATGAAATAAGCGGCTTTAGATGCCGCCTCTACGTTTTTAATATTTCTTTTAACAAAAACAGCAACCCCCTAAACTGTCCAGATTTTAACTTTTTAACAATCATAATCTATTCTTATTTATAAAAATTTATTAATAAAAAATTGTTAAACATGTTAAGATTACAACGGGTGAACGTGGGTCAAATTTTTAATGCGATTAGTAAGCAGAGGGCCAGTATATAACCAAACTCCTTGCTAGGAACAAAGACAAGACAAGATGCTAAGCGTCCTGACAGGCTCGTCGTGATTTTATTCGTAACGACGTTTACACCAACACATCCGGCTTGAGGTTCTGAATACCGTTATCAACGCTTGCTATTACTACCTGCGCATTGCTTTTCGCACAATGCACTCCGACCTTTAGCCTACTTAATTAAGTCCTGTTTGAAGCAAGTTTTTTAAAAGAACTAGACGTTTCTTCCGGAACGAGAAGATTATTAAGTTCAATTTTATTTTGTGTTACCTGCAAAGTTTGACAGTCCTAATTTCTATAAAAAACTTATGATGCTTGCTTGAATCTCATAACTTATTTCACGGACTACGTCAAAAAACCTTAATCTAATTTATTTCCTCTTACTATTTTTAAAATACTAAGCTTTAGATAAACTTGCATTAATGTAGTTATTGAAAGGCTAACGAACCTTCAATAAAAAAAATTTGCCGTATATATAAGGTTGTCTATAGTACTTATATTTCTCAAACCATAGTTTTTACTAATAGTACGTCTTATTAACTTAGGTTAATACTCGATCTGTCAATCCTTAGTAAAGAGTTTACTATATTTACGTAATTTCAGAGTTTCTTGATCAAATGATCGCCCCAAACTGCTCCACTGTACCTTCATTTTCAACGCCATCATAAAAAAAAGTATTGTTAAGAGGACAGCCTTGTTGAGTCAGCGACTTAATAATTTCTTGGGCAAGAACGCCCCCTACAATAGAAACTACAGGCCCAAGTTCCAATAGAAAATTGTCCATTATACCGCTATTTAAAAATTGTAATTGATTTGAAAAATTAGAAAAAGAATAAAGTTATAAAAATTACAGCAAAAGAGTATCTGGCACAACAGACGGGTGAAAGCCGTTATTCTTTAAAATGAAGTTTTTTATATCTATAAGAGTCTTTTGGTCAATTTCATCTTGAGGTAAAGGTAACCTTTTATTGATTTCTTCAAAATTAAAGATGGCTAAAGTTAGGTCAAAAATAATAAGTCTCGACTTTAAAATATAAGCATAAGAACAGTAAATACCCCGAAAACATATAAAAAGTCTAAAGCGTTTGTGCTGAGTGAGGGGCGAGGCACTCACAAGCGTGGTGCTTAGCGCCTCCTGTAGCGCCGCATACGCCACTGTCAAAAATTCTGGTTTAAATTCTTTTGGGTCCTGCTGTATCCTTTTAGAGAGTGAGAACATTTTAATAAAAAAAAGATTCAGCCAGGGAAACAGAAAATCAAAAGACACAAAAACCTTGTGTATTTGTGAAGGCCCAAGTCCAAGAAAGCGAAACCATAATAACCTGAAACTCGACCAAAGAAAAATCCTATGTGTAGTTCACGACACAAACTATCGACCTTAATCTACTTAAACGAAGTTGTAAAGTCTGCAAATGGACTGCTATAACAAACTAACGGCCTTCTCTAGACTGCAGGAGGTTACCACAACCAAGTCAAAGCCCCGGAGATTTTCTTTTACAGTTAACCAGTCCACACTTAACTCTTTGTACTGCACTTGAACTCGTGGATTTAATCTTGAAAGTTTGCAATAAGCCGCCTTCCCTTTCTGTGTGCCCAAATACAGAGCATTTAGAAAATTTTTATATAAGGTTAAGCCTTCACGACTTCATGTATATATTTTTTCCTAAATTAAATAATAACATTCAAATCAATGTCTTCGGCAGAAAACAAATAATTTCCGTAGATATCACCAGCGTCAACCAACGTAACATCAAGGAGAGTAAGTTCTCCGATCCCCGCAAGGATTAAGTTCTTACAAACTTCGCCTGCAAGAGCGCTTAAGCCGCTCACGCAAAGTCTTGAATTCTTAATTCTAATAAATAGAAGTTTTACTAGAGAAACAACTATAAAAAAATGCTTACGATTTCTTTGCTACGAAAATTAACAACCAACTGTAGACAATGAGTCTCTACGCGGACTGAAAAGAATTATTTACAGTCTGTAACTGTTTATTCTATGTTCAAAACTTATAGTGCACTAAGTTGAAATTATCGTGGAGCAAAGTTTTTTACTATAAAAACGAACCCGAACGTCAATTAGTATTTTTTTAAACTTTCTTAAATGTCCTAAAAAAAAAAGCCCAAAACACGTCGAATATATTTTTCTTACTCTTCAGAAGCTCATAAACTCATATATCTACTTATACAGTTATCCTTAGACTCACAATTCGCTACTACTTATTTAATTAATTAAAACCGAAAAAAATTCGATTGTAAAGCTAGTTTAAATAAGAAGTTATAAGCATTATAAGAAATAGTATACAACCAATTACCCTTTGTTTATAACTAGTAATACTTTCTTTATTTCTGTGAGAAAACAAGAGCCTCCATTCTACACTTTGAACAAGAATAAAACTTATAGTTAAGTTTAAAAATTATACTATTTTTAGGACAATATTTCTAGTTGCTATAAAAAAGTATTTTTACAATTTAAAAACAAGGAGGTAAAATAAGTTGTTTAACACCCAATTTCAAAAAAAGAGTATAGAGCAAACTTTTTCTGAGCGGGTAAACCCCAAAGACGTAACTGGCGATCATAAACTTCTGCCTCTTCCTTTAAAATAAAGTCTGAATCCATAGCGGTAAACTTAAAAATAAGCTAAAGAAAATGGAAGCCACCATTAATATTCTACCAAGCAGCCCATAAATAAAACCTGCCTAGTCTTGAGTCTTCCACACCATGCTGACAAGAAGAGATCCTTTAATATAATAAATTAAACGAAAAATCAAGCTGCGATACAACAGTAATCTTAACAAACACCCTCCACTTGTTAAGCGCAATTCTTTATGCAACCTACCTAATTTTTTTGTCTTTCTAACAATGCATGTATAGTAGTGATAATTTTGTAATAAACTACAGATATAAAACAAAGGCATCTGTAGTGATACTAAAAGATAGCGAGGTTCTAAAGTCAGAAACGTCTAGTCTACTCAGAGTGAAATAGCTAATATTAATGGTTATAGTAGTAGTAGCATTAACCTAGACTAATAGCTCCCACAACCGCGTCATTTATAATATAACTGTTAGAAACAACAGTAATAGTAAAAATAATATATACAGTAATAAAGATAAAAAATTTAGTAATAATAATAATATTAATAAGTAAAATTTTAATTATAAATATAGTAATAGCTCCAGTACGGGTAACGACAACTTAAAAAGTCATTAGAGCCTCAGAGAAGACCTCAAGAACTTTACAGGACTGGAACATAGGGATTTGCAGCGTCCAACTACTGTCGTAACCCCACTTGTGAACTCGCAAAAAGAGTGTGAAAAACAAAAGTGGCCCCTTTCTGTTCAACTTATGCACACCAATGGCGCAACGATCCCGAGGTCAAGAGATATGTGTCTTGGAACTAAATTATTTCCGGCAACGATGAAGAATACCGCTCTATCACAGTGATAATATGCCATTAAGAATTACAACATATTACCTACTATCTACCTGTAGACAAGTCATTTAAATTTGTTATTCGTGGAATTTCTTGTGAACTCAACATTTCCACCGTCGAGGCGAACATTCGCGCACAAGGCATCACCACTCCGAGTGGTGTGGAATGCACATGGCGGACATTGCTAATGGTGAGTGGAAGAAGAGCGTCCGTTATCATTAGTACTGGTGCATACACCTAGAATCGAACGACGAAAGCTATTAGAACTGAAGACCATTTCCCGTCTTCAAATTAAAGTAGAAGAACCTTAGAAAAGCAAATACGTTGACCAGTGCCACCGCTGCCAGATCTTTGGCAACGCTGCAATCTTTTGTGCTTCCAAACCTCGGGGCATCAAATGTGGAGAAACTCATCGTGGAGTGTACCAATACCCGAGACTCGACTGCTAGAGGTGCGAATTGCGGTGAAGCTCTTATCCCCAACTACCAGGGTGCAGATGTTATAGCGAAGGTCTTTAACAGCCGACCCATCTACCCTATCACGACATCCGATTACCACTCCGGGTGCTCTGGTTCCCTCAGCTATATCTAATGCCTCCCATCTGAGAGCGAGACCGCACCAAGCGCTCCCCGAGTAATCCTACGCGCATCAATAATGCAGATTAATACGAACGGATAATTGGACACGCTCATCTCTCTTTAGCGGAAGAACACACTTACAAGTTGTGGGACGGCGCACCACTCCTAACATGATAGTTGAAAGGTAAGTTGGCGGTTTAAATCGAACTCGAAGGACACATTTAAGATAGAAATTTTACTAGTACTCTAACAGGTTAAGTACGTAAAACCATCATACCGAGACCGAGAGTTGTCGTCGTAGCTCAGCTGTTTACAGCATGGACGCGCATCCAAGGTCGCGGGTTCAATTCCCACAAACGTGGCTCCCTTTACGGTCTTTGAAGGTCTCGTATTCAACGTCGCCCTCATAAATTCTAATAAACGCTGTGGACAATAGCAAACTGTGTGAGAGGTCCTGTATTCGAAGTTCGTAACTCGATCGAGCACCAGGAACGCCAATTATAAATAAATAAGTAAATTAGTTACAATAAGTCCTCACTGACGCCTTTACGATTCGATGGAAGACGGCAATCGTTGTGATGCTGCCATAAAACTTAAACCGGAATCAGCATCTAGTGTGTACCGACCCATCAGCCTACTGTCAGCGGCCGCCAAAGTGGGGGGTGGGGGGCGAAGCCATTTTAGTTCGCCGTCTGAAAGATGGCGTTGACGCTCGGAAACTTTACTGGAAGTTCCAGTTTGAGTTTTCGGCAGTGGCACTCAACGGCCCAGCAGCTCCTCCGCTTAAGTGAATGGGCCACTCGCGCTTTTAGCCATAAGAAAGCAACAGGCACTGTCTTCCTTGACGTTGAGAAGGCAGTTAACCATTTGGCTTGTGAAAGGTCTGCTGCACAAACTGCGCTCGTTATCCGTCCCTCCTGGCCATTATAACGCGCTGAACTCATAGCTGAATGGTCGCGTCTTTAGCGTGCGCGTTGGAGATACCCGGTCGGCGCTTCGAACTCTGACAGCAGGGGCTCCTCAGAGATCACTTCTCTCACTCCTTTTATTTGCAACTTACATGAGCCACGTGCCCTTGCCGTTCGACCCACATACAGGAATTGCCCTCTACGGTAATGGAACAACCGTATATTCCTCTTCGAAGTCTCCCGCCTTGCTGTGGCAAGCATCTACAGTGCTTTCTTGATGCTTTTTGCTGTCTGGTGCCGTGATTGGAAGGTTACTATAAATTGCGATAAAGAGCAAAGCTATATTAATTTCAAAGAAACACGTGCCCTCTGTTGATGCATTTCCCCTTAACCTTTAATGGCGCGAAGATTCCATGGTGTTCTCAAGAGAAATACTTGGGAATATCATCATCGGCAACAGATTTTCCTGGCGGCTTCACGTGGACTATGTAGTGGCGTAGGCCAAGGCACCAACCAAGGCGCTTTATCCTTTACTTTGCGGTAGGGAGTAAGCTTTCTCTGCGAAAGAGACGGCAATTGTATTGGTCTTACATCCAGCCAATAAGGACATACGCATGTACCGCCTGGACCTACAACTCCACGGCGATAGCGTCGGAACTTCAAGTGCGAAAGAACAAATTGCTGCGTGTTCTAACAAAGGCGCCGTAGTTTGTGCGAAATGATGCCATTCACCGGGGCCTTCAGCTGGACCCTTTAAAACATTCTCTTCCAACGCCATGACCTGGTCCTTTACGACAGGCTCACCAGGCACACTACTCGCCTGCTGGTAAGCGAACTTACTTATATGAGCCATGGGAAGGAGCACGTTCTCTCCACCACGTGACGCGCGTAAGCACTAGTTTTTTTATTATTATTTGTTTATGTAAAAAAAATAATATCTAGGACCACTCCTTATTGAAAGCTCGAGTATTTGGAGTAACTCGATCGAGCGCCCGAGCAACTGTCATTAATTAATAAATGAATAAATCTTATTTAGCGCTCACTGCTCTGCTGTAACCTTGCTAACTGATAGCTGGGCGTTATACCACAATTTTTTTCCAAATCAAGGGACATTACAACTAAAATACCAAATCGGCACAAAGACCAACCTAATGTAAAACCCCAAGGGTTCCTGAGGTTCTCTACAGTTATCAAGCACCACAAAAAGCTAATTAAGAGCTCAGAGCTAAGGATAGATATAAATAGAAGAAACAAATAAGTAAAAAATGAGAGCTAAGAACAAGAATGGTGTAGACACAATTGAGTCGGACTATTAACTGGCGACATTAGTTTAACACGGAAGGGCTTAAAAATAGAAATAAACCTTGGAAACCAGAAACAGTAGAAGACAAAGGGAATTTAATTAAGAAACTAAGTACAAGACGATTTATCATAAAGGGGTAACAAATTAAACCTTTAGTTATATCTAATACTTTAAAATCTGTTTGAGAGCTAGCAAAAATATAATTATGGACAACTTACAAGGTAAAAACTTGAAAAAACTTAAAAATTAGATGTATAAAGTTTTAAGCACTAGCTCACTGCGTCGGCCACGCTGTATTTTACTTATTAGAGGGCGTTGTTTTTCTTAGAGAACTTCGCAAGTTAATCTAACTGGCTGTATATAACAACTAGTATGCTTTGCGCTCTTTATTTTTTAAGTCTGTCTTTAGGTGTGAACGGGCCTTGGGCCAAATTATTTAATGAATTGTTAGAGTACCCTTTAGGAGTTAACTATATATTATTTTAGGGATTCATTCTATAATATAGCTTACAAAAAAAAAGGTTAAACTTCAATATTGGAATACAACACTACTAAATTTTATAGTAAAAATATTTGAATTGTATGAAACTTATGGAATCCGTTGACCATAAAAGAACACTAAAAAAAATTAAGTTAAAGTCATCTTTACGTTTGTAAATATACTACTATTTTATTAGTTTATAAATGCTTGTATAACCGCGCCTTCTACCTTATGTTTGTTTCTAAAAACCTCTTCCTGTTTCTTTCCTACTTCCTCATTATTGGCGTAGGCGCTACAGTTATTATAGACTATACTACGCCTAAGAACACCAAAATTTAACACTTGAGGAAATGTTAATTCGATAAAAAAGAATAAATTTATTCATTTGTTTCTGTTTAAAACCAAACTAAACCAGCGCGCACCAGAAAGTTGTAAGGAAAAATTAATGTTAATGTTATTTTAAATTACTCCTGGAGATTGCTGCTTAATTTACTTTCCTTCCATTTACTGAGAGGGGGGTCTACAACCTTCTTTACGAATCACAACGCCAGCAACTAGGACCAACCGCTTTATCATCACGGCTAAATAAATTTTCCCATATATTCTATCTAATAAAGCTGATTTTACCGGGAGTACTTGGTGTGCAACAGTTAATGTTTATTAGAGCAAATAAGCTTTATATACACCAGAAATAAACAATAGATCAAAAGCTAGTTAAGAGCATAAAATGGTTTTAAGCTCTAAGCACATTTTTCATAAATCAAAAAAAAATTTTCGCTAAGGGATCTTTTTTTTCTTGCAAAAGTTTCGTTGCTATTATATTAAAGGTTATATTAGTTTTTAAGTTTTCGGCCTAGGTTCCAGCCAATGACCTATATTGGAACACTTAAACAAAAAGGTAATAAAATTTTACTTTTTTGTTTTATTTTTCTCTTTATGGTATTTACTAAAAGATATTATTAATATCTTATAGCTTTACGGAATCAAAATTCAATACTCACGGGATTGAGTGGGAGTTTTAGCATCTTTTGTGGAGAGATGAAAGTAATGCACTTTCTCAGCCTTTTCGCTCATGCCGTGCTGCTCTCGGTTTGGGCTAGTGCTCAGGTGTAAATAATTACCTGTGGCTTGTACATTACTTTTTATACCTATCTTTTTAGGAAACCGGGGAGGGTACTACTACACCTTCTTTTGAAGGTCAGTGAGAGATTGATGCTCTTGCTTAGTCTGTTTTAGAGAAAAAATCTTATTTTCTAGTGCCGTTATTGCCATATTAACCTATAATAACGTGATTAATTATAAAAAGACCCTTCTAAAAACGACGAATTTGAGAAAAGCATCGATCACATACAACATCCTGTATGTTATTGCGATGACAATGTTTATCTTAATCGTATGTCAAATTTTTTTACCTATTAGCAGTAGGATTAATTTATATAATAGAAAGCTGCTTTGCTGACCTTAAAAGTGCAATAGCTTCCGCGCATCCTGAAAGTGTTATATACTTGAAGGGGACTTTCTACGTTCATGAAAGTTTTAACGTTACCCGCAATCTCAATCTTTATGGTTTCAGCTCGATTTAAATTTTACTTTCAGCAATTTAGCAATCGGTTCCTTCTACAGGCGTCTTTTGCTCTTCGAATTCATCCGTTGTACCAAGGTTTATTAGTTTCTTACGAAGCCAGGAAGATGCCAACAAAACACAGATTACGGAGGAACCTATATTTCGTCTAGCAAGTGACGGCTTTCAGACTGTTCGCTTAAGAAACTTGGAGTTTACAACTGTTGACAACAGTACACTTGGCCCGGCTATCAAGGTAAGTAAGCACAACATTTCCTTATAAATTTCCGGTAGACATGAACTTTTCGGCTCTACACAGGCGGAAAGACTAAACGGAAAAGAGCATTGGACCTCCCTAGATATTCGCAACTGCTCCTTCAGTAATTTTATCAACCGCCTTAATGGGTCCGCGATCTCTTTAGACGTTGCTTATCTCGTGCACATTGATAACCGCACAGTCTTCCAAAACAATAAAGTTGAAGGTTACTTGTATTTATTGCGCATAATTGCTTTTCTTAAGTAAATATGAAGGTTTCTGTGACTGCTACGGCGGAGGCGCCTTGAGTGCCGATTATGTTTCGGACGCGTCTGTGCTTAATATTAGCGCAACATTTATTAATAACGAGGCCAGATTTAAGTACGACTGGGAAAGGAAACTGCTGGGCTCTGAGCATTCCGAAGGCGGTGCAATTTACTTTGCTTACGTTGACGGCCGTGTTAATATCGACGGAAACTTTTATAACAACTCGGGTTACTAACCTTTTCCGTCTTTAGCTGGATCTGTGAAAGTGTGTTATTACTAGGCAACGACGGAGGAGCCATAACCATGACGACAGTCGACCAAGGCTACGTGGTTCTGGAAGGCCACTTTGAAAACAATTCTGCGGTGGATGGGGGAGCTGGTGCTCGCGGAGGAGTAATCCGAATCTTTAATCTTTCTGGAACGCTCGAATTAAAAGGAACTTATATCAATAACACCGCCTTTGGGGCCACTGAAGACGCCGTGAAAACTTCGGCTAGAGGTTCCTTTTTGTGCTATCGATTATTATACTCCCGCAGCTTACTAAAAGTTATACTTTGTAGGCGCCGTTTTCGCTGGAAATTACTTGATGCCCAAGTCCAAGGTGATTGTGAACGGGAATTTTACTGCTAACAAAACGGACAAACTAGGAACGATAGTGAGCATCTTGGGCTCTCGTAAGGATCTGCGCATCAACGGAGAAGTTATAGTTATGGGCTCCTCTCGGTTCAGTAACAATACGGAATTGGATAGCAACGCAAACGCGATCATCTACATTAGGGGAGCCGGAAAAGTAACCGAGCCCGAGTGGAAGGCCAATAAGAAAAAAACAATGAGGTTCAAAAGCTCAGGCTCTACTAAGACGGAAGCAAATATAGCTTATTGCTGATGAGAGCGGCGGGCTTGTGTTGGTCAATAGTTGGTTACTTGTGTCTTTTTGCAGAAGAATTTTAATAAATTTTTTTTTAGTTGCAGTACTCTTTTTCTAGTAAATAGTCGGAGCGACCTGTATTATTAAAACCTTTTAGTGACTCTTTTAGTATATTTCTGTAAACCGTATAGCCCAGCTGTTGTTGCTAGCCTCACTAAAATAAGGGCGCAGTCCTCTTTTTATTCCTTGAGATTCAAAACTTCTTTATATAAAAAAACTTTTATTGAAAAAGAAATCTTTATTTGCTATAATCTGTTAGAGACAGCCCACTAGCGGCATTTTCTCCCTGGCTTTAATAAAATAAATATTTAGCAGAAATAAATTTCATTGTTCACCTTTTTAATTTCAACCTTATAAAGTCCTCAACTCATTAAAACTACCCTAAAAAGATTTTTCATTCAAAATTAAAATATAAGTAGGAGTTCAAAATGACTCAAAGGGCAACATTACTAAATAGCTCTATTGTAATTGCTTAAAAGCAAAAGCCTCTCCTTATTACTAGTATATTTTTATAGTTAGCTTATTTTAAGTAATCCTGTTGAGATACAAAGCTACAGGGTTACTAAGTTAAATTCAGTGTTGTTTAATATTTCGATAATTCAGTGAAGTTAAAGTTTTTTTTATCGTAAACAAGTTTACTTTCATGTTTTTAGTTATAAGTAATTTAATGTTGGTTTTATTTTTAAAATATTATTAGCATGCCATATATTAAGTTGATTAACCAAAACAGTTTTTTTTCATATCCTTTAAACTTGTCATTTTCCACTAAAATTTTATCTTTACTAAAAACCACTTAAAATTGTAGGTCAAGCTATAGAGGGCTAATTAAAGTAATTAGCAGCGGAGAAACCTATGGACGTGAGGCAGTGTTTTTCCCTTACTCCCTCATCTCGCCAGCTCGTTTGTTCACTACCGGTTGGTCCTGCTGTTGTTGCTGGAGTTATAATAATCCCATTAAATTTTATTAGTCAAAATTTACTAGTGTTAACCGTTAGAGCGAGGCTACCATATTAGTCAATATAGAGAAGACCGGCTTTTTGCTGAATCTTAAAAAAAAATTAAACTCTCCTATGTCTAAACTTTAATATATTTACCTTTATGCTTTAAACTGCTCTAAGTAAAATTTAATTTAGAATCTAAGTTTCTTTATTTAAGAATTTTACTTAAAATACAACCTCGAAAGAGATAAAGTACAACCCTATCCCTGTATCTGAATAAATTTATTCCAGCACTTTTTGATTTTGGGCGTAGGCAACTTAGTTTACAGGCCCAGATGTACAGTATTCCCAGTGTTTATTTTGTATAGCAGTTTACATTTTTTAGAAAGCTTTCCGTTTTTGTCCACTATAGTTTTGTATATAGGTAAACTTATTTATACAGAGTTACTATAAACTGTTGTTTTATAGTAAGTTATTAAGTGAATAAAAGTGCTGGAAGCGTACACCATTGTTTTTTGTACTTATAAAACTGTGTGCTGACTATATCGTGCTTAAAAACTATTAGGCTTATATTTAAAAAAATCGTTGGAGAAACCAAAACAAACAAGGGGAATTTTTAGATGTACTGAAGACTTAAAAAAAGCTGTGCTACACTATTTAAATTTTTATTTAATCTAAATTTTTTTAAATTAATAATTTTAATTTCTTTTTACTAAAAAGTTAGATATAAAGTTATCATAGAGGCTGAAAAAATGGTGAATAAACAGTGTCCACAGAGTTTCTTTATTGACTCATGAAAGGTATTGTTTCCATAAGTTTGGGTAATTTCATAATAATAATATTATGTTGGGCCAAAATTAAAGTGATAATAAAAAAGTCAAAACAAAAGTCAAGAGATCAGAATTCAAGTATATAAGAATGATAGAACTACTTTAGGAAGAAACAGAGATAATCTTGGCGGCAGCAGGGCTCCGCTTAAATCAGGCACAGCAATTGTTTAACAAGAGCTCATAGTGTAAGTAACTTGCAAGCGATGCACATAAGAGTTATCTGCCCTATATTTAAAGAAAATAAGCAAACGAAAAGGGAGACAGAGCTCACATAGTTTTTTTTGAGTTCATAAATACTTTTAATTACAAATAAAGTGGGAAGTAGAGCGTCCTTATTATCCAAGTTTTGCCATATTGCCGGTGTGACTACCAGGTTTCCTGGCGTCCTGTTTTAGCTATACAGGTAAATATAGTTTAAATATTAAAAGACCCATAATGTTTTTAAAAGTTTAAAGTTTTTTTAGAAGCCGTGACACTTAGTTGAGAAAACTCATTGCTTTCAATTAAAGAAAATAAGTAATCATAAACATGTTTTATTAACTTTTAGAGGATTTGTCTTGTGTTAAGCCTGAGAAGAAGAATTTAAAAATGTATGTGGATAACGAAGGTCAAAGTAAACAGGATAGTAAACGAAAGGCTAACGACTTTCAATTCTTTTTCAGAATAAAAAGCGATTTGGAATAGAAACCAAAACAAAAGACTTTACGTAGATATGGTTGAAATGTCTGCTTGTATCGGTTGTGTATACTGTTAATTATTTGCGTATTAACAATATGTATTTAATCGAAGAAAATGTTAGTTTCATTGATTAGTTCCTATTTCTAATAGTTAGTCAGGCATATACGCAGTGGCACATAAAAGCCGGGCTATTGTAAAAAAATATATATATTATCAAATCGCAATTTAAAGACTAATACAGATTAAATATATTATGTAAACGCCTCGATTTAAAATATGATTTAAACGTTTGTATGTCCTTTTCTGTTGAGATCATATAAAGTATACTATAAAAAGTTCTAAGCACCTGAAGAGCCATAACGAAGAAAGCAGATACTACTACAGGTTTCCTAGGGGCGGGGGCATTGTGTTAAATTTAAACTTATTATGACATTTTAACTAACAACTTTATTTAAAAACCAAAATTTTTAAAAAACAGGGAACAGTAACCGAAAATACACCCTCCATCTATACATTTAATAGTTAGGTACTTGAATATATTAAATAGTCCATTAGAACTATTTTGGGCGCCAGAGTTTGCATATGTTAGTCTGTGCAAGCCTGTTATTACTTATTTTCTTATAAGTATTGAGTAACAATATTATTGTCTGTTATTATAATAAGTATTATAATTAATGTTATAAACTCTAAAGCGCAGCATTTATGAACTAAAAAATTTATGCAATTTTTACGTTTTGCTCTAATACTTATTAGGTAAATTGCTTTGACAAATAATGCATCGTTTTATTACTAACCCTTAAGATCATTAATTGGGTTCATATTGTTTGTTTGTTTGGTTTTATGGTTCGAGTTTTAATCAATTACTAAGCCCTGAAGACTAATATGAACAACTACAAGGCAGAGAAGCGCAAAATAGGTGAAAAATCCCATAAATCTAACATTAAGGGTACATGTATATATATCTATGGTCCGCTAGTGTAAATCGTACATAATCTAGAACAAATGACAGTTAATTGCCTTTTACAGTCTTTTTAATCCAAAAATTGTATTATAGCAATTTACTATTTTAAGCCTCCAAGATTGGTTACTGAGGGACTTTAAAGATGACGTAAAAAAATTCTACGCCTTTTCTTGCAACCATCTGCGATAAAAAATTTTTAATGCTTAAGAGTAAAAAAGACTTTAAAATTATAAAGGTAGGATTATATAGTTTATAAAACATAGACGATAATCTCTATCAACAGTTAATTTTTTGGAAAAACAACTTTTTAAGTTAAATACGTTAGCTTGAATAGAAGGAAAGATTACGACTACCTAATATAGCAGCTGACAAATTCAGTAAATAGTAAGGTTACGAGTTATTGTTTACTGAAAATAATTCTATTCCTCGTTAGAAAAGTAAAAATGTTTATAAATTTAAAGATAACTTTAAAAATTAATTCAAAAATTGAAGGAAAAAAAATAGCTATCACCAAGCTATTTACGGTATATAAACAATCATAATTGTTTTATTTTAAAGAGTAAATTTTTTTTACATAGTTTGATATAGAAACTATAGTTTATAATGCCGTTAAAATCATCTGCGAAAGTCCAGAGGCTTTGGGGCCTTCTGATGAATATGGGTTGATAATAATTTCAGCTGAAAAAAAGCAAAAGGTTTGGCTTCCAGAAATGAGCACGTTAGAATCTTGCTCTTTGGAAAATAACGTAAACTCTACTAATTAATTTACTATAAAATTTAGATGATATAATTTTAATTATTATTTAATTAATAATTCATATTAAGAGTCATTTACAATTGAAAAAGAAAATCTCTAATATTCGAGTACAAATTTCAGAAAGTTATACCAAGTCTTTTTTAATTGACAAGTCGGCTAGTCTCCTTAACTTTTTGAAGGTGGTGTGCAAGGTAGCGGGGTTTAACGAACCTTCAGAATATGGATTGAAGGCTGAGAGAGTGCAAGAACCTTTTAGTACCGATGGGGAATATAATTATCAGTTAAATGACCAAGGGATTCTGAAGGGGCCAATACCTCAACGAAAAAAAGCTAATACCTGTCTCCGAACGGATACTTTTTGGATAGATTTACACTTGACTTTATCGCAGCAAGGTTTTCTGTAAATGTCATTACTAATTAAACAAGCCAGTTGTTCTGACCCTTTAATGAAAAGATCTTAACTGTAGGACACTGCTATTTTTAAAAAGAAGATATTTCTTTAAATTACACGAGGATTTGCCTGAAGATCCTATAAAGGTTGGAATATACTACTTGCAATGTAGAGATGACATTATAGAGGGGAGACTCGTTTGCACCTTCAATGAAGCTGTACAACTCGCTGGTACGCTTCCTTAAAAGGTTTCCGACTTATATAAAGTGTATTCTTTCCTAAGGCCTGCAGTGTTTCATTGAAGATATACTTTTGAACTGCAAGGAAACTAAAGTAATTTTAATAGGTTACTTAAACTCTATTACCTAGTAGTTTGTTCGTACAAGTAAGTCTGCTTTACTAACTACAAGATAAAATTCGAAAGCACTTTAGTGCCTTACTTCCCATATTGTTAACTAGATTGTGCGAACTTAATAAAATTTAAATCTAGCAAATATGTAATTTATACAGATTAGCACTTAAAACTTTTATATCTTTTATTAAGTCGTTAACTTTAGCGGACTACGCCTAGCTTATTACTTTTAAACAGGTTCATTATAACAATTATTAATATATTACTGAAAGAGTTACTTTAAACAGCCTTTACTAATTTTTGGGCTGTGTTCGTAAGTTTAAATAAAACACTGGAGCACTGTGCTAAATAAGGGTGCTTAATCTGCTTTACCTTAAATCTAACATCTATATTTTACACGATTCACTCAACTACTTTATTTAACATATGTGGCCCTTAAATTTGTTTCCTTCTATATATATTATTTTATACAATAACAATTTCATGGAACGAATGTAATTTTTTTAATTTTTTTACATTTTAATATGAGGGGCCCTCTGATCTAAACACAGTACTTCCTGAGGAGTATCTAAAACAGCGTTTAGTAAAGAAACTAATAATTGAAGAATATGAAAAGTGTTCAGGTTCAATAGAAGAAGCTAAAAAAAGATATGTGCAAATATGTAAATCTCTTAAGCACTACGGAATTACTTTCTTTATGGTTTTGGCAATTTTTGAAGAGGTTATACTTTTATGTTTTGAGTTTCTGTTTATAAGAACGCTATAAATGTTTTAAGGTAAAAAAAAAATTCGTTCCAGCGCTCCTTGGGGTATCGAGAGACCAAGTAACAGTATTGGATAGAAACTCAAAGGATCTATTGTGTTCGTGGAAGTTGACTTCTATTTCCCGTTGGATTGTGGGCCCAAATCGTTTAAGTTTAGATTTTGCAGGGGACGCCCCCCGGTTCAAAGTCTTAAGCGACAAAAGGTATGGCGTAAGCCAGATTAGTTGAGTCGTATAAAGCCTTCAATAAGTTACTGTACACTCTTATAAAACTTACTTGATCCGATTATTTTCTGTGCCTCTATAAGAGTTATAAGGCACATGATAAATTCTGCGTACTAAACTGATCTCCATCTTATTATCAGTTCGGAAATAGCGGATACGCTTTCTGGTTATACCGCACTACACTTAAAGGAAAAGAACTTTGAACAACTAATAAAGGAAAGCCCCGTCAATTTTAACTACGTCTACACAGTAAAAGGTTAACGAAATGGCCCTTCCTTATATAAAGAGTTTGAGTAGCTATCTAAGTTTTTATGTCAATTATATTCAATATTTTGAAGATTCGAAGTGCCAAGAGTTATTGTAAAATTTATGCGTATAAACCATTATAATATCTTCCAGCTTAAGTCTTGCACAACAGACTGTCAGTATAAATAACTATATATTTTTGATTTTTTGTGCAATTTTATTCATATCTTTATATATTATATTTTTACTCGTTTTAGGACTCAAAGCTCAGTTTTTATACAAACGGCCACCTCTTAAATACTTTAGTTCTTTAACCGCGACTTCCATGAGGAGCCAGTCTGGCAGTTTACCGGTTTGTCAAGATATTTCCTCAACTTTTGAATTGTAGCCAATAATGAACTTGTTAGTATTGGGATTCGCTAGATCTTAGCCACTGGTGCGCAAAACAAAACCAGGAGCTGAAAGCTTTTTCTCACTTCGTGGTCGAAAGAAACATTAGAGGAAGCGATATTTTCTATTTAAACGAAGAAGAACTGGTAACTTTACTAAAGTCTCGCGGAGTACCCACAAGCCTCATGTTATAATGCCTACTATACCGTTCCTTAATTTTTTTACACGCTCTCGCACAGAGAAAAAGTCTGCGAACCGCTGACTAGCATAGGACTTGCCCAGCTCCCTTATCAGGTGGCCTAACAAAGCCAAATGTTTATGCATCTCACTAAAAAACGCTTTGCAGTACTGTTCACCTGAGCAGTTTGCCAGGAAATTATTCTTCGTTTTTCCGGAGGTAAATTGAAAATACTATAAAATTTTTCTTTTAACATTTTTTTAGTTTTTAAACTGTTTTAATATCTCCTCTTCTTGGTAAGTTTGAGGAACTGAAGACTGTATTTAAAGAGCCTAAAATAAGTGGCATCCAATTGGTGAACACTACTCACCAAAAGTTTGACGCACTTTTAATTAGCTCTGGATTAAACAGTGAACTCGCGAGGTAGTAACGCATTTGCCTGTAGTTTTACATGCTCTGACGCCCTTTTATAAAGACATAAAATTTGTGAGGAAGTTTTGAAACAGGACCTCACTATTATATATGACAGGAGCACAATTCCTGTAACATATTACTATGATAATATGCATAATCTCGTTAACAATAGAAGATGCTGAATCAGAATTAGCTCATTGGCTGTAGTGTTTACTCCAGTGTTATATATTACAAGAACAAATAAAATTGTCTTTTTTATCTCATTAAAACCGATAGCCAGTGGGAATGTTGTACAAACAGCATTGGGTCTTCCTAGAATAGTTGATAGCCTGCGAAGGAGGAACTACACCCTTACGCCTTCATTAATACTAACTTTTACTACCAATGATCATTTCTAACAAAAATATATAGTAAAATATGCTGAATGATTGTATTAACATCCACGCTAACAGTATTGGTCTCCCAACCTTTTTGCTCAATGGTGCTCAGAACAAAGCGAAGAGGTGTTTACATAGTCAGTAAAAAATCTTTTACGTCACTTTTACCATGAATTAATATTTAAAAAACAGATTAAAAAACTTTCTATGTTTTTTATGGAAGAGCAAATTCACGGCCATCAGTTGTACTTATTAAACAACGAAGAAATGGACAATTTCTTTCAAGACCGGGGTATAGTGGCGCATTCCGTTCGGTGCCCATATTTTTTCTCGCCGTTGGTGATAATCATATGAAGCCGTATTAAAAAAAACGGCTTCAGGACGGAACTCTGTGGGAGACTGCGAGACGTTCTGAGAACTTTTTTCCGTAGTCAGTCGCCAAAGCGCTGCATTCCGATTCGAGTTTATAAACCACCCTTGAGACTTCATAACCAAACGTTTAATTCGTTTGCGTTAGTACTGGACTACACAGCAACTGTTGGTGTGGGCTCAGTCACAAGATGAGAGAGTTTATTTTATTCTTCTTTAAGACCAACTGTCTCTTTATTGCCTGCTTTCTTTGTTAGATAAAAAGTGTTTTTTCGACGGCGATAGTGCAACACAGTATCAATGGTTCCCATTTGCATTCGTTGGACAAACAAGAAATGGTTGAGTTGTTTCAGGCGGTTGGAATTCCTGCGGGCCCTGAAAGGTATCCGTTCTTGGTTAGTTTGCTATAATACTTCATACCTTCGCTGAAAAACAGCGACCACTTGTGCACAGAGCTTCAAAAACTCCAGCTTTCTAGTGGGCAGCAAGAGGGTTATACTCTTCCGGTGATTAGTTGAATAGTTGAGTGCCCTTAATAAGACAAATAAAATTTTATACACCTGCTAAGCACTGGGATCAAGAAACACTTGCTGAATGGTGCCTTCTGGATCCTGAGGTTTGTCGGTGCGCTCGCATTGAAAGTGCTGCTTGCTATAACTTAAATTTTTTAGACGAAAGAGTTTGCACCGCTCGTAACCCAAAAAAAGATATGCGGGAAGCAAATATACTCGTTGAGCCAACATCAGCTAAATGCCTATTTGTTAAAGGCTGGAGTCGAAGACGCTGCAACAAGGTAAAGTTTGCACTTGTTACTGGTATCTCAAGTCTAGTGAGCTAACTACACTGGCTGTGCTACAGAGAGAAAATGGCAGAAAAGTTAATGACCCTTATTACCGTTGATGGACCAGGAAAGGTATATTCCACTTGCTGACTTTTTGGCTGTTAGACTACGCTTCTGCTGTAGTTTAGAGCTGCCCATGAAGTTGTGAAACATGTTGGAAACTCTGTGAATATAATGAACAAAAATGAAGTTTTCAATTATCTACGCTCCGTTGGGATCACGAACGAGGGCTCCAGGTCGGCAAATATCACGTGCTCTTTTTTATACCACTTCAGTGCGGTTAAATATATGCAATGTTAGAGAAAAGCTATATACACAACTGCTGGAAATCAAGACTAACAAAAAACAACCTTTGAGCTTCCCTGTAACACTCCAACACCCACCCCCCCCCTCAATACTTTCCTTCGTTTACTTGCTTGTTATGTAGTATTGGACGGCGACAGACCTTGCAAATTGGTGTTCTCAGAAGGAAACGGTCGCCAAGCGTTCGCTGCTTTACCTTCTTGTCATCTTATGCCGTTCACATTACAGATTTTGCAGCTCTCCAACTTCATTCTTGAGAAAAACATTTGCGGGAAGGATTTGTATGATTTGAAGGACAACGAAGTGAGCAAGTACCTTAAAGAGGCTGGAGTAGACGACGAGAGTTTAAGGTACGCTCTTCGATGTATATTTTCTTCTTTGGAACTCGCCATTTCATTTTTTTATTAAACAGAACCCGCTTCTGTGAACATGTGCAATTGCTTAAACTAGAGGCTGTCCCGCTTCAGGAAACATTTCTTCGCCTTTAAAAAAGAACTTTAGAATAAAGTACATCTACAGAACTGGCAGCCCGAATACGTCGCTCGCTGGTGCAAATATAACGTCTACGGAGTAACGCTCTGTTTACTTTTTATTGATAATATCCTACTGAAAATCATTTGCTTTATGTTTTAAGATCGATGCGCTGGACGTAAGCATCATTAGAAACGCTCTGGACGGGTGGCTTGTGGCGTTTCTAGACGAAAAGGAACTTCAGCAGATCTTAGAAAGCGCTGGCATTGTTGATTCGGCTTTGAGGCATTTTCTGCGTTACCTTTTCATTATTTACACATGCATTATCTTATCTTTTAAAGAGATGAGATCTGCAAGAAGTTAGAGGAATTAAGAAGTACGCGTTCGTATCGAAGCAAAGCGCCACTTCCCGTACTACCAGTTCATACGCACGTGCACTTTTCATTGTGCCCCTCATCGTTGTAGTACTGGTCTTCCGAGGATCTTTCACAGTGGTGCAAAGCCAATGCGGCTGAAAAGGTAGGTTTGCACCTCTTTCTTAAGTACTCTCACATGTATCAATATCTACTTAGTTTGCCCCTATTGCAACACTATTGGTGGAAAAGAACGTGCAAGGCTACCAAGTATGCTTCTTGGAGAAACAGGAGCTGAACGCCTTTTTTAAGAGGCTGGAAATTCTGGAGCCTTCGTTGAGGTCTAAAAACACTCGAAAAGTGGTGTAGATCATCACTAACGCGTGTCGAGCAGAGAGGGCCTCGTGGCTTTGTTTCGAAAACTGCAAATGAGCGAAATGCCGCTGCGAGTACTGGCAACGTTGTGTGTTGTGTACTGAACCAATAACCTCCAATTATAGGCCTGGAGTAATCACCTTTTTCTTGATTGGTTGACTGCTCAGCCTCGAGTAAGCCATTTGCTACTGCATCGCCAGTATAGTTCATCTATTATGAATTAAAGTTGAGTCTTCTGGCTGAATTGCAGTCTTTTGAGAACATCAAGGGGAGCGACCTGTACTGCATGAGCGAATCTGATATGCATTTATACTTTGAAGAAAAAGGAGTTCTTAATAAGGAAATGAGGCACTTCCACTGTGCCTGTGGCGTGTGCCCCTCTTACACTCTTTTCATAGGGACCATCTTGTATGGAAGATTCTAAATCTGAAGTTCATGCACATCAGAGACGACTCGGAGACGAACAACCTTTTTTTCCCGGTACTGGGTAGTATTACTCTTTAATAAAAAAAAAAGCTATTTTTTTGTGGCTTAGTACTGGACTTCGGAACACTTGGCACTCTGGTGCAAAGCGCAGGGAGGCAGCGTAAGGAGAAGACTTGTTTTCCTGGCTTCTTCATACTCTTATGCACATCACATTACTACCGCGTAGATCCAACAGTTTGCTGCCCTCATTGTAAAGGAAAACATCAACGGGCCGCAGCTCTTCGATAAAAATGAGGCAGAACTCCACGTGTTCTTCAAACAAAAGGGAGTCAACGAGTCGAGTGTGCGGTAGTACCATGCTAGTCGAGGAGTTGGCTTTTTCACTTTCTCGTAGGACTCAGTTGGTGGAGTTGTTGGTGGCCACGCTTCTGCGGCATTCGCCTCATGATGCTGTGTTCCTTCCGGTATGTTTTATTAACTATTTTTCACTTTAAGGCGTTGTGATCTCTATACGTAAAAGTACTGGTCGTCGGAGATGCTGATGGATTGGCTGAAGTCCCAACTGCCAATGGTTTCTTTCTATTCTTTCTTTAAGCGTCGTTGGTAGTGTTTATCAAATGTCTTAGATCCCGAACGTAGCACGGCTAGCCGGAGAGGGCATTAGTGGCCGTCACATATTTTGCATGAAAGAAGATGTGCTGGAAAGGCTTATTGAAGAAGTTCCCTTTCTTCCACCGCTGTCTCGGTTAACTTTTTCGTGGTGCAGCGGTAATGGTCCCCTCGAATTTACTGCCGATCCTAACAGAAAGTCTATTTTCAACAAGTTTAAACTTCTAAAGTTGAAGTACACGCCCCTTCAGGTACTTTTCCTCGTTCCTTTACGCATCAACCAATCGTACAGTGACCTAAATAGTTATGGACCTCTGAGAATCTGGGCGACTACGTGGCTGCCCTTCATAACAAGGTGCCCTGTTCAACTTTCCTTCTCCTTTGAACGGTGATTGCTCATCTTTTGCAAGTTTCGCGATTTCCGGGCTTGCTTTGTGAGCAACAATCTCTCTGGCAAGTCCATATGGCAGCTGAACGCTTACCAGCTTTCAGAAACCCTCCAGAGTATCGGCATTACCAGTGCACACGACAGGTTGCGTGCTAGCGTGCGTTATCGAGTTGACAAACTCATGGCGCTGGTGGGGTAGGTCCGTCATCTGCGCCCATCTTCAAGGAAAGCTGATGTTCAACTTGCCTGAGAGAGAATTTCCTATGGCTGTATCACTATCTTACACTTTCCTTGTTTCCAGACAATATGACTTTAATACTCTTAAAAAGTTTTGGAGACCTTCATTCTTAGCGGGTTGGTGCCAGCGCCACGGCTTAGACGTAACTTTATAGAGTACACCTTTACGGGAAAGAGAGTGATTTAGTGGTGTGCTACTAGGAGCTCTCTTCGTTTATGACTAGCAATAGGATCGGAGGTCACAAGCTTTACCTTCTCGACGAGCAAAAAACAAACTTGTTCTTCGAAAAAATGGGGTTGACTGATCGACACCTGAGGTCCTACTTGTAGCTCTTTTTCCTGCCGGAAGTGTTGTATTACTCGTGATGCCCATTGCAGGGCACGACTTTCTCTGGAACTTCAACGCTCAAAGTCCTTCTACTCTGTGGACTATTTTATGGGCCCCTCCGAGGAACTGCCACTTCCTGTCGTCCATTGTTAACAAACGCTATGTATTGTAGGCTAAAAAAACAGTTCTCTTTTTAGTACTGGACCTCGAAACTTCTATCGCAGTGGTGCGGGAGTCAACCAGAAGAGGTAAACAGTCATATTGCAACACAGAGGGCAATCCTTAACGTAGGAGAAGCGTAGGCTTTACGGGCGCTTTTCTTCTTCTTTACAGAAAAGAATATTACGGGAAAGGATCTTTATTTGCTAAGCATAACAGAAATGCACAACTTTTTCAAAAACAAGGGAATTGCTAGGGAAGCCACAAGGTGAGACTTTAAAGAAAGGAATAGGGTTTAAGTTATAAGTATGGTCTTCAGACGACTGCTTTGCGAAAAGTTGCTGAAGTTAAAGGCGAGACACTGTGATGAGGACGTCACTTCGTACCCCGTAAGTCTGTGGCTCGTCCGCGTACTACATGTAGTAAAAAGAATAATCTGCCTGCAGTACTGGACTTGCCACGAGGTGGTTGCTTGGAGTATGAACCACCCCGAACTGGTCCAATATTAGACTATCTGTGTTTATTATTGCTGACGTCGCGAATGTCTAGGCTACTACGAACTGCCCAATAGCCCTGAAGGAACACCATATTGATGGGACAAAGTTGTTCTCGATGAACAAAGAGGAGTGGATGTTGTTGTCCGAAAAAATGGATCTCACCTCAAACGAGAGGTTGGCGAAATCGCCTCTTTGCCCCGTTCTTCACGTGGTTAACTCTTAGTAATAGACAATCTCTGTGTCGAAACATTGAACTCCTAAAAATAGCGTGTCTTCCGTTGGAGGTTTTCTTGTGAAGTTTTCAGGTAAGTGCTTCCCCTTAACCTATTTTTATGGCAGAGCTGGTCCAGCACGACCATGAGCGAGTGGCTTTCTCAGAAAAACCTTCAGGTGCTTTCTTATGCCGTATGATACTGGGCACGTAGTCATAGCGTATTTCTGGAGAGCACTGCTCTTACCGAGGCAATTGCCAAGTTCCATATCACTGGCGCAAAGGTGGCTGCTTTAGAGCCTTCAGAGCTTTACAAATTTTTTAACAACTTTGGAGTGAATGACACGGAAAAGTGGTTAGTACGCCTCTCAATTATACTAAACTTTCTTACTTTTTTTTTAATCGTATGAAGCATTCAGCTAGTTGACGAAGTTAAGAAAGTCAAACTCGCCGATTGTAAGCCTACTATATGTGTGAATAAGTGAGTGTTCTCTTACTATAATTCTCTGTGGCAGCCTGTAGTTTCAGGCAGCTAAAAAAGCTTCGTTGCTCTGCTGAGAAGCAGCGAGTCTCTGCGATTACCACTCATTTTGCAGAATTTCTTGACGAAGCCTCAATAAAACGAATAACGTCTCTTCTGAAAATTAAAAAAAGCTTAGAAACGGAGCTTGAGCTCCTTAAGACTAGAAGGCTGACCCAAAAAGATGCTAACCAACTCTCAGTGGCCGCTCAAGAAAGAAAAAGATTAAATAAAGAAGAAAACCAGCGTAAACTTGACCTGTTGAGAAGGGAAAATGTTGAGCTTCAGAAACTAATCAGGTCGCTTCAGCGGAACGGTAGCTTCGAAAAAAAAGAAGAACAAGAGGAGTTTAACGAGGAAGAGTTCCAGATGCTGAAGAAGCGTTACGAGGTGATAGCGAACGAAAGAAAACGGCGTCAGGAACTTATAGAGAAACTGCGGGTTCGTAATCAAGAACTCCGCCTCCAATTGGAAAGCACGAAACTGCAGAAGCTTTCTGAGAGAAAACTTGCCATTTTTGAGAAGGAAAACGCACAGCTGCTGGAAAAACTGCGCAACCTGGAACTACTTGAAGCAATGCCCGCCTACACTAATAGCTCTTTTTTCAGTTCTGCAAAGGGTAAGATGGAGAAACTTGAGAAGAAACTTTGCTCACAGCGCCTCAAGCTTAAACTTCTAACCGAACAACAAACATAATAATAATAAACATTTGAGCGATACTTTTTCTATTTTGCTTCGTTTTATTAAAAAAAAGTTGTAGCGCCTTTCCTATATAATTTACAAGGATCAGCTAGAGTAAGTCCTCTTAATTTGCTTCGCGTTGCGATCGAGAGGCTTTCACTCTTGCGAACCTGTTTATTATTTATGGCAAAATTCTCAGATGTCAAAAGTGGCAAAGGCTTTTCCGGTTTTTATGTATCTTTTATTATTTAGCTACTTGATACCTGCAAATAATTCTTGAGGTCTAAAAAAATTTCATTTTTACTAACATTAGTAAAAAGGAAAATTTCCGCATTATTTACTACAGTTAGCACACGGGCTAAAGACTTTTTCTTAAAAATAATTATTTGTTTCTTGTTTCATTCGATTGAAACTACCTGCCTTTATAGTATATTGGCTATAATCAATTCTTGCGTAAGTTTTCCTCAAGGTTAGGTTTTCTGTATCATCCATTTGAAGTGTAATACATTTATATCTAAAGTTGCTACCAGTCCAGCCGTTACATTTACTCATTAACATACAAACTTTTTAAAGGCTCACTATTTGACTTTAAAGAAATTTTATATTTTTTCAATATTTGGTATCCTACTATAGCTCGTAAAAGTTTTAAAAAACCCTATCTTTATTAAGCTTGTGCGGGCTCATATAAATGAATTCAACTCTTCAAAATTTATATTGATTGTCTCTTTTGTAAATTTTATTGGTAATCTTAATAAATAATTCGCTTAACAAAACGCATAAACATACAAAAGTTGGTCGCCCTTTTCCATCCTTTGTACTAAGTAAATTTCTTGATTAATTATGAAAGCATGGCTAACATAGAAGGACTTTTACATGATTTTTGTCACCTCCAGTCCATCTAGTTTTGTACAAAGTTAATTAAATATCAACTAGAATTCAGTTATAAATATAGACCCATAAAGTTTAAAGTTGCTTTTTATTAGTACCATTAGAATTATAGCCTTTTTTCTTATCCTTTTACCCAAAGTCCTTATTGGGATATATACATGTTTTTATCAAATGTTACATCTGGAGAAGAATAAGTCTGTGATTTGCTCCGGTCTACGAAAAAATCTGGAGGCAAGGTAATTTTTTTTTGATTTTTGCTGGCGAAGTAGTATAAACCTGCGCCAGAAATAATAAAAAATACAGCAGCCCCACCAAGTAAACCTCCGACTAGAGGTAAAGACTTATTAACTTCATCTTTCTGCTCTTGAGAGTCCAGGATAATTGATTGAGTTTCTATTTGGACTACTGGCGGTGTTTCTTCCTCAAATGACGAGTTTACGCAACTTCGCATACGTTCTCTTTTGTTTGTAAGTTTTTTATTAAAGGATTCGTTTGTCCAATCACTCCATGTTGACCACACCCCACCTTGGCATTCTGAACTTTCCTTGGGACTTTGTTCTTCGATAACACTTCCAATGCAATATTTACAATGATTGCGTGTCTCAAAATAATAGCATTGTCTTTCTCTTATATATTTATAAGTACCATTGAACACATTATATTTTAATAGCCACTCTGACCATATCGAAAAGAAGCATGACTTAAGACTGCTGCTACAATCGACTTGACTTCTAGAAACACAGCTTTCCCCGTTGAAAATAGTTTCACCTTGGCATGTGTACGTGCTCTGACCCATATCAGGGTCGCATGTAAGAAACAGCTTGCAATCATTAGGGTGCGGATTTCTTCTTTCTTTGCATGTAATTTGTGATGAGTTACTCGTAAGAAAGTACGTTGTGCCCGAATAGTCTATGCATTCACACATTCTCTTTGTCGTGTTATAAGTGAACCATTTATCGAGGGGTTTAAGGCCAGCATCTATGTTATGCTCCTTAAAATGTTGAATAAATTCAGGATAAGTTAAAGTCTTCACGAGGTAGGCTTGAGGGCTGATGTCCCTGCTATTTCCATGGCAGAGCGAAAGGGTTTCCGGGCCAAGCCAAACAGCCATTGTTTCGTTATAGCGCAAGTACATGCTTTGACATTTAATCACTAATGGGTCATAAAATCCTTGCCTCACCTTTTCTGGGACGTTTTCTCCCCACATTACAGGGTTTCCCCATACATAATTATAGTTTTCGGGGATAACATCTTCCTTCGAATATATATATAAGTTTACCAGGCATAATAAAAATAATTTTAAATTTTTAATTTTCATTTAATTTTTTTGGCCTAAATTGTACTCTTAATACTAGGGTCTTTAACATAAAAACCGTTAGACGAAAAATTCTAAGGAAAATTAATAAGTTGGCAGGCCCCTAACAATAGAGTTTTGCGTGTACATACTTAACGAAAGCAAATAATAAAAGCAAACTGTTTTATTTAAAGCTCATTGGAATAGAGCTTTTTTCTCGTTTTCTATTTAAGGAATTTAAAGTTTTATAAATTACTTTAAAACTTGTATGTGGTCTGAATTTTATTTTTATTGCCAAACTTTCTATATTTTTTTAAAATTATACCTATCTTTACAACATATATCGTTTAATTATTTTTTCATGTATATTTTTAATTCAAAGGTGTCCCATATTAATGTTGAGTTTTTGCATTACTTTGTTAAGGGAAATCTGACACTATTCACGGGACATCAAGGAATCTTTTAAATTTATATATGTACTTTGGCATGTATATTTTAGTTTTATTTGTAAGTGCACCCAAAATTCCAAAATGTTTGTAATCTTTTGTAAATAGTGCTTAAGCAAGAGACTATAACTTACTATAAAGGCTCCTCTAGCAATTTTTAATATTTTTGTGTGGGTTATAGTATAATATAGCTAGTTTTTTTATGCACATTGAAGTCTACGTTTGAGTATATCCGCTAGCAACTCTTTAAATAAACAAGCTGTTCTCCTGTTTTTAACCTTTGCTATATCAAGTTTGGAACAATAACTTATAGTAATACTACATAAGAAGGACTCCAACTAAACCCTATTCAGTTGACCGCCGGGATTTAGTTTCGGTGAATATCGTACTGTCAACGCCATTTTAAAAGCAGGGGAGAATTGAAAAATACTGTCACTTAACATAATTATAAACAACTGTTAAAATATACAACTTGAAATTAACTCAGGAGCTATAATTGCGTTTACCTACTCCTATGCGTATATAAAAGCACACTTCGATATACTTAAAAATAAAAAGATATTCCAAATTAGTAATAACAGATTAACTAATAGTAACTTTAAAATTATAAAGATAGTTTATATGTTAATTAAGGGCGGTAATAATCGAAAAAATTCCTAAATCAAAAGTTCGCCAACAATTCGTGGCTTTAGAAACTACTAAAATAAGTATTCTACTAGATAAATATTTACAATATCGAAGTCTCTAGCGTGTTTACACATTACAGAATAACATTTCATAAATTCTTTTTTTTAGATTAAAAATAATCCATTGTTATACTTATCGGCTTTCATCTGAGAAAGAGCTTAAAGTAGCCATAGAGGATCGTTTGGTGAAATAAAGGTAAAAATCGTCAAAAAATTCCTAAAAAAAGAAGTTTTTGAGGGTTTTCCTCCACTAAACAATTGTGATATAATAAATTAAAATAAAGCACACCACTCTTAGTTTTAGTAAATTTAGCTAAAAGTAAAATTAACGTCACGTAGTATGAAAACTAGGTCAACTACGTTTCTTTTAACGTAAAGCACGCCGATAAGTTCTGTACTCCTCATTACTCTAACTGCAATAAAAACGGTATTTATTGCAACTAAAAAAACTGCCAAAGATTTTTTTACTGTTCCAAGAATTTTACTCACTAAAACCGGAAAAAATAGTAAAAAATTCTATCAAGGCAATTATATTGTAATTTCTTTTCAACTAAAATCTAGAATTTAAAAAATCATGTCCAATAATTATTTCTTGCTTTAAAATAATATTTATAAGAATAAATCTATAAAATAATAAAAATAGAAAAAGGAAGATTTCATACTATCATATGTTGTTGGAGCAGCAGGCTGGTTTACAAAACATCCCTACTTTTTTGTGAAATTACTTGCAAAAGAGAATGTTTCACATATTCTTCCAAGTTTTTATAACTCTCTGAAGCCAAGTTGAAACTGCTATTTGAACCTCGCTTTACAAACAATGGGATAAAAAGCAAAAAAGGCATGGAACTCTAACACATAATGCACAAGTGTTGGGAAAACACTAAAGTTCCTCTCTACAAATTCAATGTTCAACGCCTCTTGGCTGCATATAAAGCTCATAGTTGCAAGATAAGCTAAAAAGTTTATTTCTTAAACTCTCATGCCGACTATTTTCCCCAAAAACTTGGGAGCCCATACTGAAGAGCAGGGCGAACGATTCCTACAGGCTGTTTTTCGAAAGACGCTACCCAGGAGGATGGAATGCGAGCATGCGAGCTGACTGAAACGGAAAATGGAAACCAAAAGCATTTTCGGAGGGGCATCAACGAGAAGAAGAAAGGGTTTCCAAACAAAAAGAGTGAACGGATAATGATAAATATACCATGAAGGAATTATTTGCGCTTAGTTCAATGCAATAAAATTAGTGTTTTTTTTTCATCGCTGTTATAAAATTTTGTTGTAACCCCCTTTATTTTGCAAAAAATGTACGTGATAGGGGAGAAATGGAGGTCTTTTGGGTTTGTCATCCTAGATAACATAAATATAAACTTTACCAAAAATATTTAATGCAGCTGAAAAAAAATTATATTTGCAGACCTCTGTTATTAATCTAAGTCGTGTCCGCGGAAAAGGGGGAAAGTTAACTAAAATGAACGGCGCCTTATCTTTACAAATGATAGTTCGTGGCAATTCCCTAAATGCTAACTTACTTTCCTCATGTTATTCTATTTATAAATTTCGTAAATGAGTACCTATCGAGTTTCTCTGTTCAGTGGAAAGTAGACCTTTTCCTTCATAAAGTTCATAATAATAGGTTTTTGTTAAATTTAATCAAAAATAAATCATATCTTTATCACCATGTACCCCGGAGTAACAAATGTACGTAAGTTTTAAGAGTTTCAAAATGCATTGTGTATAAGGAACCAATTGACTGTAATATTTGGTGTATACAGTAAAATTATATTTATAGTTTGAAATATACAGAATTTCAGTGTAGGGTTTTAAAATAGCGCCTTAAAACTAGTGAGGGCTGTAATAAGCAAAAGGAAAAGTAGAAAAAACGAAAGAGGGTAGGGGGAAAAGGGAAGCAGCTACACACGTGTCTACTTTATATACTCTTTGTCATACTGTCGGGAAAGATTTTTTGGTTCCCTTTCTTAATAATAATAAACAAAGTAAATACCCACAACCATTTAATTTACTTTGATAGCAACCGTGGCCTAACTTTTAACCATGACCTTTGAATAGCTTGGGCCGCTGTAGTTCCAGTTCGAGTCTAGGACGCTCGCTCAAGACAAGCCGTTTAAGAAGCTAAAAAGATAGAAGGCGCTCCTACATGGGCATGCCTCGACAGAGAAAACAAGTTACCGTTCTCTTTACGTGCTTTTTGCGGTTTAATTATATATAATGTCCCTCTGGAGGGTAAAAATAGTAGCATTACCCAGAGCAAACCCAAAGCAAAAATAGTACTTTTAGCCTTGTGGACGAGGCTCGATAGAAAAGTATCGCTGATTCTTTTAGATCATTGAAAGCAATACTTGTTTTAATGCATTTTTTTGGTGTTTAGGTTATTGCTCCTTTAGCCTTCTTTGAGAATAGAATAACTTTTTTTTTGAAAAATTTATACCTTGCAGTGTATGTACAAATGTTAATTTGTAGTTTACTATGTAAAAATGCCGTTATCTCCACTGCATGGTCGGGAAACTTCGTGATTTGGCTGAAGCTAAGAAAAGTCTTAATACTCGGAAATAGGATGTATTAAAAGTCTACGGTAACTAAGCTGGGTTTTTATTATTTGTCGGTGTTAATATGTAGCTTTAATTATTTTATTCTAGAAAAACTATTTTCAGTTATTATTTCAAAATCATACTCTAGTAGTGAAGTGAGTTTGTTTATAGCCGATGAATATATTTAAATATTTACTCTTGATTGCTTCACTTCTTAATATGTTGTAAGTTTCATGAGTTAAAAAAGCGTTCATAATTATAGGTACTTAAATAGTGTGTTGGTATTACTTTCGGAGGGCCTTTTGATTGCATTGTCCTGTTATTTGTTTGAAAAGCATTCCATATCTTGGTATTTTTTCTTGCTTTCAGGCATTCTATTCCTAATATTTAAAGCAGATATATTCTGCTTTTGTTTCTTTATCTTTTCCAAGATATTAACTTTGTTCGACCTTTTCTTATGAGGTTTTTATTAGGTAATACTACAGGTAAAAGACTTTTTGGTTTGTCATTTAGCGGCTTCGGGTCGTTTTTTTCTGTGCTTAACGAAGGTTAATTTATTTAAACGATGTTTTCTAAGTTGTTCTCAACTTCCTCAAAATTGTTTGCCTTACTATGTGTAAACTTATCTAAGTAAATTCTTGGGTTTTTTATTAATACGGGATTTTTTTGATTCATTAGTTCTAAAAAGATTTACGTGTAGATTAAATTTATGTTATTATTGAAATGTATTAACTCGTCTTAAAAACAACTTAATTTTTTGGTGTGTTGATTCCGAGTCTATCATATTCGTCTGTGCAAGCTGTTGGTTTAGAAAGAAGAACACCTCTGAAGGCACTCTAGCGTTTTTTTTAAAGTTCGGAATATATATGTATAAGACTTTGCAGTCTGATGGTTTTAATGAATCAAGGCCGGAGCTAAAATCAAAAAGTTGGTAAGGCGTGAGTTGTTCGCCCTTCTTTAGGATGACATCTAGAATTGAGGCTTGAGACTGCATAACGGACAGCCTCTCTCCATTGTATTTTGAAAGACTTTGATTGTTTATCTCAGGTCATGTTAGATAAGTTCTGAACCTCTTTACAGTTTTAATCCCCTCCTTTTGAAAAGTCTTAATTGAAACTATAGTTAATAAATTCGCTACCTTTATCGGTTTTTTTTATTTCTCCATAATAGCTGTTGTGGTAATTCATAAATTTTTTTAACGTATTTATTGTGGCGTTGAATCCCTTAATTTAAAAGGTTAAATGTCTTATTTACTTTAGCAATTAGTATTCTATATGTTTAGATTTTGCGTCATTACCAACAACACTAATTCTCGCATTTAAAGCATCTTTATAAAAAAATTGCAAATTTAAAATTGCATTGGACTTAATTAAACTCGTTTATCTTTTTCTTCATTCTTTATATCAAGCATATTTTAGTCTTCCCTTCTAAGATAAGGAATGTTCGGACAAATCTTTTTTAAGTAAGGACTTCCGTGACCAAACCTATAGTTTTTAATAAAACACGGGTTCGCGCTAAAATATTTTTTGATTATTCCATAAAGACAAACTCCTTACAATGAATACAACTATTTAGTTAAGCTTACTTGCTGGAATAAAGTTGTGTTTTCAGTGATAAAGACCCATATAAGCAGATATTCTAGTAAGCTTTGAATGACTGTTTACTATGTAATAACGTTTATGAAAGCCCAATAAAGGGTATTTCCTTGGTAGGAATCGATTTCACTAACTTAAATATGTGCACTATGCTTTTAATTGCTGAGCTATCACGACTACTCCAGATCCCGGGGTTACGGTTTTACGTATTTAACCTGTTAGTATTGGTAGGCGCCCGTGTCCACATTGTTTCATGGTTGAATCTTTATTGGTGTTTGAGCATGTAGGCTGCATTAATGTGCACAATATTTCCATAAGGATTGCATATCTCTAATAAAAGAACCATATTTTGACCACGACAGTCTTACAAGGAAGTTGGTGTTATAATTTGCTCTTGGGGTTTTAATTATTGATATTCTAAAAGAAAAAAAAATTTCTTCAGCTTTTTTGTCTCACTTGAAGCGAAGAGACTATTGCCGATGAGCCGAAGTCCCAGTCATGATCGGTAGGATGCACAACAAGTAAAGCGACGTTTGTCGTGCAGTAAGAGTTTGCTTCGGGCAAAAAGTAAAGGGTAAAGGATTCAAACCGCCACATTGATCTTCGCAATGATATAGTCTAAGGGTGGTTGCCTCAAGAGCTTACCTTAAATTATGACTCCCCTATATCGCCTGAGGACACCAAGGAGTACCTTGCTTCTAAAGGTCAGCGGCGGTAATGGTGTAGTGCGCTTCTATATAATAAAAAGGGCTTTGCTCTTCTCCACAGTAATAATTTTCCAACGACGACAACAGTTGGCAAGCGTCACTAGGTAGTATTGCAGACGTTAGCGCAGGTGACTTCTTTAACAAGGAGTAAATCGCCGTGTCATTCTAGAAAAAAGGCAGTCCGTGTGTGTGAGGAAGGGGGGGTGGGGGGGGGGGGGGGGGGCCTCAGGCTGTAACACGTCTTATACACAAAGTACAAAGAGTAAGGACGATCGGGCATCGCCCACGCCCACACGTATATTAAATCGCTGTTTTAAAGGTAAGATTTAAGCACGTTAAAATGGATAATAGGAAGAGCTATGTCGCGCAATTTGTGAAGCAAGTCCCTATGGCAAAGCCGGTCAAACGCTTTTTCGACGGCAAGAAAGACAGCGCCTGTTGTCTTCTTTTAATTAAAGGCACGGGGCGTCCACTCTGTAAAGCGAAGGAATTCTTGGGGCGTGGAGTGTCCTTGTCGAAATCTAAATTGGATCTCAGGCAGGGCGTGGCTTGCGTCAACAAATTCTTTTAAACGGCATAATAAGGCCGCCTCAGCTATTTTGCCAACAGCTGACAAGAGGCTGATAAACCTGTATTTGCTTGGCGTAGATGCTGGTCGTGGCGTCTTCGGGGTCATCACAACAGTTGCTGTCTTCCAGTGCAATGGGAAGGTGCAGAGAGACTTCGTAGAGTTGATGAGAGCGTAGGCGCTCTACCGCCATCATTGGTAATTGCTTAACAATAGTTGATGATGCCCTCGGGGTCAGGCGACTTTCGTCTTTGTAAAGCGTTAACAATCTCTATGATTTTGACTATGATGATTGGCTCAAGTTGTTCCTCTGCATCAGCAAGGAAGTTTGATTTACAAGCACTTTATCAGCAACTAAATAAGCAAGTGGTACACACAGAGTGGCATCAGTATGTAAAAAGTGTCGCTTTGTCAGCATCATTTCTCGCTACATTATTGCCGTCACCCATGGCAGGTAATGGTTAACGCGCTCCCTATATTTCCTAATAAACTTCCAGAAAGATACGCGACCGTTGGTGTTATCATCCGATATATTAATTAACGTTGTCTCCCACAATCGGTTGTAAAGAGCCAAAAGCTTTTTTCAAATGCGGCATTGTACTCTATTAAGCGCTAATTTATTTTCGGGGTGTTCAGGTACCGTGGTCACTAGAAAAAGGCGTCGCCACTCGCAGATGAGGGCCTTCAATTCATCAGGCAAGCTGTTAGGGCAAAACAACTTCACGTGTTGTCGTGGCGGTGTGGTAAGATTTGGTCAAAGCGCCCTCGAATTTAATAACAGAAACGTTAATAGAGCGGGCGGCCTGAGTATGACGGAAGATGTTGAAAAAAGTTTATAGAGCCTCGGGGAATTGAGCCCAGCTCATAAAAGTTCCGGTTTATGTCCTCAGCAACTCCTTATCGTCACTTAAACCAGGAAGAACTGGCAGATGGATACGTCTGATGCCTTCGCCATTTGCGTGCTTACTGTGGTTCTAAGACTCGCAGTTCACGCTCGTCGGTGTAAGATCGGGGTACAGCCTTTAAAGTAATCGACATGGCTCATGCACGAGGGATGCTTCCACTTACTACATCTAAAGAAATTTCTAAAAATGGCAGAGATCTGTAGTAATAAGTGACCTACTGGGGACTTGTAAGCTGCGATAACCGACATGGGCTCCTGGCTAATTAAGTAAAGGCAAACTCCAACCGTGTCAATGCTTTGCAGAACTAGCAAAGATATCACAATGTGTAGGTCTCGTCTGACCAAAGTAACTGCGCTCTCCACCGCTTTATCAAGGCTTAACGGTACGTCAAAAATTGCAGAGATTGAATGGAACGTTGGGAAGAGTATGAGTCTCACTAATAACAAACAAGTCAATTCTTTCGCGTGGCATCAATTCCTGTAACCCTTGTTTCCTATGTAGAGGGCAATCAGCCTTCCAAAAGAGAAGACGGGATATAATGAAGTGCTTGTTGCCTAAAAACCATTGTAAACAGAAATTAGGCAGTTCACCATCCCACCCATTGTTCACAGGTTGGTCGTCAAACTTGAAAGCAATTTTTGAAGCCACAGTTGCGGTTGTTGGGGGTTGGTCTGAAGAGTTGTCTTTAAGGCCAAGCGAGCGGTATAAGGAAATGACGAGGTCTGTTTTTAAAGTGTTGGTAGAGCAGTTTATTTAAATGGTGTAGGTTTTTGCGGATAATGTTTGCAGTCACCATAATTGGCAATGTGCGTCATACATTTAGAAAAACTGGGAGACTTTCCGCGCTTTCGTGCACTGTGCAGCCAAGTGGCTCTCACCACACTTATTCAACGGGGGCTGCAGGGTAGAAACTTGCGCTGTGTCCAAATGCATTACAGCAGTGGCACCGTCCGACCTGAGTACTCTTTCGGAGTTCTTCCACCCTAACTTGAAGAGAGAAAACCTTCTTGAAATCCAACAGCTTTTGTAGATTACTCCTCGTTATATTCACTAGCATCATTTGTAAAGATCGATTTCTCTGTATCCCATCGATAGTGTCTTCCGCGTGCATCCTTGTCACGTGGGGGGGGGGAAGATGTCTTGCGTGCATGTCTCAATCGACGGTTCGGACGGTCGAGGTGGCAATAGGTTCTGCAATGAGCAGACTTTAAAGGCTTGCCCTCTGAAGTTGGTAGATGAAAAGAGGTAGCGCTGCATAACGCATTGGCATAATGGTGGCTCGATACTCGTCCATTATGGCTGGGAATATTATAATACCTAGACGCGTATTCTTAGACTTCGGAATATTATTGGTGCGTTGATTGGCAGGTTTTTAAAAATGATTCTAATGTTTTTCGCAAGGGTCACAGGCGAGCTCTTATTATATCTCCTGGGAGGTGCAGGAGCGGAAAGCGCCCCGGAGTAGCGGGAGGTATTTCGGGCATAAATTTGTTGTTCATTCTCCAAGTCAAGGGTATCTTCGTAACAATTATAAGAAATATTTTTAGTGATATATCTAATAATTTATCTATCAAGGTTATTTGCAAAAGTATTATTACTAAAATTTATTATTCTTTTTGTTTTTACTGTTATTAATGTGGTTGTTAATAGTATTGTTATAATTTATTTCAATGCCCTTTTTTATAAAATTATTTCCTTCACTTCTCTTTTAAGACTTCTTCTTTTCAAGGCTCGTTAAGTATTTAGAGAGCAGAGTAAGGTTTAGCATTAGTAATTCTAATTGAACAATATTCCATCGGTTCTTTTAGTCTTTTTGTCGCGTTTTTTATAGAAGACGTTTTTTCAGGGTCCTGTAACATCAATTTCGCAGCCGTCAGCTTTACAAAGCTCCTCAATAGTATCTAATAAATTAGCATTCGTGATTCGGCTTCCAGAAGGGAGGAGCCCATTTCATTAATTAACCAACAAACAAACACAAAAAAAAGAGAAACCTGCGGAGCAAGAAGTGACTCAATTCTTTTATTTGCATTGATCATAGATATAAAAATAGATAAATTGCGTATTCACTTCAAATTGGTCTTAAATCTGAAAAGTGCGCTAACAATTTGCTCGCGTTTTGTGCCTTTATAAGTGGCTACCGTAGGAATTTCTTAATAGTTTCGAAAAGTAAATAGGATTTTTTAGAATATTATATATAAATTAAAGAAATGAACAAAAATAATTAATTATCTGATAAATACAAGATCTAGAGTTAAGTAATCTTCTTAAGTCAAAATAAATACGTGATTATAACGTAATAGAAAAAAAGAAAGGAAAAGGGGAGAAGAAGGGGCAGCGTCCACAAAATTTTCATTTGTTTTAAACAATTTTCTCCTAATATAAATAAATCTAAAATCAAATTATCTGAGGAATCTATGATTTTTAACATATGCATGCAACTAGATTTACTTTTTGAATTCAAGGACACTCTTATACTCGCTTTTAATTGATTGTAATTTACACAAACCCCCTTACCAACTACGACTTCGCGCGCACCTTTAATAGATAAAAAACGCTGAATTTCTCCGACAACTCTGTGACTTTCATTGGGTCTTTAAGTTTGCCACGAAGACTCGCGTATACGTTAGACTCCTTGGTCCGTGTTTCAAGACGAGTTAGTTTAAGCTCTTCGTGCTAATAATTAACTACGAAGATAGCTTTAACGTAAATTCTTGAAAGGTCATCCTTTTTTTTAAAAATCTTATACAAACGACGTAAGGCGTTATTATTAAGCATGTAGAAACGCGATAAGTGCATAAAAGAGCAATTATCCCAGATTACACCAGTGCAGCTCCGTTTCGTTATAATAAGCTTTAACTAGCGAACTAGCTAAAAAGCATGGGCCCTTTTGAAATCTCTAATCTATTGTTAAGATTTTTTGTATATTATATTTTAAAGTTAATTGGGTTTTACTCATATTTATATTAATACGACACAAGCCGTATTTGAATTAATGCTGTTAACAATACGGCATGATAACTAAATAACTAATACACTTTGCAAGTGCCAATGTTAGTACGACTCGTGCACCAGGTTCTATGTTCAAGATTTTATAATATTTATATAGATTATAAAATACTGTAATTTTTTATAGGTTTCGATTTACCTATATTAAATTTTTATGCATTCTGCAATGTATTTTTATTTATTTTATATTTATAATACTCAAGTTCACAAAAAATATTTCGTTGAAAGAATTAAGTTAAAATTTTCTTTCATTAGGCAAAATTTTTTGCTTTAAAAAACTTTAAAGTTTGAGGCTTGGCAATACGAAACTATAAAGTTTATTAATTTTATTTCTAATAATTTACGTCCCAACAAGTTTTAAGGTTGGTGGTGTAGCATATATGCGCAATAAGTTAGTTAATAACTTTTTTTATACACATTAACTACTACTAAACGAGATATCAAGTAACGATTATAAACCTACTTTATTGTTTAAAAGGATAAAATAGCATCTAATATTTTAATGGGAAACAAGGTGTATATTGGCTTATTTAAAATTCATCGGTTACTTTAAACGCTATAACTTCCTTTAAGTAACTTGCAAAGAAACGACTACTTTCTTATATGCAAAATAAAAGAAATAAACTCCTTTTAACAAAATCTTCTCCTTCACACCATACTAACTCTAGATGCTTTAAATTTTCAAAGCACTTTCACAAAATTTAAGTAAGGACAATATCTTTTAAAAGGTCTTTTCATACTCAAGTTAACCTTCACAACATCCTCTTAAAAATGTAAATAATTTTTAAAAAAATAATTCTAACATACTAAGTAAAAATCTTTTAAAAGTTTTATCAACTATTATACAATATCCTTACTAGTTATTTTTTTATAAAGCTCATAACAGAAACGTATAATCCAAACATAACAGAGGTAATGTCGTTCACTGCCATGGGTGTGACAAAACTGGTGTGTATACCGTTATCCGCCAAGACAGCATCCTCTATTCTATATACTACTGATGAATTTACAAATTCTTGACCTAATTGAACGCAGACTGCTTAGTTTTATGAATAAATAGTATTGTGCGTAGTTACAATTAAATTTTCGCGGGTTTTCTCATCATAAATTAATATATTTACAAAGAAGAACGTACCGCGAAACAGTAGAAAGCGTGGCTATGTAAGTTGATGAGCTCACTAGCGGTACAAATGTCTGTAGAAACGGCAGCAGTTCCATTTCGAACAAAGTTTTTAAGCCGGACAAACTAGGGCGGCGCCGGTCATTAAGGTTGTAGGCGTTAGTTAGCTTGCTTACAATTAAAAAAAAAGTCACTTGTTGGTTTATGGTTGCTTTTTAATAATATGCTTTTCTCTTTATTAGTATTTACCTTTCCTTATGATTGTTATGGAGAAGGTAGCGTTGGTTAAGGCGACAGTTATTGCTAACGATGAAAACAAGGTATATTTTTTAATAATTTCTACTTGTTACAATATCGTTATAAAACTTTTAGTCTTTTTTATATAACCTATTCTTTTTTTGCAGGAGTTCGAATTTAAGTATAGTCCCTTGGACAAAAATTCCTTAGAAAGTATGTATCTTGCAGTAAAAGATTTAAAAAAGAAACTTAATTTAAACTTAACTAATTTAATGCTTGAAATTAAAGAAATTAAAAAAGAGAAAGAGGGGGGGAGGGGTGGGGAGGGGGATTGATGACTTATTATATAAAGGAGAAGTAACTCTTTTTTTTAATAGTTTATAATATTTTTATTAATATAATCTATTCTAACTTTTGGTTACCTGAACATAATTTATCTAGTGTTTATAACTTATAGTATATGAAGCATCTTATAAATTTTATTGTAGTCACAGTAAAACTTGTGTAGTGAAATTGGGTTTATTAATATTTAAGTAAAGATAAAAATAAAGTTACAGTACTTTTTGTTGCAGCGATTAGACTTTTTATGAGTTCATGATATTAATACGGACCAAATTTCGAGTTTAATATTAATATTAAGTCTGCTTTAAGGTCTTTATTAGTGTGAGCGCCTCATTCTAAGTTTTATAATCAGTTTATTTAAACACACACTTTACATCAAGCGCGCTAAAGTTGGTAATATTCTTAAATGGCACAGTAGTACCAGTTCTTTTCTTTATTGATCGCAACTCTGTAGACTAAAGTGGCTTGCAACAGTGAAATGTTTTTTTTTTAATCTTGAAGGAGAAAAGCTCTTAGGTTTATTAAAGAAAGACTTTAATAATTTGTGATAACTAAAAGTTAAACTTTTAAATTAATTTTAATAGCTAATTTTAAGTCTTTGTTACTTAAAAAATATATATTTTTTTACTTTCGCAAAAGTCTGTCGTTATTAACTATTAAACATGTAATTTCAGTTTCGATTTCTTGCTTACGTAAGATTTTTATTAAACCAAATTTTAAATAAGGACTTTTTTTACAACTAACATTTTTGCTTTGTAAAATGTCGCTCCTGCTATTTGGTTTCACTGAACATTAGGCACAACTATAACTTAGGTCTATTTACCGAAGAACGATCACGGATACGATGGTCTGTTTTAAATGCTTCTGCGTTAGAAAGGTTAAAGTTAAAGCACAATAAAAATTATGTAAAGCAAATCTGATTTGTTAGATTAGCCCAGTAAGAAAATTCTAATAGATTCAGCTTTTAGTGGGTTATGCAGTTAGCAATGATTATTGAAAGGTCAATAAATATATAGAAAAGGGAGATGGGCATACGTCAGCTAAAGGCTTCAGGTCTTTGGTGTTTGATGCAAGCTATTCTAGTAAAATATTTCGTTTTTCCCTATTCGTGACAAGTTAGAGGAACTACATTCCGCTTGTAGAGCACTACGCTTTTAAAAGCTAGAAATAACACTATAAAACTTTATATATATGCCGTTTGATTTTAGCGAGGGCGTAGCCCGGTTTACTCAGTAAGATAAATCGTTTCCTGTGATCTTTACTCAATTTCTTCGCTTTTTATTTTTTAATAAAGTTTGTAAATTTATAATTTTTAACCTCCTTTCATATTGGCGATTTCAAAGAGGGAGCAAACGAAACATTTTAAACCTTTAGGTGAAAAAAAGGTTATATAAAATTCCTTGAGCGTTATTGAATGGCATTGCTTGTTTGTAAGTCGTCTATAATTCAGTATATAATTTTCGAGTGGTCTGGTAGAAGTTTATTAAGAAAAATCAAAGTAAGGCTGTAAATATTATTTTTATTAACGCACAGAAATCTTTATTATACAAAAAAATATCTGATTGAAATTCGTTTAAAATTTTTATGTCAAATGTTGATAAAATGGTAGCATATTAACAAATTTGTTGTAAGTCGTTGGCTATATAAGGGACATACCTCAAATTCCCCCTTTAAGCCTATAAAAGTGAAAAGATTATTTTTCTCTATATTTACAATAGTAAATGTATTAAACTTCTATATTGTGGCTACTACAGTATTTCAGGCAAGCTAAGGCCTCCTTCGCTATATCTTTTATAATAAAATTAAGTCTGGTCTTTTAATAACTGGTGCGCTCGCTGCTAGCTTAGATTTTTAAAAGGAAAGTTTTATCCTTTAGTTGGGTTTTAACTCAGCCTAACTTATCGCATACTTAAAGTCAGGGCTACAAAACGATTTATTAATTTTTTATATGAAACAGACTGTCATGATGCATTGTTTAACCTTTATTAGTTTAAATATGATAACTGCAGCCACACCACAGATCATACATATGTAAGCAACCTTACACATATAAATTTCATTCTGCCAACCTTTAATTGTGCTTCACAGTTTTTTGTTTGGTCACTTGTTTGGTTTTCTTTCTAGCCTAACAGGGTAATTTTAACAAAGAACAAGAAAAACCATGTTTAATGAAGTAGTAATCTAAAAAGTTGCTGGAGCTAGCTAAAATCAGTATTACAAGCCACACGACTTTTGCAAAAGGCAAATCAGTAACACTGCCTTCTCATGTCCCTAATTACTGAACAACCGTTAACTAATATTGCAATACAAATCTATTTTTTAAAACGAAGCTGCGTCTGTATAAATAGTTTATTTGTTAAAGCTTAGGGACACTTCAGTACTTCCCTGGTAGCACTATATTGTATGTAAGTTTTGGGAGCTATGTATAAAATTAACTAAAACACAATGAATGTTCAGCCGGTGTACCTCCTCACTCTGTTGCGTTAGCTCCTTTTTGTGCGATTAAGTTTTACAATAGTATTTTACCTTCTTAAAGTATAGCGCTCTCTTTAGAGTCTTTAAATTGCACGGATTCTTTAATAAAATGAAAAACTAGAAACCTATAATGTTTTGTTATCGATTTCTTTTAATTAAAGCCTGTTCCAATTATTAAACTTGGCCATGACTCTTAAGATATTCACGTGAAAAAAACAATTAAAAAAATTGAAGTGATTGAAGTTCTTTCTTAGACAGCTTAAAGAAACCTTTTCTTTTTATATTTTAATATTTTTAAATTAAATAAGGGTACGTGAAAAAAGGCATGGTCCCACTCTGTAATTTTTGCTAATTGTATTATTTAAAGTAGTCTTTAGAATAAAGTAAAGTAATAAGTAAAACTTTACTCGAACCTCAAGAGTTCGTAATATAATATCTCATTTATGATACTAAGTTGTTAAAAATTCTAATTTTTACATAATATTTTTTGATTGGTTTTGTTCAAATAATTTTATAGTGGTCTTTTATTCACACTTTTGCTTATAAATCATATATTTCATAAGCCTTATCATAAAAAGTTTAAAACAATGGATTTCCTGCCTATAATGAGGCAAAATATCTCAAATTATAAAATGAGTAATATTGTTTTCTTTATTTGATGAATGTGCAGCTTAACGCAGTTTCTACAAATAGAATCTACTTAATAAAAGTTTAACTTTCACTTAAAGTTTTGCATATTAAATATTTTGTTGCATCCGCGATGTTAACCAGTAATTATTCAAAATATCAACTATCAAAAACGAGAGCAGTGCCTTTTATTTATAAACTTAAACGACCAGTTTAAAATTTTGCTTCGTCAAATCTTCGAAGAGTCTTTTTAAAAATAAAAAACTTGTTTTATTAATAGATATTAACAAATAATTGCAATTAACTTATTACTACAATTTCAATATTGTTATACACAAATCAGAAGCTCTACTTAATTCTTTTCTGCGAAAGTTATTAGGTTGGTAAGAAGTTAGAATCTCGGGTCTACTGCTTTGTGTTATGCTTTAACTTTTTTTCTTACAAAAAGTGCTTAGTTTCAGTAGCCGTATTCCAAGTGGAAACTAGCTACCAAGAATGTTCACAGTTCAACAATCTTATTAAAAACTCTTTAGTATTTTAAAAAAAAATGAATTAAGAAGTAGAAAATATAGTTAACTTAGACACTTGCCAGCAAACTAATAAAATTTTCGAATACATCCTACAAAGAGAAATAGCACGTATTATTTTATTAAAATATGGATATGCTGAGCTAAAAATATGTGAACGAGTTTTATTTTAATTATAGTAAAAGAGCGTCCATTAAAATTGCAGTAGTAAACGGAGTTTCGTCCTAACTAGCTGATACTTAATATTTCCGTTAACCTCGAAGCAAAATAATTTAAGCAGTGCAGTGCAAAGGGGCGTATGGCAAGCAGCAAACTTTGTAGGACTGGATGCACAAATCCAAAAAGTACTCTCCACTCAACGCCAACGCCAATATACCAGCCAAACCGTGGACTTTACTTTCATCGTCGTAGAGATTTTCAGGGCATAATCCGTTTAAAAATTCGACCTGCGTCGGCGAGCTTTATTATAAACTAGTGAGGGGAGGACGATAGATAGACAAGAATGCACCGCGTGGTTTTTAGCAACAATGATGTCGATTTCTCCCGTCCCATCGGTGACTTGCAGGACAAAGAAATACTCATAAACAATACGGTCGTTATTCTCACGAAAGCCTATTTAATTAGTAGCATCATCACTAAAGATTTAGCAAAAAGAAGAGCAGTACACTTTAAACAGGCTCCTTGTTGGCGCGATACGACACCGTCCTCGCAGGCAGTACACTTGGCGAAAGTAAATGCTATTAATAGACATAGTCCGCAAGAGCACACAACGGTACGAGCGAAGACACGCGTACCAGTCAGAGTGCGCGGAAAAAACGCAACGACACGTGCTCTGCACCGAAACGTATTGGGCGCCTAAAGAGCGTGACGCCATAGGGAGAATCCTTTCAACAAGCAGCAATAGGAACCTCGTGTTCTTGCAATATCTGGGAAAGCGGGGAAATCTTCCTGTTCGGGTGGCTGACTACTGAAAAAATACGTGACCACGCGCAGCCCATGTGGAAGGAGAGAAGGAGCGATGCTACCGGAGCACAAGGAGGTCACGTCATTGGGAGTAGCCGCCATGTCGATTCTACGCTGGCACACGAATGGCCATCCCTGGCGGCATAATCCGCTCCGATAGCGTAGTGAGGAGAAAAAACCAAAGTGCAAGGAACAAGTAGCGGTACTCCAGGCGTTCTTGAACGTCCTCGTCGTCGTCTGAGAGGAGGCAGAAAGCATGGGGAGACGCCTTCAGACCGACCCTGCACTCGCCGCCTTCACTTTCTGCTGAGGATAACAGGAGCCGAAGAGCAGTAGAGAGCAAAGCGACCCACCCGGTAAGGAAAACAGGCCGGAAAAAAGGACCCATTTGTGAAGCAGAGCAGCTATTTGCTCCTTTTTTAATAAAGTATAACATATAAATAAGAGCTCCGACAGTTATCCGCCTGACAGTATCATGCCTTGGTGGATCCGGGAGCGCGCACAAGGACACGTCCGGGGGCAACTTGGCTCTTCGATATGCTGAACAAAAAAATATATTATAGAAAGGAGGTGTCAAGAAAAATAGAGGAGGAACTACTGAGGAGGAACGGATCCGTCCATGATCTCGAGAACGCACGAGTCCTTTTCCTCGCTAGAAACGTTGCAAAGCTGTATTAAGCTTAAGGAAGTGCATCCACAAGCTTATGTGAACGCAGCGCGCCACCTGCGCAACAACAGTAACACTTGCGAAGGGCGGCAGCAGGTCCTTCAGCTTGACCAGGTAGGGTCGGGGGGAGGTAAGCTCGATTCCGAGCTCCAGCTGTACGGGCCGATCTTTTAAAATGCAGCTCGAAGAAAAAAAGAAAGGATAAAACCTTCTGAGATGCAAACTTCCGCAATTCAGCAAGACGCTTGAAATCGTAGTCCGACACAGCAACCCTTGAGACGAACGGAACCGCCAGACAAAATCCGGATGAACGCTAACTACATACCTTGTGGCTGAGGAGAAGCGAATTTGCTGGCGGCACTTCGGGTGGTGGATCTCCAGTACACCACCCCACGCAAGCTTTCTGAGTATCTCGACGCGAAGTCGTCTATAGAGACTTTAGAACGATCTCGATAGAAAAACAAATTATAAAACTTGCTTTGAATTGAAGGCTAAAAAACGGAAGTCGTCTTTTTTCAGGCTTAATTGCAGTTTTCCCTGATAGAATTTAGTCTGGCACAAAACAAGATGAACCCAACTGTAAAATTTAGGAAAAACACGAGTCACCGTCGCCTTCTGGATTCGTACAACGTCTCCAAGAACTAACCGGGGCAACGCCGCCTCGTCTTTCTAATTTATAATTGCTAAGAAATTATTCCTTTTAACTGTTAAAAAAACAATAACCATAAAGATTGTTATTTGTACACCGTGCTCGGATCCCCAAGACTCATCTCCAATAGAAATTAATACGTAAAACTCTAGGGAAAATCAGTAATTCGCAAACACTACTCTGCATTCCCACGCAAACGGAAGAAAGTTGGTGAACCTTTACTCTTTGAAGTTTCCGGTTTTCCTTTTATAAAGCAAACAACTCCTTTAATAGTATATATGTAATAAAAATAAATATGACTGAGCAAAAAGCGCGTCGTGCAACCATAAACATTGACTTCTGATTTATCCGGTAACGATGTAAGTTCGTTAAGCGGAGTATACGAATAGTCTGGACTGCTCTCAACCTCCAGCTTTGTTAATTTTAAATCAAAACTGAAACTATACAAAAATTCAAAGTAGTAGTACGTTTAACTTTTCCAAACAGGAAATTTTAAATGCACGCTTTATTCCCGGTTTGGTGCAAATTTTTCTTTTTCTCTCTATAAATTTTAAAAATTGAGTAAAGAAGAACTTTTAAAAAACTTATAACCTACGAATAGTGTCTCGGTTTACTATAGAAAAGTACGATCTTTCAGCTCGAGGAGAGTAAGCCTAATTAAAAAGGCCAGCATGCAGCTGATAAAACTTTAAAGGTTATAGAATGCATAAACATATAACGCCGTGCAGTTGATGTTCAAATCTAGAAGAATTTTTAATATTCCCGGATACTCTTCCACTACCTCCCCCTGCACGGCCACTTCGTCCTGGTCAGAGATAAAACGTGATTTTAGAAGAGCTTCGTAAGGCGAAAGTTAATAAAAAGGTACTCCGGCTTTTAGAAAACTGCAAGCCGTCTTCAGAGTTTCCCCACAAACTTCAACTTGTACAGAAACAATGGATTCTTTTATAGATGGAGCTAAATAAAAAATTAAAGAATCCTCTTTTACTTCTACACTTCCTACCACTTTTCCCTAAGATTATATAGTCTTTTTTAAATAAAATAAAAAATGGTAGGGAAACGAGCCTTTAAGCAAGCTTCTTCCAAAAAGAGGCCTTTAACTAATGAGCTTAAAGGAACCTGAGGGAGGTGTTGTATTTTTTGCTCCAGCATAAATGAATAACTTACTCAAATAAGCCAGGTCACAATAATAACAAACGCAATGCATAACAAACTCAACTTGAATACCAGAAGGCTTAAAGAGGCGCCTTAAAACATTGCTTGACCTAAGTACGTGGAGTTGCTTATCAGCACAAAGTTTTTAAGAGGTTGCTGTAAACTTTTATTCCGCACGCATTATTGTTTTAGTCGTCTTAAAAAAATTTTATACAATAATTTTTTTTGTTTATTGAATTATCATCTGCTTCATGTGTTAAACCCAGGTATACTAAATTTTGATCAGTTGAAGACTTGCCAACCTCTAAAAACTTGAAAAATAAAAGGTCAACTTACATATGCAATATGAGAGATATTGTCTTTGGAAAATTAAATTTTTTTTTTGGCTGCCTACTATTTTTCTCAAGTAAATTTATCATACCAGCACAGTTCCTTGAATAAAAGTGTAAATCCTGACTAGTTTATGTTTGGTATTTTTATTATAAAAAAACCAAAGAAAGAAAAAAAAGATAACTGATAACAATTAAAAACTGATAGAAACAAAATAAATTATTATATCTTAAAAAACTTATTCAAACCGATAATTAAAAGTTATAAATTGCGCAGCTTTTCGCGGTTTATATTGCTTTTACGTAAAAGTATAACGCTTGGGTACATAAAACAGTCTCATTACTACCACTTAACCAAAAAACTTTCTTTTACTAAATAGATAATAACACCAGAACAAAAGTTCGTAAAAATACCTTTTTATTAAGATGTAGGAGGAGGTAGGACACCAGCAAGCAAAAAACATAATATATAAACTTTAAAGCCTTCAATGAAACTCCACTTTATAATAACCTTTATTCTTAAGTGCTCTAATCCTATAAAAATCTTGATCATCCTAAACCCATTGCATGGAAAAGAACAGATAAAAGTGAGTAAGCGGTTTATTAGTAAAAAAAGAGATGTGGCATCGTAATTTTAAAATAAAATTACTATTTATTAATCGAAAAACTGTTCTACTTAATAGCACGTGACCTAACACGTGATAAGTCAGCTTAAAGTTTTTCTTTAGTGCTATGATGTTTGTGATTTCAAACGTTTTACTTATTACTTCCTTGCAATGTCTAACTCGTTGCTTCGCGTAAGAAGGGCAGTTCCGTTGTACTTTCGCTTTTGTATTTCACAAAAGTCTTCTTTGAAGTTTATTAGAAATTATGAAAAGTTATCGGTTGCGGCTTTTAATAAAGTTAAGGCTTCGGGTTATCACAGCAGTTCTATTGCAAATTTTCGGGCGGGTATCAAGGTTTGTTATTTTTTTTATCATCCCGTAAAAATTTTATTATGATAACTTATGCATTCAGCTTAACGAAACCATTCCTGAAGCTCAAGTTGTTGAAGAGATAAAGAAAAATGACAGTGCTTCTAAAGAAAAAATTATAAAAGGTAATTTTTTTTAGTCTACCTTAGTATATTCTTGTTTTACATTATTTAGAATTTTCTTTAAGGCTTTATTTTTTAAAAATAAATTATACCTTACATATAAATTAAAATTTTGAACGTTAAGTTTTTAGTAAGATTTACGAATATTTATATAACGTCTAAAATTTCACTTTAGTTATTATCTATTTTTTTCAGCTATTCCTTATATTTATTAATGAAAATTTAAAAGGAAACGCTGAAAATCTCCAGTTTCAAGCAGAAACGCAACAATTACTTCATATTGTTGCGACTTCTCTTTATTCCGATCGAGAAGTATTCATTCGTGAGTTGATTTCAAACGCTTCTGATGCCCTTGAAAAATTACGTTTCTATAAAGTATTAAAATTTTATTTATAATTTTATTAATTTTTTTTACTTTTTTATTGAATTTTGTTTTTTTAATTATTTTATGTGGTAAATTTTATTTGTTATTTTTTTTTTACTTTTAGTTAATCAGATTAAGAAAAAGTTTGATCAACTTTTTTTTAGTGTCTGTTTTTGTTTTGGAATTTTCATATTCAAATTTTACTTTTACTTTATTATTATTATTGATTTGTGAAAACTACTTATGAATTTTTTTACAAATTTTGAAACACTATAAATTGTTAAATTTTACTTTTGACTATATATATAATTTATTATAAAATCTTTTCGCTTCTTTTTTTGAATTTAATTTGACGAAAAGTGTTTATTTTTTCTTTTATATTGCTTCGTTTACTTTTTTATTCAAATTAATTTTTGTTAACTTTTTAGTTATTTTTTAATTTTTGAAATAATATTTTTATTACATTAAATTTAATTTTTTCAGTTTTTTTTTTCAAAATTATTAATTTTTTATATTTTTAAATTATTTTTTGAATTCTCCTAATCAAAATTTGGTTAGCTTTTTTTTAAAATATTTTTTGTTTATTTAATTTATTTTTGTCAGTTTTTTTTTTAGGTTTCGTTATTTTATTAATTAAATTTCTTTTAAATCTATCTTGTTAGTTCCTTCTAACTTGAGTTTACTTATGATTATATCGTAATGAATATTTGTTTCTCTAAATTTTTTATTCTTTTATTTATCACCATTATAAACTTATTATTATTCTAATATTTAATTTAATAATACATTAATCTTTTTTTAAATATAATAAAATCTTTGAATTTATGAATAATAAAAGTATTTTTTCTTTATATTTATGCTATAATTTATGAATATTAATATTTTTTAGATTTATTTTTTTATTATTCTATTTTATTATATATACTTTTTATGTTCTTGGTACTATTTTTATTATATATAAAAGTTGACTGATGAAGCTGCTAAGGATTGCAGCGATTCACTTTCGATCAGCATTCGCGTTGAACCAGAGAAGAAGATTTTTGAAATTCAGGTTTTTATAAATATTACTTGTGTTTATTATTCTTTAGTTTTATTTATGTATAAATTTTAACATTTATTATAAATTTATTTTAAAATCTGTTTTTTTGTGAGTTTATCATGAATTTAAAACGAAATTAATAAATTTTTATATAAATAAATATAATAAAAAGTAATTTTAAATTATTTTTTTTTAATTTTGTTTTCCAGTTTGTGTTTTGTGTATTAAATATTAATTTTTTAAAATTATGTAAAAACTTTATAATTAATTTAAAACGAAATTAATAACTTTTTTATCAAATTTAAAAACTATAATATTATTTTTTTAATTTTATTCTTGAATTTTTATTTGTGTATTGGAAATTGTATTTTTTTTAATTACATAAAAAAATTATAAATACGTAAAATAAATTTATTAAATATTCATATAAGTAGATTTAAAAAATGGAATCTCAAGTAATTATTTTTTTAATCACTAAATTTTTTATTTGTTTATATCCAAAATAATATATACTACTCCAAATGAAACTAATAAATTATTATATTAATAAATATAAAATGTATTTCAGATTACTATTTTAATTTTATTACTCAATTTATATAATTTATTCTAATTCTATTTTTTTTTAAAAATTAATAAATGCTTTATAACGAACTAAATAGATTTTTATAAAATCTACTGAAATAAAAGTAAATTCAAAATATTATTTAAAAATTTATTACTGAAATTTCTAATGTTTATTTTTGTATTTTTAATTTTCTTGAATTCTAAAAATTATTAATAAAATTTCGGAACTATAATTCTTAATAATTTATTAATTATATAAAGTTTTTATAAATAATTAATATGTAATTTTTTATAAAGAAAATTTTATTTCAATGAATTATTATAATATTCTCTTGTAATTTGTGTGTATAAAATATTTATAATAATATTAATTTTACTAACTTGTTACTCGAAATTCATAAATTTATAATTTTATTAACTTTTGGTATGTTTTAAAATTAATTTATTTAAAAAAATCAACAGAATGTTTTTATAAAACGTTATTATTTAATTTTAATAATTCTTCAACGTTTTTTCTAATATTTGTAGACTTTCATAATGAAAAATACTTCTTTGGAATATATAATTTTATAATTTTCTTCTATTTTGCTTTATAATTTTTTCAAAAATAACTTTTTAACAAATTTCTACATTCTTTTTACATAATACATTCTTAATAAAAGTTTTTAATTAATATTTTATATTTTAATCTTTTTTTATAGTGTTATTAAATTTTTGTAGACTTTTATAATAAGTTATACTTCATTAGAAATTATTATTTAAATTTTTTTCAAAATTTCATATAATTAAAATAGTTGAAAAGACTTTATATATAAAACGTAAGAAACCATCTTTATAATTTTTTATAATTATTTTTATTATTTTATTTTTTTTTAAAGTTATTTTTTAATTTTGCGAACTTGTACTATAAAAATTACTTCATTAGAAATATTATTATGAACTCTATTTACTTTTGGTTCTTTCTAAATTACTACAGACTTTTTATTAAAACATAATTTATAATAATTATTTTTAGTTTTTCTAATTTTATGAACTTTATTATAAAAAACACTTTATAAGGACTAATAAATATAATTCTTTATAAAAATTATTCAATTAAAAATTTGATACAGACCTTTTCTTAAATAGTAATGCGACATAATTATGTATAATTTTTACTAATTAATTAGTGTTATATTGAATTTTTAAAGTTTTTTTTTCTAATTTTTGCAGACTTTAATATAAAATTTATTACAGACTTTTATATAAAAACGTAGTGAATAATAATTTTTTTTTTTACTTCGAGTATTTATTATAGTTATTTTGCTTTTTTTGAAGTAATTTTTCTAATTTTTCTGACTTTGTTATGAAAAGTACTTTATTTGAGTTTATATATTATTATTATATTATGGAATAAAGTTGTACAAATTTGTAAATTTAAAAGAAAATTTTATTTTCCATCAGAATTTATTTTATTTTTTTATTTTTCTTAATATTGTAATGATTTTACTTTTCCATGAAGATAATAATTTTTTCAACTTTTAGATTTTATTATGAAAAGTAATTAATATTAACTATTAAATTTACTTTTATTTTATTATTTTAAAGAAATGTTTATTTTGAGATTTGCAAAGTGTACTATAGAAAGAAAATAATTATAAGTTTTCCGATTTATTATTTTATTTTTTCCTTTGTAAGTTAGTATGTAATTATTTAAATAAAAAAGTTATGTATAAAATTTCTCTTATTTTTAAATTTATTTTTTTATAGTAATTATATTTACTTTTATTTAATTAATAATTTTCTTATTATTATTGCGCAAAGATAATTTTTATATTTTTAGTTAATAAGAAATCGCAGTCTTCATGAAAAATAAAGTTATATATTTAAATTAATTAAATTTTTTTAGTTTCCTATTACTTTCTATTACCTTAAATTAATTTTTTGAGGCTTTTTTTTTTTGTAAAAATGCATTTACTTTGTTGTTCATTTTGATCCGAAAACTATTATAGCATATAAATATAAATTAGTAATCTATAAATTTAAATTAAAAAACTAAAAATTATTTTAGCAAATGGATAATTTTTTTATTATCAACTAAAAAAAAATTTGGATTTTTTTTTTTAGTTCTACATTTTGACTATTTTTAGTTCTATATTTTCCTTTTTAGAACTTTTTATATTTTTTTGTAATAATTTTGATTTAAAGAAATTATTCATTATAATTTGAAATATATTTAATGTAGAAAATTTTGGAAAATAATTCTTTCTTTTGTATATAAATAAATACTTTTTTATATGATGTTTACAGAATCTATTTAGATTTATAAAATTACGTACATTTTTAAGTGAATTAAAAATTGTTAGTTACTAATTGTATTAAATATTTTTCCAAATACAATTTTATATAATTATTTTAATTGATTTTTGTTTATAGAAATTACGTTTTAATAATTAAAGTAATTTTCTTGTTTATAAATTTATTACTGATAAAATAATTTTTGAATTTTCTTATAATCAACATTTTTTATAATTTTTTATAGATATATATTATGGAAAGTACGTTTTAATAATTTTTTTATATTATTACTAATGATTTATTAATAAATTTGACTGAATTTATATCACTTTTACGTTTATTTTCATTATTAGTAGCAAACTGTTTTTGTTAATATTGTAGGAAAATAATAATTTTTTTTTGAATTAATTTTTTTATGGGATTAAATGTTATAATTAATTTAATTTTTATTTTAATAATATATAATATTTAATCTTTTACTGAAAAATTTAATTATAAACTTTATTATAAAAATTCCAACTTTAAATAAAATCATCATCTTTATGAAAAAAGGGAAAAATATTTTATTTTATTCAAATTATCAATTAAAAATTTATTTTTTCTTATGACGTATAGTTTTTCCTGTTAAATAAAATATAAAAAGTTTTTATTTTAGTTAAAAAGAAAAAAAATATTTTAATTTTATTTTGTATTATTAATTTTTCTTCACTTTGTTATATTTTTTTTGAAAAAGAGAAGTTTTATAGTAAACCATATTTTTTATTTTCTGAATTATTTTAATTATTTTTACATAAAAAAAATTTCCTTTTTTATTTTATAGAGAAGAAGAATTTTATAATGAAATATTTATTTTGTCTTTTTTACTTTTCTTAATATTTTATAGATTATTTATATTAGTTTGTTTTTTTAAGAACTGAACGCTTTTTATTACTAATATCGATTATAATTTTACTTTACTTTTTTTGCTTTATAATAAAATATAAATGTTTTAGTTTTGCTTTCTTTTTTGAACTTTTATTTATAAATTATTATAATTACTAAAATTTTTTAACTGCTGAACTTTGTTTACTGCATTTTATAAATTTTCATTATTTATATTTATTTTATTAGAAAATTTTAACTTTTAATATTTATTTTTTTACTTTATAAGATTTTATTTATTTTCAAACTATCGAGTATAAATTATATTTATATTTTTTATTCAGGATAACGGTGTTGGGATGACGCGCGAGGAACTTATTCAGAATTTGGGCACTATTGCTCATTCTGGCAGCAAAGCATTCTTGAATAAATTAAAAGGGACCTTTATAAAATTAAATTGACTTTTTGTTGTTAAAATTAATTTTTATACGAAATTATTTATCGGTTTGATAAATTATTTATTATTTTTTTCGAGAAAATGTAAAAAGTTGTGTGGATTATTGACGTGTTTATTAAAAGAAATCAATTTATAGTTTTTTTTTGGGAAACCACTTTTTTATAAGACGTTTTATATTATTTCGGAAGGAATTAAAATATATTAATCTGAATAAAAAGTCAATAGAAATTTTATACGAATCTATTAATTTTAGTATATCTGAGTGACAAAAACTTGATATTTTTTATAAATTTTACTGTTTGATATTAATTTTTATATGAATTTGTAGAAAATTTAAAATTTTTTATTTTATTTTTAAAAAAGTTATATTTTATGCGAGTCATTATTCATTTCCTCTTTTTTTTGAGTATTATTTTTTATGGAATAGTAAATAATATAATATTATAACGAATTAAACAAAATAGTTTATGAGAAAATCTAATTATTATACGTTATGATTAGTGAAATCATAAATATGATAGGAATTCTTATTAAATTTTTGTATATATTTTCTAACTTAAATATAATTTTTTTATGAAATGATAAATTATTTTAAGAATAATGAATAGTTTACTAAATTTTTAAAAAAATAATTAAGTTATTATTTGGAAGAAGTAAAATTTCTTTTAAAAATATAATGAAAATGTATACGATTCTACTAATTTATTAAAAAAATTAATTATTATTTATTTTAAATTTGGTTTATTACAATAATATATGTTTATTTTATTTTTATCTTGAATATCATTATAACGAGCTTTTAAAGTTTTATAAACTTTTTGTCTAGTAATAAATTTTTTTATGATTATATAACTTTTTAAATAGTTATAAATTGCATATTTAATATTTTATTCAACGGAACTTGATATTGAGTTTTACTTTAAAATTTAATTTTATGTAGTTTTGAAATTTATTATGCAGTTTTGTTTACTAAAATGAATGAAGTTTATTTTTTTAATATAATTTTTTTGTAAGCCTATAAACTTTAATATATAAAAATTTGTGTTTAATACTAGAAGATAAAAGTTTTATATCAAATTTTTTCTACTTTATTTAAGGCTTAATTATTAATATTTTTTATTAATATATTTTATTATTATAAATTGATTACATCAAATTTATAAAACACTTTTTTTCTTGTACGTAATAAGTCAATGATTTTTATTTTATTTTTAAATTATATTTTCTTCTATCGAATTTGCTTACAATTTTTATTTCCAGAAAATTTTTTTTTATTGCAATGAAATTTTTATATTTTTTTTTATATTAATGAATTTTTAATTTTTATGCAAATGCATCCTTTTTATAAAATTTTTTTGACAACAATTTTTTATATTTAAAATTTTTGAAGTTTTTTCTTTTATTTGATAATAACAAAAATTTTAAAGTTTTATATATATTCCTAAAGATGTACTATTTTTTATAATTGGCTTGTATAAAAATATTTCTATTTATTTTATTGAATTTGTTAAAACTTTTTTATTAGCAATTTTGTAATTTTTTATTATTCCATAACAATTTTATATCTATTATTTATTTATTTATTTATTAATAAAAATTTATTTTAAATATTTTTTAATTGCATTAATTTTTTTTAGTATATTTTTATAATTATTATTTAAATTATCATTATTATAAATTAATTTTTAGTAACAACTTTATATAATTGTCTTTTTCTATACAATTTTTTTATAGCAATCTATCTCTATTTTAATTTTTTTATTATATAATTGTTTATTAATATCTCTTTATAAATTTTTTTTAATCGAATTATATTAACTATTTTACTGGTAACAATTTTCCAATTTTTTTTTTTTTAATGTTCATGATTTTGAATTTATTATTAAATTATTTATCTTATCATTATATTATTACTGTTTATAATTTTCTTATTAATAACAAGAATATGAATTTTTATTCTATTATTATATATTTTTACTAATTTTTTAATTTTTTATTTAATTCAATTTTATTATACATCCAGATTTAATAGCGCTGCAATAAAATTTTATAATTTTTACTATTAAGTTTATGATAAATTTTTATTTATATTTATTATTAATGTTACTCAATTGTATTGTTTGTAAATACATTTTTAATAGTAATTTTATAAAATTTCTTTATTTTTTAATTTTTTATTATAAATTTAGATTCTTTTTTTTAATATTTTAAAATTTATTATCGAGAATTTTATAGTTTTTTTAATATAAATTTACATAAAAAATTTATTTATAATATTTTTTATGTAATATAATCTTTTTTTTGAGTTTATTGTTGGGCAGTTTCATAATTTTCTTTGAATAGAATCTGGAAAATCCAGCGAGGGCATTATTGGGCAGTTTGGCGTCGGATTCTACTCCACCTTTATGGTGGGAAATTCCGTAACGGTGCGTTTACTAGAATTATTATATAGATTTATACGAATTGTATTATTTCTATATTTTTTCTTATTTTATAAAATCTTTTATATTTTATTATAAATTTATATATATTTTTTAATATTTATTCTAACATAAACTTTATCATAATTATTATTAATAACTTTATAAATCCAATTTATCTATATTCTTTATGTTATTATCAATATAAAACTTTAGATAATTATTTTTATTTTCAACTTTTTATATTTATATATAAAATTTTATTTTGATAATTTATTTTTTAAAAAAAAACTGTAAACTGTTAAATTATTAATATTTTTATTTATAACAATTTTAATTTTTTTTATTTTATATTAAAAATTTTTATTAAAATATTTATTTTTATTAAAATTTCAGTTTTATATTTTTTTTCTTTTTATAATTTATTAAACAATTTTACATTTTTATTATTATTATAGTATAACGGAAATTTTTATATTCAAAATAATTTTAATATATTTTTTTGTTGTTATTGTTATAATGAAGCTTAAGAGGATAATTTTTATTTATAATATAATTTTTTTTAATATAAAATAAATAAAAAATTTTAAAATTATTATCATTTTTAATTTTATTTATTTTTTTTTATATAATTAATTTGTATATCTTCATAAAAATTTACATTTTATTATGAAGTTTTCTTTATTATAAATTTTATTTATGAATTATTATAATATTAAATAATCTATTTTCTTTTAATTTCTAAAGTTGACTTGAAAATTCGACTTATAATTTAATATAAACTTATTATATTATATTTGTTATATATTTATTTTTTATTGTTATATTTTTTTAATTATGATTTTCAATGTAAAGTTTTATATGTTATTGTTATTATTTTATCTTTAAGGATTTTTTTTATATTTTTATGATTTTATTTGAAATATTTTTTTAAGTTTCTTTAGTAAATCATATATTTTATAAAAACGATTTAGTTTTATAACAATTGTATTTTTTATAAGTAAAAATATAATGTGTTTTGTATTATTTATCATTAAAAACATATTTTATAAAAATTTTTTAATTTTTTATTATAAATTCTTAATTTAAACTTTTTTATTATGACTTTTTGGTAACTAGCATTTTTTGTATAATATTATTTTTTTTTAATATATTTTTATGTATTATCAATGTTTTATATATTTCTATTTTCTAAGACCTTCATTTTTTTTATATTATTTTTTCATATAAAATAATGTATAATTATTTAAAATTTCTAATAATTTTATTAATAGAAAAGTTTTATATATCATATTGGATGATCTTTTTATATAAATACTATTTTTTTTAAGGTTTATACAAAATCTTCTTTGCCGAATAGTACAGGATATTGTTGGAAATCAGATGGAACTGGTCTACTTTTATAATAAACTTATATTAATAAAAAAAATATAATTAATGAGTAAATCTAGTCGAAAAGTTTTTATATTTTAATATTATCTTTTGTTTATAATAAAATTTATAAAATTTTTTATAATGAAAAGTTATATAAAAAAATTGGTGTAATTTTTATTTTTTTATGAAACTTTAGAGAAATATTAAAAAATATTATTTAGATGGGATTACTATTATTATAATTATTAGTTTATTAGTACTTTTTATATATTTTTATTAATCTTAAAAGGAAATGTAGAAAATATTATCTGTCGGGATAATAATTTTTTATATATATTTTTTATTTTTCCCATAAACTATATAGGAAATTAAATTAAAGATTATTTTCATGGAAATTATTATTATAATAAGTAGAATTTTATTAGTAATTTTTTTTATAATTATAACAAACTCCAAAGGAGTTTTAAAATATTATTTTATGGGTTTATTATGATAATAATTATATATTTTTTATATTTTATATATATATATATATATATTAAATCTATAAACTTTTTTTTGTATAAATTTTGTAAACTTTTATAAAATACAAAAAATAAAATTTATATTAAGTTATTAATATTACATTTTTTGTTTTTTTTTTAACGTTTTTTTATATATTTTTATTAAAGCTAAAAAAAATTAAATAATATGTTATTTGTATGGAATTATTAATTTTTAATTTTTTTTATTATAATATTTTTTTTATCTATATTGAAAACTTTTAAGGAAATTATAATAATTAGAATAAGTATTATTTATATAAGAATTTTCTTTTATAATTTTTTTTTCATTTTTTATAAAGTTTATATTTACTCTGTCTTGTTAGGAACTTATTCGATTTCCGAAGCTGAAAATGTTGATGAAGGCACCACAATTATAATTCATTTAAGAGACGATTGTCTTGATTTTGCTAAGGAAAGCAAAATTATTGGTAACTACACTAACCTGATATGAATATATATGTATAATTATAATAATATTGATAATAGTGAATAAATAAGTATAGGATAGTATTAAAAGTTTATACTTTGAAGTAAAAAAGCTTTGGTTATGACTATTATATAAAAGGAATAATTATTTTTTATCCGATTTATACCAAATCCGCTGATTTTTTTTATTTACTATTCATATGAATATATTATTTATAAAAATATTTTTGTTACTAATTTTTCTATCAGTGACTATTTTTTTTTTAAAGTTTCTTATTAAAATATAGAACGTATACATAACAATTATAATTATACTTTATGAAAAGATATATATTATTTTTAAACTTTTCATGGTCTTAATTTGTTATTTCAATAGTTATATATTTGTGGATTTTACTTTTTATTACTTTTTATAAATTTAAATATTAATACTGGAATAACCATTTTTATATATTTTTCTTATATGAACAATCTATATTTTTATTCTTATTAATACAACTTTATTAATAATAATATTATGTTTTTTAAAAGAGTTTTGTAATTTGCTTATATTTTTTTTATTGTTGATAAGTAAAAACTTTTTTAATTATTTTAAACACAAATTTTATATATAAAAATAAAGTTTTTTATATAAGACTTTAAATATAATTATATCTCCTTTCAATATTATTTATAATTCCTATAACGTTTTAACTTTTTTTTTTATAAAACAAATTTTATTTATAAAGTAAAAAAATTAAAATAATAATTATACTTTTTATTATTTGAAAATTGCTGATTTTTAAATTTTACTTATAATACTTTAAAGTTTTTATTTTTTCTCTTTAATATTTTTTCTACCTTAAAAATATTTTTTATATTTATTTGATTTTTCTATTGAATTTATTATTCTAATTATTTTCTATTTTCTACTACTAAAAAATTGTTTTTATTATCGTATAATTTATATATTTTTATTGAATATTTTAAATAATTTTTTACTTTTATTTTTTTATTTTTAATTTTTTTTTACTTTAAAGTTTTTTTTATTTGTTTTTCTTTTAAAAATTATTGTTTTCTCTACTATTCAACAAAATTATATTTAATTAATATATTGAATTATGCCTTATTTTTAGTACTTTTTTGGGTTTCTTATATTTTTTTTATTTACATGTAATTTTATTATTATAACACTATAGTTTTTATATATAACTTTAAAGAATGGAAAATATAATAATAATATTTTATATGAATTGGGCAACTGTTGATTTGTTTTTAGTATATTTATAGTAGTTTGAAATTTTTTATAATTTATTGTTAAATAAATTCTGTTATTTATTAAAAAAAAAAAAAAGTTTTAGTTACATCTAATAAAATAATAGTATTTTTTTATAAATATTGGAATACGCTGATCTCTATATTAATATATATAATAATAGTTACGATATTATAGTATGTTGGAGTCTGACACGTGCTTGTACCACGTGGGGGATCTGTCATTATATCACGTTTCCAAACCACGTGAACAATGTCATTAATAATAATATGAATTTGAATTGCCGTTCTTTTTATTAATTTACTTATAAATATATAGTAAACTTTTCTGAATACTATTTTTTATATAAACAAAGTTTCTATGCTTTTTATTATATATTGATATTTTTTAATATTTTGTATAATTTTATAGCAGCTATAATAATTAGTAAAGATCATACTTGTTTTGAAGTGGATTATAAATTTTATTATAAAATTTAGAAATTTAACAAGTTTTTAGATATAAGAAATTTAGGGATTTTCTTGTTAAATCAATAATTTTAATGATACTAAAAGTGGATAGTAAAATTTATTCTAAAATTTATAAAATTTCAAATTTTTAGATGTTAAAAAGTTGAGAATTTATTTCTTAAAGCATTAATTTTAACGATATTCAAATTTTCTTATGAAATTTAGATCTTGTCAAAAACATGAGCAACTTTGTGGGGTTCCCCGTGACTGTGAATGGAGCAAAAGTGAATACAGTCGAGCCGCTTTGGACCCTCGACCCGAAAAAAGTGACGACCGAGCAACACAACGAGTTCTACCGGTTTATCTCTGCCATGTGGGACACCCCTACATACCACGTGTTGTTTCGCACTGACGCACCAATTGACATTAATGCCCTCCTTTATTTCCCCTCGTCCAATTCCGAGCGCTTCGGCATGGGTCAGATGGACTTTGGCGTTTCCCATTACTCTAAGAAGGTTTATTATTATTATTACTTTTTTTCTAATTTTATTATTATGCAGGTTCTCATCCAAAAGAAACCCGAGAAGCTTCTCCCCACGTGGCTGCGGTTTGTGAAAGGCATCGTGGATAGCGCTGACTTGCCGTTAAACTTGAGTCGGGAACTGCTGCAGGACAGTCGCCTGATTGGGCGCATCAAGAGCGTTCTGTCCAATAAGATTATCAGGTTGATTTTATTCTTTGTGTTCTTGTCCTCTTTTTTAATGACCTTTAGATTTCTTGAGGAGCGTCTCAAATCCGACCCAAAGATGTACGACACGTGGTTTGCTGAGTTCGGCAATTTCATTCGTGAGGGCGTCTGCACCGACTCGGAAAATAGCGTTATTATCATTATTTTATTATTTTTATATATTATTCTTATAATTTCACTATTTATTATAGGCGAACATTGCAAAATTGCTACGCTTTGAGTCTTCCACCAGGCAGGAAGGTGAACTTATGTCTCTCCAAGAGTACGTTAATGCCATGCCGGACAGCCAGAAGGTTACTCTGCTCCTCTCATTGCTGCTCTGCCGCCTGAGTTGTTCCTTATCCGCGAATAGGAAATTTATTACATCTCAGCTTCCGATCGGAAAACTGCTGAGTCCTCTCCGTATTTGGAAGCCTTTAAGGACCATACGGTTTCCCTACTGACTGTTTATATTTTTATTATCATATCATCGACCTGTTTGCAGGTCTTGTTTTCGTATGAGCCGTTGGATGAGATCGTCATGACAAACCTTCAAAAGTTTGCTGGAAAACCGCTCAAATCCGTGGAGTCTTCCGATGTTCGTTTTTTGCTTGCTTTGATCATTATTGCTACTACTATTATTATTTACATTACAACTTGTGAAGGGGCTAAGCAGCGAGCAACTTCCGGAAAAGCAGGACCACGTGGATGAGGCGTGCCGCTGGTTTCAGGACGCCTTGGGGCCACAGGTCACAAGTGTGAAGCCCTCGCGCCGGCTCTCGTCCTCTCCTGCGCTGGTGGTCGACCACGAATCACCCGCCATGCGTCGTATTCTCCGCCAGATTGATTCGTTCTGTTTTTACCTTGACTCGGTTTTTATTTGATACTCACGTGCTCCAATCAGGAAGCGGACACGTGCTATAAAAGTGAATTTCGAGATTAATTTGAATCACGATCTTATCAAGAATATATTAGAACTCAGAAATAAAGATGAAGCGCTCGCTCGTCATCTTGCCTTACAAGTCTTTTTATATTCTTTTGTTTTTTTATATAAAGTTTAATATATTATTAATAAAAGGTGTTTAATAACGCGTTGATCTCGGCTGGATTAGTAGATGATCCCCGTTCTTTACTTCCTTCCATCAACTCTTTATTGGAAGCTATCACTGTATTTTTTTTTCTCATTAATATTATAAGGAATAATTGATTTTTTTATAATCCCAGAAATTAACTGAAGTAAAGAAAAACTAATTGGAATTGAAAATTCTTAGATTTTTGAGACATTAAAAAATTTTTCCCACAACCTTTTTATACCTTTCTACTGAAGTTTAGTTGTTTGCCTGAATTTTGTTTATAAACCAAAAATGCGTTTCCTTTATCATAAGTTGTTGTTTTGTAACGAAATGTACATATTTAGGCTGGTAAACATTTGATTTAGTTAGCAAAAAGTATACATGTTTTTTTTATAACTTAGTATTAATAAAAGCCTTCCGCGGAGGACTGGGCGGAGGTTCAAATTCTTTAACTCTTACTTTGCGCCAAAAGCAACTCCCCTTGCACTACAATAGACGCTTGGAGCCGTTATTATTCGGTCAACCATGACATACGCGTCTCTTTCTAGGCTCGACTTACTAGCAATGGTCTCGTTTTTTCATACTACTATGTCTGCTAACGGTTGAATCGTGGTCTGTTAGAATTATGGCTAACATTTTAAGACTTCCGGTAGAGCCCCCTGATTACCGTTTTTCCACGCAATGCTTATAAAACTTGTGCACGGTTTAATGAGCACACTAGTTGAATTACTAGTAGTAGATTAGCTCGACTACGACACAGGGGATGGCGCACGCTATTGCCAACAGCGGGATCAGGGCTAGGATCAAAAGGCAAAATATTTATGAGACTGCTTTAACACGGGCTCAAGCCTAACTTGCCCGATGTTACTCTGTTGAGAGCTTTTGAATTCAGTGTTTTCTTTTTGACTTCAATGAGCCTCAGGAGAGACCGTTCGTAATAATAAAAGTTATTTTGTGAAGGTAAAAACATAACTGATCTTATTTAATAAAAGTAGGTTCCTTATTCTTGTTTTTATTTCTCTAATGTTAGCGTTGTTAGAGTTCGGTGCTACTGCTATCAAAAATACTAGGGCTATACTGTTCTTTCTTCTGTACTAGTTTGTATCACTGACTCTGAGTGTGTCAGAATCAACTTGGAGTTTTGAATAATATAAAAACTTTATAATTCGAATTCGTTGAATATCAAACAAAACAACTAAGAATTCATCTTTTATCTCTTTGGTGAACGCTGAGTACTTCGCTGATTTCTACGGTGTGAAGGCAAGAGTATGACGCCGGTAAGCGGGTAATGCCGAATATATTACACATATTACACATAAGAGTAACAAATGTTTAACTCCTCACACAAAAACTATTCAATAAGCTACCATTATTCTCGTGCTAAAAGAGCGTATCAACATGGATAAAAATAAACCCACTACAGGATTTAACTACTACTTAGTTTTTATTAAGCAGTTCTTTCAGGTCAAACCAGAATAGTTAATATTATATTTTTTTTAAGTTCAAATTTTTTTTTAAAAAAAAATTACAAGAATCTTACCGCACAATTGACTTAATGAAAAATATTGTAGTCTTGCAAAATAAATATATAATTTAAAGCTTAGAATCTTCTGAGCGACCTTCTTAGCCTTTTTAGGTTTATGTTAATTTTAGTTTAAGTAATAAATAGATGCTTTCAAGCTTCAAACCTAAACTTTAAAAAAAAAAGGGAGAAAAAATGAAACACGATGCAAAAGCTCAAGACTTTCAAATAAATACCCAAAAGCTAAAAAGAAAAAAAAGTATCTATCTTTTATTTAATTAAATTGGAATTTAAGGTCTCTAGTGTAGAAGCCTCTTTATAAAAACTGCTCAGAGTTTTAATATATTCCATTGCGTAATTATTACTATCGCACCTGTAAAAAAATTAGTACAAAAAAAATAAAAATAAAATGTAAAATTATTTTTATAATAGTTACAAACGATAAAGGGACTCTTTATACTGTATAATACTTCTCTGGAGTAGGCGAAGTATACTCATATGGTTCAAATCATTATCCTAATGAAAATCGCCAGGCAATTTGAATAGAAAAGAGAACTCAAAGCAAAACTTCTTGCCTTTATATATCTACCGTGGCAGTTGAATATGTGGAAACACCACGTCAAGTAAAACTCTAGATGGACAGTGGAGTCGAGAGCCTCGCTGGTATAGGCCAGAAGTTTGACTACGTAAGAAGGATGCAGGGCCTTCAAAATTTAGAAATTTTATTTTACGGGTAGAGCAGCTAACGGGTGGTGGCTAGCTAACCTGAACAGTGGGCAGTATGTTTTCCAACGGGATGGACTCAACCACGTGCTTTATAAAAGGCTTTTCATTCAAGCGAAACGCCATGCTGAGTGACTTGTGGTACTCCTGGTCTTGGAGTAAAGATAGAACACGCGCAGGAGTGACGTCCGGGTCGAGATCGAATGGATCAAACGTGGCCCGCTCATCTACCCACAAAAAATCATTAGAAAGGCGCGAAATCATTGAAAGGGAGGGGCATACCAAGTGAGTATATAAGCAGCCCTTCAGTGGTGCAGGCTGCCCAGCTGCAACCGGTGGGCGAGAACCGAACGCTTTTGACCTGAATTTCCGGCCTTGTCCGCCTGGAGCTCAAGTCCCCCTTGGCCACGCCGGGCAGGTAGAGATCGTAGCGACCTTCCTCCTCGCTATCCTCGGCGTGGTCAATGGTCTGCAGGGGGCCGGCCTCAGTCATAAACTGCATGAATAACAAAGTAAAAGAGTGAATAGCACAATCAAGCTGACAACTCGCCTTGCTATTGAGCTTTTCGCTTATACCATCCAGGCTCTGATTTTTGGAAACTCTGAACTTCTTCAATAGAACTTTCTGGGAGAGCTCGTAAATGCAGACATATCTGGATTTCCCGCCAGCCACAAGACAGCGCCCGTCTGCACTGTAACAAAGACCAGTGAAACATTTGCCTGACCGCAAAAAAAAATTGCCATGACCAGCCATCGGGTAATAACGTGGTTTCTTATACCAGAAGGGTTATTATTAGAAGAAACGAGATCGCTTTGCTTTCGACCGGTGCCTATATCGCGTCGGCAGTTCAGCGATCCTGACTGTCGGTTATCGCTCAAATCCCAGATGGTAAGATCGCCATCTAATAATTTTATAATCAATAATAATGACATTAATAATAATTTTACCCAAAGAAGACACGCAAAGTTCGCCGCCGTCGGGTCGTAAAGCAAGGGCTCTTACGTCGGACTTATGCACCAAAACTTCGGGGGTTCCTTTGCGCTCAAAAACGTCCCAAACACGCACAGAATGATCCCACGAGCCGCTGTATAGAACCGGCACGGATGGGCTGAACTCGAGACACGTCACCGGGCCCTCGTGGCCTAACCTCACACATTATTAAAATTGCGACCAACAAATAACAGCAACGAACCAGTAAGAAGTTCCACAAGGTGACCTGTGCGAACAGACCAAACAAATATCTCAAAGGTATCGAGGGAGCCCGCACAGACGATGTCCCCGCTGACATCTATAGCGAGCTTATAATAATAATAAAATATAAAATAGTCCAAAGGAGCGCCGAAAAATGTATAACCCACGCGATACCGATAAAAACTGAACAGGCGACGGGCTTGTAAAAGTTCTAAAGTTCCTGTAGCGCATAAGATCAAAGGCGCGGACCGTGCCGTCCAACGAGGAAGAAAAAATAACTTTGTCTCTCGGACTAAACCGAACACTACAGGCCAAGTCGTCAGATAATAATATTGTAATATAATAGTAATGCAAAACCCAGTAACAGCCGCTGAATGCTCTTTAAAAGTAACGAAACAAAATCCGGACCGAGTGTTCCATACTTTCACTTTAGAATCATCGCCGCCAGTCACGATATACTGACCGTTCGAAGAGAAGTCCAGCACATTCATATCATAAAAATGACCTGCGCGCAAGTAGTGAGGAGTAGGAAACAACCAGAAAGCAAAAAAAAGATGCCTTGTTGCTTCAGTATAAAAGTCTCGCTCTTCCATTCCCAAACAAGGAGTTGGCCAATCCGAGAGCAGCCAAATGCAAGCCAGTCGCCGCTCGCGTTGATAGCCACCGAACTGACACGCCTCTGAGAAATGCTATCCGATAGCATCTCAGCAATACCAGACACGTATAGAAAGTATGGCTTAACCTCAGAAAGTGGATCCCATTGGGTACAGGAAGTTCGTAAATGCCAAACAAACCGGAACTAAAGCCGACGACCAGGAGCTGAAGGGTTGGATGAAAAGCAGACGAGGTGACCTGCGCGTGCTTTTCAAAGTAAAACTTTTTCTCCAGCGACCACTTCAAAGTCGAAATGCCTTGTAAAAATTAAGTTTTGATAAAAAATAATAGTAAAAAAAATTAAATGCTAAAGAAAACCATCAGAGGACAAATTTTTCCATGTAAACAGAGCCCCATCCTTACTGATGGTGTAAACCTAATAATAATTATAATTATGATAATAATAAAATGAATATGAGAGTACGTATTCCATGGAGACCGCAAAAAAAACATTGACCACCGAATTTCTATGACCTGTTAACGTTATAGGAGTGAAATCCTCGACCGGATGCGCAGTGTATATGCGCGCCGTCATATCTTTGGAACCAGTAATCAATAGCCTTAAAAAAATTTTTATTATACTTTTACTATAATTATTAACAATATTATATTTAACTTGCTATCCCCCGACCAGTTGACGGAAGTGAGAGCATCATGATGGCCAGTGTATTTTCGATGAAGTATGAATGGAGCGAATTCCTTGCAGAGAGAAGGAGATCTCCAAACCTATTTTACTAAGTTTGTAAACTCTCCTCAGCGCTATAACTAATTACCTGTAGTTGTTTCCCAATAGCAACAGCAAAGAATCTATCAAAAAAGTAAAGATTATCAAACAAAAATTTACTACAAGTTTTTAAAAAAAATAGAAAGTAAGTAAATAAAAGATTATAATATTTAAAAATAATTAAAAAAATTTTTAATAACTGAACCTGCCATCTGGGCTAAATTTAATATCGGAAACTTTGTTTTTAAAGTTAAAGTCACTTAAGACAACCCCTTTACAGTAGTTTACTAATAGAGCTCTTCCATCTAAAGAAATTTAATCGTAAATAGGATTTACTTCGAGATATATAAATAAAATAAAAATTTAAAAAAAAACCAAGGTCAATGGAAATGAGTAGACTTCCGTTAGGAGACAAAGCTATACGATAAATATCTTTATTGTTTTCACAAGGGAGGGTAACTACTTTATTGCTGAATAATGGTATTAGTGGACAAGAATTAATAATTATAATAATAATAAAACATACTTTACAAGATCAAATATGGAAAGGCGATTTCCCACCGGACTAATAACTTGATTTCCATCAGAAGTGAATAGAAGGTTTCCGCCTTTATAAACTGTTCCGCATAAGTTTAAAAACTAAACGTCATACATATTAGTGTACTAAAAATAATAAGACAAGTATATTTGTATTACTTATAAATAAAAACAAAAGCAACGTAAGACAAATTTAACCTGAAACCCAAACTTCATTCCCTAATTGAAGTTATTGGAGAACTTCGACCAAAAACTGATAATTAAAACTAAGGTTTCTGCACGTGGCAACCACCATGTGCTTTTTCCATATAGTTGTAATTTAAATTATATCTCTTGTTTTGTAATCTTCTCAGTAATGACAGTTTATTGATAGTTTATATTAATTATAGTTAAATTTAGCTCCTGTATAAATTAAAAGATTTTTAGCCACATTAGAATGGATATTAAAATAAACCTTCTCAGCGAGCTAAAAGCTGAAATATTAATACCACCTCCCATTTATGTGAATGGTCTACACGTTACCCAAACTACTACAGTGCCCAATAAATTTTAATAATTGAGTAAATTAACCTTCAAGTAGTTTTCCCTTCTCATAAGGAGGTTAAGACACAAAACTTCCACTAGTGTGTGTTCTACCGAAAAGCTAAAAAACTATGAAAAAATAACTCACCCTTTCGGTATTTGACCTGGTGCGATGGGAAACAACTAAATACAAAATAACTTTGAACGGGACAAACAGGGATAGGTTATATCTCTCTTTGTCTTCAAAAAAGTGACCATTAAACTATATACATATGTTATGCGATCAATGTTCAGATAAATCGTTGAAAAAATTATCACCCGTAGACTACATCTCTCATTTTGGCCGAGGCGAATGAGAGGTGAGGGTGAGTTGAACGGGAAGTACCCAAAGGGTTTATCAGATCTAGTTAATACGCCTCTTTGTTTAAGGTCAAGTGGAAGTGGAGTCCTCCTTGTTAAGCTTAGCTGCCATTATTTCTCGCGCCCCTCTAATCATCCTCAGGAGAACCTGAACAGGTTAAATACATCTGATTCCCACGCGCGCCACTTATAAATTATAATAAAACCAGTGCAGTCATGAGACAGTACCAAATGATAGCTAGGAAAAAGGGGGCCCTTCACTTAGACCTGGTGAGTTTTTGGGGAAACGATGTTCCCCCTATTCAGTGCTGACAAAGTAAAATGAGTTATTCACTTAACTTTATGTTTACCAATTGATAAGTTTTAAAACAAGCGTAGGCCAAGTAATCTGTATGTAATGGGTTTTGCGCAAAGATGAACTGCGACTAACGTACACGTTTTTATTAAAACTGGACTAAACCTGTTGAAGGGATAATTCCAAAAAGTAAGGTGTAACTTCAGCTCTTACAAAAACCTGATATTTTTATTAGAAAGGCTTCTGTTTCCAAAACTTTAATCTCTGCTATAAAAATTTTCTTCCCAAATAGCTTGTTTATGACAGGAGCAATTTATGGAGCCCAATTTTAATTTAGTAGAAGTTTGGGCCACGTGTTAAAGCGAATTTCACCGTGGTAATTAAAGTATTGAGTACAAACTAAAAAAACTTACTATTAGGCACCCTTTATTATAATGCGCTGTGAGAATTTGTGTCGATCGAATAAATATATTAAAAATGAGACCAAAAGCGAATAGTAAGAAGGTTTTTCATCCCGATTCACGGGAGGCTAAACGACGTGCTAAAAAGTTGTGTAGGACTGAAAGAATACAGAAAAAAAAAGTTTTTAAATCGAATTTACTATCTTCTAAAAGTATATTTTTGTTTAAAGTTTTTCTTTACAAACTAATTTTAATCAGTTAACAGACTAAATTGGTTTAAAGATAATATAGATCCAAATAAGGAGTTTTATACAGAGGAAGAAGTAGTAAATTTGATTTCTTTATACATTAGAAGGCATGACGAAGAATTAAATAAAATTTTAACTTCCCGGCGCAAAGGACAAAAGTTAAAGAAAGTAATTTACAATTTTTTTTAATTACCTCCCCTAGATAATTATTTATCTGAAGACGCAAAAGGAAGAAATAGTTAATCTTAAAAAATCTTCAGAACTCTACCAGTTAAATATTTCTGGTTTTAGTAAGTTCCGACAACAACTGTACTTTTTAAAGTTTTATTAAATTTTCATTTTGTCACTAAGGAATCCCAGATTTGACCGATAAGGCCATTCTTTCGGCTTTTAAGTAAATTTTCAAGCTATTATTTTTTATTATAGCAGGAATTTACTAACTTTATTATATAGAACTTGGAACGGGGACTATAATAATATATCTACTTTGAAATTTAAAGAATTTGTTCGACGAGCCATTTAGTTTATTTAAAAATATTTTTTGATTGAAGTTCGTTGTTAGCCTTTATTAATTTTATGGTTGCGGTTTTGCTTATAAAGCTTCTAGGCTGCCCATCGCTAATTGTTACTAAAGGTATTAACTTTTGGGTTGTAAGAATTATTAAATAAAAATAAAGTATATAAGAAATAAATAAAAATATAAATTATTTTTCCTTACCTTAAGCTGCCAGAAAATTTTTTATTATTTATTAAAAAGTTAGCAATTATTTAATTTTTTTCGTTGCATATTTATTCATTCAACTTATACCAAAATTCAATGATATCACTCTTAAATTTTAACTTTTAGGCAAATTTGTTTTTTGATGCCAGGATTGCTTCCCATAATGTTAATAAAAAAATTTAAGAATAATTTTATTCAATAGTTCAGAGAATATTTCTTCAAAAAAATTTAATTTGGGATTAGTACTATGTTTGCCGCTTTTGCTTATTTCATAAACATTAAAAAATATATTATAAAGGTTGTTTTGGTACCGTTGCACATATTTATTATGAGGATTTAAAAAAATTGTTTTATACTTTTTGTGTACTGGAAGTCTTTAAAAAAAAATTAATTTCAGATTTTTTTTTAAAAAATATTTTGTATCGCCATCTTTAACTGGAAGTAGTTAACTTTATTCCTTTTAAGTTTACTAGTTATTAATAAGATTTTTTGGGACAGCGAAAATATTTAAAAATAATTTATTTAATTGCTTTTAAAGCAAAACAATAAAACTTTTGTTATCGCCTTGAAAATTTTGAGTAGCAATTAAAAAAATTTAAGTGAGGAGCCTATTAACTTAGAATTTTATGAGTAAAAAAGATATTTATCAATTTGAGAAATTAATACTTTGCAGCTTCGTTTACAGGCATAGACTGACCGGGTAGTAAAAGTTAACGGTAGAGCCTATGCTACATTTTATTAAATTTCTTGTTTATTAATGGCGTAACTGTTTAGTAACAAACAAGTGGAAAAAGTAAGTAACTCTATTTATGAGAGTAGATTTAAGAAGTCCATCGTGTTAAGCAATCTTGCTGCCTACCATCCTTTTAATTTAACAAAAATGTTAAATTTATTTTTACGTAGCCTTACTATTATTTTATATTTAGTTATAAATGATGTCCAGGCACATAAGCGTTGGTAATTGGAAACTTAGGGGTAATAATACATATTAAAGTGAGTTGACATTGGGTTCTCCGCCTTGAGGAACTATTTTAACAAAAATAAATTCTCTGCAAGCTCGCAGCTCTGAAATAACAATATGTTTTTGTTATTTATAAAATTTCCTTTTTATAGTTTATAAATTCTAAAGCTTTGCCATTTTGCTGTCATGCTAGAAATTTCTAATAACAAGTACCTTTTTTGGTAAATCCTACTTTTTAACTTTTGCACTGTACCGAAGTTTGCTTGGATGCCAACGCCTTAAGTAGTGTAGTGCTAGAAAATAACCCCTACCTGTTTGGATTAGGTCGCTGTAAAACTGTATTATAAAATTTGTAATTTTTTAAGCCTAACAGTACGCTAAGAATTTTTAAACTAATTTTTTTTGATTACACAAGAATTTTTATTTTTATTTTTATTTTTTTAATTTTATATAATCTCTATGTTAATTTTATAACTTTAAAGTTTACCCGAAAGCTTATTAAATTTTAACTCTTATTTTCAAGTTTTTCTTATATAAAATAAGTTCTATAATTTTTCTTTGTGAATTTCATGTTTATTTTTTTTTAGTTTTACATTTTCTTTATAACTTCGACATAATTCTTTAAATTTTTATACTCTATTACTTTATAGCCTTTAAATTTTATCACAATGCCTTTATATAAATAAAAATCTTTGTTTTTTCTGTTTAAATCTTTTTTTTACTTTGATACTTATAAAAAAATTACATCTCAGGAAATACTTCATAGCAATGATCGAAGTTTTTTCCAGTTTCATAAATCCCACAGGATTCTTCAAGGTTCCCATCACTATAACAATCGCTCGAATCGGTCAATAAATTTCTTTCGTGCTTGCTCGCTGAAGAATCGGTATTTTTATTTATATTTTGAAAATTAATATTTGAATCTGAGTCATCATAATTTCTTATAAAACTTTCATATTTCAATTTTCTTAAATTATTTTCAAAAGTGGCTTCATTTTGATTAAGCCGAATTATTTTTTTTAAATCAGGCAGTAATTTTAAAATCTCTTTTTTAAATTTTCTTAACTCGAGAACTTCATTACAAAGCCCTAAAAGAAAAGTATTTTTATCCAATCTTAAAAGGAAAGATTATTTAATTTTATTTAAATATTTTTGGAATTATTTACCTTCAACTTTATTATAATAACAAGATTCCTTCAAGTGATGACTGATGAACTTTCGCGGCCCAAAAAAAGTGCAGCCGCAATAAACAAACCGACAAGTCACTAATTTTTTAAATAAATTTAAACTAGAAAAAATATTTATATTTTTTTTAAGTATACATAGAAAAAATTACTTTTCTAATTATTAATGTAATAATGTTTTAAAAGTAAAAAAAAGTTGCTCAAAAAGTAAATATAAAATTTAATACAAAAATTTATTTAATAAAAATTTAGTATTAAAGTTAATTTAAGTCAATTTTATAACGTCACGAAATTGCTTAATCCAAAAAAATTTAATTATTAACTTAAAAATATACTTTACTTTTTTAATATTAGACTTTTTGGTTGGCTAATTAATTTTACAAAGCTTTTGATTCGTTCAATTTTAGTAAAAAAGTTATATTATCTTCGAATTATTGTTTTTATAGTAAATATAAAATCAATACTAGCAAAATTTAATGTAAAGGTTAAAAAAATAGTTATAAAACTATTAATAACTTATTCGTTAATTTTTTTTAAATAAAAATCATCACTTTTTGCCTCCAATCAAAGTAGGTTACATTTATTATCATACTTTGCCCAATCATGTTTATAACCAATCGTGTTTATAAAAATTCTAAAAAATTTTTTGCACTAATCACTGTTGTTTATTATAATACATTGACCAATCATATTTATAATAAGATAGTCTTTAATTAATAGGGTTTATAAAAAATTTTAATAAAATTTGCACCAATCACTTAGATATATTTGTACATGCCCCAGTAATTGTTAAACTAAAAAAGTTTCAAACCAGTCGTGTTATAAAAATATTTTATATTTTTTTGAACCAACAACGGCTAAATAAAAATAGTTTGAACCACCGATACCTTTTAAGCCATTATGTTTATTAAAAAACTTGATAATCTTTTTTACATTAACTTTTTTTAAGACAATACATTCGCACCGACCCCTTTTATTAATATTTTATATGTAGGTTTTCACCAATCAAATTATTATATTTTATTATTTGTAAAATTTAGTAATTTTAAGCGAATTATAAAACTACTGATAATAGCTTAAAAGTTATAAAAATTTTATTAAGGCGAATCAAGTTTTACTTTTGCTATCAATAATACAAACGTGTAACTCTTAATTATTAAAATTTGACAAGAATGTAGTATAATTACATAATTGTAATAAATATATGAAGAAGTTTTGTTAATGTGTACAAGAAATTTACAAGTATTCAAAGGCGTATTGTTATTATAAATGGATGCCAATTTGTTAAAATTACCAGTTTACATTCAGATGTTTTCAACTCCCCGTGGAAAAGTAATGAATTTTTTTTAAAATTTAATAATTTTTCTATTTTTTTAACGTTTTTTTTTATAAATGAAATATCATATATTCCTAAGAAAACTTTATAAATATTTTTTATATATCACAAAAAAACTGTTAAAAAGAATATGAATATAAACAAAACAATAAGCTAAACATAAACTTTTAATGAATTTAACTTAAATTTGAAAAATTATTATTTTAAAAAAATAATTTGGCGCAAAAGTTGTAACCTCGATATTCAGGGCACGTGGTTGAATGGGACGGCTCGTCGATTCGTTGAACTAAAACCCCTATAAATATTATTTATTATTTACTAAAATTATTACTACTACTTTTACCTTGAATGCTTATTTTTTTAAGAATTATGATTTTTTTTTAAAGAAAAGTTAACTATTATTATTAATCTTTTTTAATATGAATCACTTTATAAATTTTCTTTTTGCTAAAAAATGTATAATCTTTTTATTTACTCCCTAATATTATATATAAATACATTATTATACCGCAATAAGAGCACTTCACTTTTAACGAAGGACACTGACGCTCGCGATGAACTGAATAATCCTGAAAGGAAACCATTTCAGAGCATTCACACTGGATGCGCCTATTGGAACAAACTGGTGCAGTATATTATCTCAATGGTAATATTTTAGCTTATAAAAGCGCAAATTATTATACACTTCGCGGTCTAAAAAACCAAGAGCGCTAGTAAGTAGATTATTTGCAACAAAATTTTACACAAGTATTTTTTAGTTTTAATTGTTGCAAAATAAAAATTAGTAAAAAATTACGACTTGTGCAATTTAAGAGTACCACCAAAATAAATATAAATTTGCAAACCTTAAAAAAATTTTCTATAAACTTAATTTTACATATAAAAGTTGTTTAAACTATTGACTTTAATACAAAATCAAAATAAAAAAAGTATTTAAATAAAAAATTTTAATACTAATATTTTTTTAAGGTAAATTAAAATTCTAACTTCAAACAAAAAAATGTCATTAAATTTTTATGTTTAACTAAATAATTTAAGTACTTACTATATTATGAAATTCCTACAAAAATATGAAAGTTAATAGTAGATAGACTTTTATAAGAATGCAACAAAACTTAATAATTTAATTGGATCATTTGTTTTAAAAAGGTGATTTTTTAATAATTTTACACAAATATAATTTTTATAAAAAAAAGGTTAAAAATTTAAATCAGGATGTAAGAATAACAGAAAAAGAAAGCATATAAACAGATTAGATCATTTACACTCTATAAAAAATAAGGCGTACAAGTAATTTAAACGAAGACAGGAAAAAGTCTTCTTAATAAATTTCTGAATTGAATAGAGTTAGACCAAGCAATTACTCTGAATATGAGAATTAATAAAAGGCCTAGTCATGGTAGCTTTACAGCCATCGTTTTCAAAAGGACAACGAAATTCAGTAAATGAGCACTCATTGAGGTAGTGCGAATGGATAAGTTGTCGTTGATCTTGAAAAGTACATCCTTTTGACTTGTTAAAACAATAAACTTTAAATTTGTTTGCCTAAAAAATTGTATCGAAAATTTAGTTAATTTGAAATAGAGGGGAAAAAAATTTAAAGACTTGGTTGCGAATGATTCGGTTGGTTGGCAAAAGGTTTAAATCAAGCAAAACTTTGTTATCTTGAGGGCATTTACGGCTGACTTCCAACCAATGAGTAATACATTTCTTACAAAAGGTGTGCCTACAAAGTAGAAGATGCAGAGTAGTAAGCTAATGCAGACTTAAAAAGTCTAAAACTTATACTTGAATTAAACAGAAATCATACAGGTTATAATGAGAAGAGCTAAATTAAATAATAACTAGATTAAAAATAAAATTATACATAAATACCCACAACTAGTATCAACAGGATCTAAAAATGGTTCTGCACAAATAGAGCAAATAAATTCTTTAAATTCATCTGATAAGTCCGTGTAATCATAAGCCATTTCATCTAAAGTGACAACTGGCTTAAGGTGTCTATATAACTCCTGAAGTCCCCCTTTAGAAAAATCTCTTGAGACTTTTGAATCACTTTTATAATCTTCGTGAAGTCTTAAATTATTTTCTAAAAAAGAATTATTTTGACGAAAAAGAGTTTTTGAAGGAGTTCTTTCACGGGAGTACTGTACAAAGTCGAGAGTTGTTGTAAATTCCCGGTTGAAACTGTTAGTACAATTCAACTGGTGTTCTCCGTTCAATTTCAGACTAGTGGAAGAGTTTTCTGTGTGTAAAGAGTTTTTTAAATTACGTAGAGGTGTTTTTATATTAGTTTCTAAGGAATTAGCCAAATTTAATGGAGAATTTAAGAATTTCCTTGTGGAGTCTAGGCAACTGCAATCATAATAGGTAGAATTTGGGTCATAAATAACTTCCATTTTAATTACTATACAAACAGCGGTAAGCTAAAGCAAGGTAGTTTCACAAAATAACGAAAAGGTAAATTATAGCTAAAAAACTAAATAATAACGCAAACACACAGCCAATAGGGCCCCCCTACTACGCTAGTGGTGGGCTTCTGTTTAGATAGAAATTTTTAAGTATAAATTTTAAGTTTGCCGTTAAAGTGGTTTTTGCTTGTTAAGGGCAATTATTAAGATTAAAAAACTGTTTAAATAAATTATTTAAGTTCTTGAAAGCTTAAAAAAAACACTATATCAGATATTGTTATTATTTTCTATATACCCCTTTATTTCGCTGTCTAGTTATTAACTCTTAACCTTTAAAACCTTGGAGAATAAAACTAAAACCGATAATAAAAATATGAGTGCAAGAATTTCCGTGTGCACCTTTACAGTACACCTCGAACTGTTCATAAACTTCACTAAAGAGGATAAAAAACAAAAAAGTTTGGTTTATAGTGGTTTCAGTTAAGTTCTCAAGTGAGTAATTAGAGATTGGTTAGAAGATAAAATAATTAGAGCTTCGATGTGTGATGGGCACCACTCCAACTCTGGCGTGAGTGCCAATTTTCCGTCCACATGCAATGCTAACTTAATACTTTTTGAGGTTTAAAGATTTTGTGTAGGCTTATCTTTGAAACAATGAGTATAATAGATGTACTTACAAATCTGCGAACTACTGCTGTACTAATAAAAATATTAGTCGACTTATTTTTTTAATATTTACTATGCCTATAGCTGAGGTTGCTCTTTCTTCTTCTGAAACTGATGAAACTGTCTTTCTATGGGATATCAAGACAAATGCCGTGCTTGCTACCTATAAGCAAAGTGGTGGAACTTCAAAGTCATGCAGTTTTTATTAAAACAAGCGAAGTTTTATCCACCATCTTATTATAACTTAGACATGGACTATCTCTCCTCGGTAAATCCTACTTTGTGTGCTCGCAGAAGACTAAAAATAATATCAGGTAGTTTTCTAGTAAAACAAAAAAATGTGCTTTTTTTTATAAAAGTTTATAGACATTATACCTGGCTAAATGATACTCCACGCGAAAAAAGCACAACTGTGGAAAATTGTTCTGTTATTGTCGGTACTAAAGATGGTTCTCTTTTTCTGGGCGGGTCAACTTCAGGAAAGATTTACGTTTGGGAAGTAGGATTTTTTTTATTACGCGATTTGCTTTTATCTAAAGTTTATACTAAAAAGACCTCTACCGGGAACCTACTAAATGTTCTTACTGCACATTACAGCAAGATTTCTTGCTTGAAGTTTAGCGATGACAGATCTTTTTTAATATCTTGCGGAGAGGATGGCATCGTTAGCGTTTGGAATTTATCCAGGCATAAATCTATCAAGCATTGATCTTTTATAACTATAATATTTTTAAATTTTACTCTCAAAGACTAATTTCTCAAGAAAATGCTAAAGCCATACATACTTTTTCGGGCCATGCTTTACCGATTACAGATATCTACGTGGGCTATGGACTTGAACAAGCCCGAATTACTACCGTTTCTCTCGATCGGAGCTGCAAAGTATTTCAAAAATTTATTTCCTTCAAGATTGTTATAAAATTATTTTTTGAGATGTGGGAGCTAACTACAGAAAGTCTTCTCTTTTCTCTTATATATCCCTGCGCTCTCTGTGCGGTAGTTCTGGATCCTGCAGAATCTCTTCTTTTTGTCGGCGGTAGTTTTTTTAAATATCAATTAAATTTAAATTAACTTTTTTTAAAGGCACTGATGGGAAAATTTTCCAATCCATCCTCTACTCGGACTTGTTTGTTACTCGCACTCGTTCCTACGAAAGTGGGCTCCCCACGGAAGATAAGATCGAGGAGTTGGTCTATCACGGACACAGCCAAGCAGTAACATGGTTTTTTCTTTAAATCTCTCACGTTATTACCTTTTACTTTAAATTATTTTCATAATTGTTGTGTGCCTTAAAATCTTTCAAGTCCGTCTTTTTATTTTAATTTTAATTTAATTTGTTTATGGTAAAGTTTATCTCTTTCCCTGGACGCTTCTCTGCTAGTTTCCGCCTCGGAAGACGGAACGTTGATCGTGTGGGACGTGCAATGCAGGCAACAACTGAGAACTTTCAACAAACACGGAGGCTTTTTTTTTAATACAATTTTTTTTTTCTTTGCTAAAACTTTTTTCCTGGCAGGCCCCGTCACAAATCTACTACTTCTCACTAAACCAACAACTTTATTCACAGAGAAGTTTGACTACTGCGTGCCGCCAATTTCCCCATTGAACCGCTATAAAAGTGCTATGGCGGCGTCCGTGCCTGTCGTAATTCCCCCCTTCAGATCTTCTTTCTACGTTGACGACGGCGCTAATAAGGGTCTACTTCCGGCCATCCGACCTTCCTTTCTGGTTATGCTTTTTTTTTAATAAATTTCGTAATGTCTAAGCTGCTTTTAGGACGACTCGGACGAGACAAAGAGGAATCTCCAGGAAAAAATACTCTCACTTTCCGCCAAAACCGACTCTCTTGAGACCGAACTAGCACGTGTCAAGTCGTTGAACTCTGAGCTGTTTGCAAGGCTCCTCAGATCTGGCGGATGTCCGATCTGAGAGCCGTGAAGACACTCTATTTGTTTTTCTCCGCAAACTCGAGAATAATAAACAGAAATTTAACCACTTTATTAATTACTTTTGATATTTCATTTTTCTGTAACGCTCGAGCTCACGGCGGGCTGTCTCGACTTCCTTCTCGCGTTGAAGTATTTTGATTTGCAGGCTCTGCAAAAAAAACCCCCCAATGTTATTTGAAAAAAGAAAATAATTTTCCAGCGTAAAGTGGTTGATTACCATTTCCAGGCCCAGTTTGTCCTTAATGGCGCCAGTGTCCATCAGCGGAGCAGCCTCGCCTGCCATGGATTCCTGAGCAGATTTCACGAGGGCATTCGTAGCCTTCACTACCGCCGCTCCCGCGTTATCAAGATTGTGCATCTCCTTACTGCCGCACTCGGCCCGCGCTCGGCATGCATGCAGTAATCTCTGCGTTGAAGCGCTTACAGCCTTGGCCGCAGCGATCATCCGCAGGTCAGAATCAGGAACGCCTGGTGACCGCGGATTGACCTCGAGTAGTAAGACACGTAGGGGCTAAAAAAGGCAACCTTGGACGCACGAGTTGGCGGCATCGCAGAGCATTGAGGTTGCCACTCCCACTTCCTTGGCGGCAGAGACAAGACCTTCTGACCACGCGGCATCCTCGTGGTAGCGCGCTTCGCCAATTTTAGTGGCCAAGCGACCTTTCTTCTTCAGTTCTGCTTGGGCAGACTGAGCAGCTGACTGTTTAGCAAATGGCGTCATTACAAAAGGCCCGGTGTAATCTAGAGAACTGCAACGATAAGTGATGACGCTGCGGCAGTGATTTGCTGGGCGGCGTTCACGATCAGGTCCTCAAACTTCATCTCCTGAGTGAACGTGATGGTTTCCTTTGGCCTCATAGCCGCCTGCATGGAATAAAAAGATCAGAGGTTCGGGCACTCCAGACGGGCACAAGCCAGTCCACCAGCTTCTTAGCAGCTTCCTCAATCATAATGGCGGCCACCGTAAGCTCCTTCTCTGCTATCGCTTGGGGATCGTTCGGGTCTACAAAGTCGGCGCCCTTCAACCCCCGCGCAGCAGCAGTCAAAGCCGCTACCGCCTCAGCAATACTCTGTGAGTGACCTGCAAGGGATTTCTAGTAACAATGAGGAACGTTAAACGCCGTTGCCGCCCCACGAGAAGAGGAGTTTGCCTTGCTTTCCTCCGTTGGGGCATGCAGATGCTTGAGGGCACCGGTTTCGAGCATATCCAGCACAGCCTTCGCGACCAGTTTCGAGCTGTTAATAGCAATCTCTGTGTCGTTGGGGTCAAGGTCTTCGGTAACGCTGGCGCCCTTCGTGTGGCGGAGAAGGTCTATTACGGCCTTCCGCGTATTATTGGCTGACTCTGTGGTCTGCGAAGCGATAAGACGGTACAAAACGCTAAAGGAAAAAAGATATGTCTAGAACAAACCTGTTGCTGGTTTTGAGAAAGAACGGCAGATATCAAAGAGGCAGTGACTTGTATTACTTCGCTGGAAGTACTTAAAATCTTTTCTGAAGGCCATGTGTACTATTTGCCACCATGAAATGGCAGATGACAGGGGAAAAAATTAAACCAGGAGGCGAAGGAGCGGGCGGTTTATAAGCGTCGATGTTTTCTAGTTCAAGCTTCAAGGCATTGCGGGCGGCTTCAGAGGCTCGAATGCCACGAGCCAGCTCGTCTTGTAGGGACTTGGACGTGTTTCCTAATGGCAACCACAGCAGGATCGAAGTGGATTTAAAAAAATATAAAAAAAACCCGCACCAAAGGAGATTATAGCATCCTTAAAGCCCTTCTGATAGTACTCTGTAAGCTTTTTTACTTCCGGGCTATTCTCTATTCTTCCTGCAGAGACACGATAAAAAAAGGCCGGAGAGAGACACAGTCGTGTAGAGCCTACCAACGGCACTAGCAGTTATTCTCAAAGTCTCGCGAAGGGCAACCACGAGGTCTTTGGCAGCGTTGATTAGCAGCACTTGCGAACTGCTATCGTTAGCGAGCGCTACAATTAAAAGAGGTTGACGTCGGCTTGCAGGAAAATTATTTAAAAAAAAAAACCGGCCGCGTTTTCCTTAACGGCTTTAACAAGAAGCCCGCTTTCCTTTACTGTATCGTTCACGTTGCTGACAATAACCTCTTGGGTGGCGTCAAGAGAATGCACCAATGTCTACGCCGGGGTCACGAGTCAAATTAGCCGGAAGGCCAATAAGACGGGGAACAAAAACCTTGACGGAATTGGCTACTTTCATCATCTCGTTGACAAGTTTTTTTGCATCGCAAGTTTTATTAGCTTCTCCAAAGGAACTATAAAAAAAGTGAATTCAATGATCCAATGAGCACGTGCTTGGGGGCGAGAATAGTAACCCCGCAGAAGCAAAGATCGAGGTTGTAGCAAGGTCGTTGATTAGATAATCGTAGCTATTAACAGCATTGTGGCAGGCATGGACCCCTGTAGTAAAAAGGAAAGTATAGCGTCTATGGGTACGCTCCACCGAGTGAGCGTGGGACCTTTGGCGCTGTGGTGGAGGGCATTCTTAACAGTCGTGATTTCAGTTAAAGACGACCGCACGGACTGCATGAGCGCTGCAGAGGAATAGCAGAAGGGAAATATGGAAAGAAGAACAGGGCGAAGGGGCGGCAACTACCTTTCTTAGCATCGTAGTCGCCAGGATTCTGCTGGAAATTCTTGGCAGCTTGCAGCGTGTTAATCAGAGTGGCGCCCAATGAGGTAAGGCCCGCCTGGCATACTCTCACATGAGGAATAAATACGGCTAGTAATGAGCAAAAACAACTCTGAGCTCCGTTCGGGCCTCCTCACTATCGGCCTTGGCAATGGCCGTCCGCCCCGCCAGACACATGGCTGCATTGAACAAATAAATGAGACCAGCAGAACCCCAGAGCAAAACAAAACACGAAGGGGACCATTAAAACTATCGACAATCTTCAGATCCTGAATGGTAGAAAGCAACCTATCACCAGAGACCTGAGACAGCATTGGCAGGTTTTCGTTCAGAGTACTGACTGTCGATTGGATCGCGTCAAGGCTGGCCATGAATGGCGTGTCGGGGTCCTCAGGTGGGACGGATAGTGATGTGAGCGCCCGTTCAAATTGGGAAACAATAGTCGTAAGAGCGCCGGACTCTCCTACCGCGCCCACAAGACCACGGGTTAAATCTTGGGCGTCTAAGTTGAATTCGTTGAGGGCGACATCGAGCTCGTGGTGGGCTTCATCGCGCTCGCAGCTGTACACCTGCTGACAATTACGTGGTACAAAGCAAGAGTAGTCAGCACAAGTTGAACCTTTGCAGAGCTCTGCACTAATTTTCTGGCACTCTCAGTTAACTTTTTAGTGCGTACGATCAACGTTTTCTTCGTCTCCCGGTCGCTAATTTTAGAAGCAGCGCCGAGACACGAAGCAGTGAGCGGCAGAAAATTGTTGGCAAAGTCTTCATTAAAAAACCAGTCACTACTACAACAGCAGCGCTGCAAAAGTGTACAGGACGCCTACTTATTACGGCCTTTCCAAGATTCTGCTGCTGGCTTAAAGAGGAGAGGCGGATCTCCTCTGCGGCCGCCTCGATCTCCTGAGCCGAGGACAGCATGTTTTCCTGGAAACCTTCAACCGTGTTATCGCCGCGTGTAGGGAGAATATTGGACGCTTCCACGATGACCAAAGCGCCGTCGAGGTCGATTTCGCTCTCCTGGAGGACAGCAACCGCCGCTGCGCACTCCTTCAGACCTACACGTAATGCGCATGAGAGGACCAATGGAAATTGAGAGAAGAATAAACGACCTGGCGCGTTGTCACTAAGACCTCTTATGAGGTTGCTGCAGGCAGAGTTGAGGTTTGAGGCCAGCTGCATGAAAAGATTGCCCTCGTGTACATCTCCAGGATTGGCGGCTAGTGTCTTGGCGGATAGAAGCGCGCTCGACGTTGCGTTGATGAGCGACTTCATAACTTGAGAAACTTGCTGCTGTTTCTCAATGGACTCGGAAGGGAGAACAGCCGCCACGGCAGCAAACTGGGGAGAGCCGGACAAATCGCTGAGGTCTCTGATGCTTGCTATAAATGTGGGTTTGATATGCTTCATATAATTTTATCATAAGAGAATGACTGCACCCAAAAGTTGGTCACAGGCTTCATGGCACGCTTTTCTAGCGGCGGGGTCGGCCGGATAGGAGGCGTAGGTTTTGATCTTCGAAAAAAGCTCATTGTCTTTCACGGCAGACGCAATGGCCTTCCGCGCGCTGATAAAGCCTTGGCCAATAAACGAGTTGCCGTCGTGTAAGCAAGCAGTCAATAAGAAAAAGCACGTACTCTCTTTGACGGCCGCGCTTTGTGCGCTGGCAGCAGCGGTGTTGCACAACGAGCAAAGGTCCTGCGAGGCCGTCTTGAGCTCGGTGGCAGCTGCAAACATAACGCCTAAATAGTTAACAAATAAAAACCAGCGAAGCCTCTGCGGAGTCCACAAAGTAACCACGTACTGGGTTGATTGGTGTTCATCAGCGAATCAACAGCAGCAGTGGCGCTGTTCAGATAATCGGCGACTTTGGTAGCATCAATAATACCCACTTTGGCAGGAGTGGAGTTTGGGTCAGCCACGCCTGTAGGCACAAGTCAATCAGATAGGGATAAATGAAGTTATCAGGGGCGGTACAGAAGGAGACCAATCAAATAGACGGCTTGCGAGGCGGCTTGAATAGCCTCACTCAGTAGTTCAGCGGTGATAGTGGCACTGCTGCTTATGGCATCCACGTTGCCCGCCTTAGAAGCCTTAGTGATTTCTGCCATGCAACCGGACACCCCTGCAAAATAGAGCCAATCAAGTAACAGTAGCTGGAAACGAAACGGAGAAGTAGTGACCTTGAGCATTCGCCCTTACGATGTTCAAGCACTCAAAAAAAGTTCGATCGCTCTGCGGAAAATCACCGCTGCCAATCAAATTGACGAGCCCAGCCACTTGTCTGGCGCTAGCATCGCACTCGCGCACTCCGGGAGCTACAGACAGAATGAGACGCTCGAGTCACTACAAAAGGGGGCAAGACACCCAACCGGAGTTGGAGCACGTGTCCGATAACTTGCCGATGCAGATCTGGAAGTCACGTGTAGCCTCGGCCAGACTGGCCTTAGCCTCTGCGTTGTGTGGCTCAGTCGAGAGTATCTGGAGAGCGTTCAACATCTTCATAGAGCAGTGGCAGAGATCCTTTGTCCCCGTCCACATGGGTATAACGTCATTAGCTAACAAAGCACGTGGAAGACCTTCGAAAGTGCAATGAGCTCCGCCTGTCCGTCTTTCGGAGTCACTTTCATGAGAAGATCGACGGCAGTCATTGCTTCTTTGAACGCCTCGTCAAAATTCCGTGTTGCCTCTGCCAATTGGCTCGAGGTACCTGAGAAGAAATAAGCCAATCAGCAAGAAGCAGAGGGAGCAGTGAGACGCCACCTCTCGACGCAACAGCCAATTGAGCGATAGCATCTAGACAGGCGGAGGAGATCCTGCCGCAATGATTGGCAACTTTAGTTCGCTCGATAGGATCAACGGGGGTCGCGAGTTCCACAACCGCTTTATAAGGGCGCGAAAACTAAGTAACTATTAAAAGAAGCAGACGGGTCAGACACGAAACCTTTATTATAAAGCCTCTGATTGGCCGTGCGTATATTCAAGAGGGCGTCTTCGATATTGCGTTGTCCCGGCAGATGCTAGTGGCTTATTAGCGTCAAAAACATCCACCAATAGCAGCCTGCGTAATACGTGCACAAGGGTCTGCAGCGAGTCTTTGGCTGTTTTGGCAAGTTCCTGCAAGCTTTTTTGCTTCTCTTCGTGACCCGGGTCCGCTGGGAAGGAGAAACGTCAGTGGATTTCTTTAAACCTCCTTAAACCAATAGCAAATACAGACCCGTCAGGGCTTTTGAGGCCTCCACGAGGTGCCAGGACGAATTCAAGACGGCCAGAGAAGCCTCTAGCAACTCCACTTGTCTCTGCTCACCTGTAGGGAAGTAAGTCATTGGATGGAACTTAGAAATGGCGGGCAGGTCATTGAAATTACTAAGCGCTGCAATGCCTTGAACAGATTGGACCATAAGAGTAGAGGACTGTGCAATGTCACGTGCCGAAGAACTATTAGAGATCAGTGTCCACGAGCGCATTCTAAAGAGCACGCGGAAACTACCTGACGTAATTTTCATTTCCCTTCAGGGCGGAACCGCAGAGCTGCGCCATGGAGGACCCCAATGATTTCACTATGGACCCCACTTCCGCTGAGCTGTGCGTCACGTGTTATTAAGTGTACGGAGGAGCATAAAAGCAGAAGACCATGTGTCGACGTCGTCTTGGCCCGGTAGGGGACGCAGGGAGTCGTTGTCCAGAGCGCCTGCACGAAATATTAGCTAAAAGTGAGCCCAAGCCTCGCTAGAAAGTTCATACTCTTCATAGCGGCAACTTTCAGTTCGAGTTCCTTCAAATCGAGCACTGCCGTGTCGAGCTCCAATCGACTGCAAGACTCACCTGCCGCCTCCACCGCCTGCTTTAGCTCTTTGAGCGCCATGGCGGACGCTCTGAATAGAAAAAATACACTCAAGAGTTGAAGGTAACCCAAAAGCATGCGTTAAGCGGTACCGCGAGAAGTTGTCCATTTGCTTGGCCACCGCTTTGTCACCCACCGATGTCGATGCCACTTTGGTAGTGGCCACAAACTTGGCACCAGGCTCAAGGAGGTTCTTTGATTCGTTGATGAAAGTCAATTGACGCTGCGGGTTGTGGGGGTCGTCCGAGTAAGACTTGATAACGGGGGCAAAAAGGCTGATGGCCTCCCGCATGGCATGTGAGTGTTCCGCCATCTGTTTCTTACTGGCATTATTTCTATTGGACGATTGAGCGTTATTGGCGGCGGACACCAACTGTGTTAAGACCTGCGACATATGCATGCATAGTGAACGATCAACATTACCAGTACATGTAACCACGCGGTACCATTGTAGCCTTCTTCACCGCCACTTCCAGCTCTTTAAGGCACTTGCGCTTGTGCGCTTCCATAAGCATGACAACGGCCACGTCGTTTACTTCTTTTTGCGAGACCGGCTCGTGAATGGCTGGAGACAAATATAAGTGATTCACCGAAATACATGCAAAAACACCCAAAACCCTACACTCTGCAGCCTTTTTCATCTGCTGGACAAGCTGGATCAGGCCTTCTCTAGAAGGGTCGTCAGCAAACGCTAGTCATACGCCGGGTAAGGCTAAGTCAGCGCAGAGATAAGCGTAGAGGGCGACCTTGGTCGGTGGAGAGCACGCGGAGGAGATCTTCGATTTTGGACTCCAAAGCCTTCGAGGCGGACGGATCGTTGATGTCCATAATTTCGAGCTGTAATACTCCCTTAGAAGATTTATTTCCAGCGGTGTGACAGTTACCAACGCACTTTATTCTTTACTTCCTTCACCAAGTTTTCGAGTTCAACCTCTTTGTTAGCGTCGATGCCAACGCCAGCATTCTTGGAGCGGCTAACGACGGCGGCTATAGCAAGTTTTACTTTCTGGGCCTCCTTTTCGATAGCCTCATTTGCCTAAGACCACCGGATTTGGGTCTGTCACTGCCCGGCGCTTGCATGGAAGAGCAAAGAAAGAGACAACCTTCTCGTCCAGCACGCTTGTGGCACACAGCGCCACCAGTGACGACACTGTGCCAATCTGGATGCAGAGATAAAAGGGAAAGGCCCCTGGGGAAGAGAAAATCAGTATCAGACCTGCAGCTGAGCGCAGGAATAGAGCGCCTCCTGGCACTGTAGGTTGTTGATAGTGGGAGCCAGCACCGACGTGGCCTTCCCAAAGCTGACCGCCGCGGCTGTCATCTGGTCCGCCTCCATACGAATGGCCTGAAAAAAAGTCAAAGCACTCTTCGAACAGCATGTCAAACCCGGAAGAGAAAGACCTGCTGAGCCTCGCCGTTCTCCACCATGACAGCGCCGGCAATCACTGCCTTGAACAAGCCCTTGGAGGCCTCCACCACCACGCGGGCCAGGTCTTGAAGGGCTTTGACAGTTTGCTCATCGACCTCTACCTCCTTGGGCAAATGAGAGAGGAGCTCGACAACAGCGTGATGCGCCTGATCGGCTTTGTTCGAGGCGGCGGTAGAGTTTCAAGGCTGGTACAAGAAAAAAAAAAAGTTACCCGTTTTATAAAAATCCACCGAAGGGATGCCCGTCTGCTCCTGCTCGCAAAACTGGAAAAGTTTCTGAGCCACTTCAGTGAGATCGCGGGTGGCCTAGAAGGAAGCCAGGGATGAGCTACAAGCCGTAGGCAGCAACGCCTGTATCGTACACTGAGGAGGGCCTCTGAGTCGTTCACATCATCGGTGAGCGCAGCTAGGCGCCTCACATCCTTTGATAGGTTCACCAGACTGCCACTCATAGCGACTACAGAAGACCCCTTTCCTAGCGTGGCTTGTGTATTCTGCTTGCCTACCCGTATTGGCTTTTTAGCGCAAGAAAGAGAGGGGTCGTTGATGAATAGAGTGAGAGTCAACCTGATTGCAACATGAGTATGTTGGCCGTATTGGCCGAGAGCGCTGCAATCTGTGAAGCCACGTTGGCTGCTTTAATGTCCTGATTTTTTTTCTTCCACTGCAGCGCTGCTGGATCATCAGCTAAAAAAAAAGCCAACACCGTCAGCGAAGCGAGCAAAAGCAAAAAGTAAAAAAGGAGCTAACCGAGCATAGGAAGGTCTTCAGGAGAATTCAGCTCGGCTTGAATAGAGTTGATGGAGGCAATTCCGGATTGCACAATACCAGTAAGCTTTCGCGAGGAGTCGAACTGTTCCTGTTCGGCCTCGGACATCTGGCCGTACGGAGCATAACCATAGGCAGGAGTAAGCGCAGAGGAGGATGCAACTGGTCGCATGGGCACATATTGAGCCAATGAAACGTCATGGCAGTGCCAAGAGTTAAAATAATACCAGCACCCCCAGGCAACGCGAGGCGCTTGATAGTACTGCTCGAGGCAACTCCTTGAAGCTGAGGATACTGGAACCCCCTCTGCATTTGGCGGGCTCCCTGCGGTACTTTTTGCAGGTAAGACGGTGTCTGACCTGGCGGGGTGGACATGTGCAGCGGGAATGGGTTAAGGGCTAGATAAGGGCGAGGGCAGTTAGTGACCTTCTACCGACTCGATGCTGGTGAAGCTAACAGCCGTGTCTTCGGGCAAGGCATAGGTCTCCTCGAACTTTTTGCCCACGTGGAATTGGACGTACCCGTAAAGCAACTGCGAGATAGACTCTCTAAGGGACGACTGTGCGGTGAGATGGCCACCCTGCCAGCGCCCGCGAGGAAAGTGCCATACCCTTCGGTGGTCTGCACGGTGTAACGTGGCCGGTCGTCGCCAAAATCCAGCGTGAAATGGTTCGGGCCAGAAGCCCAACGTAGAACCTGCGGAAGTTTCCACGTGACTAAAATGCGCTTAGTTTCCTGGTCCGCTTTCATTATGCTGTCACGGTTGACTCCTAGTAAAACTGGAACAAGTTTTTGTTTTCCCTGCAGGTCGGGAGAAGGAGCATCGCGTAGAGCAACAAATATAATAATAACTACTTTCATGTATTCCTTAACCAAAAAGAATGTCGTTCCGTAAGTTTTTAGTGCTCTGCAGAGCTGTACATAACGATACTTCGCATTGTGGGCCGTAAGCGGGATATTTTTGCGATGCTCATTAAAAATCTTTTTTTCAACGGACTTGTCTTTGGCGTACTCTTGCGGGAGAAACTTTTCCAGGTCCAAAAATCCTGGCTATAAAAAATTAATTAGAGTAAAATTTTGCTCAATAGCAAGATTATTTATATAAACCTTATGAATCTCTGGCTGATGAGGCCCACACTCTACCTGGACTTGCAAGCCTTTTGACAAAAATGAAATCAATTAATGCTAAACTGTATAATAAATAAAGACTTTAACAACGCTGACCAGCAAACTGAATGGCTTCTTCCAGGGAGCATGGATGCTTCCCGCTAAGTATGTCGTCCCTCGCTTGGACATAAATCAGATTAATTAATACTAGGTTGCTAGGATCGAGCTGTTGATCGTGGAAGTAGTATTTCTTTCTAAGAACAACTTTATCATTGGGGTCAACGCCTGAAGCAAGTAAAAATAAGATGTAAAAGTAATTCTACAAAGTGAACTAAAGCTTCTGCCTTGCTCGCGCAGAGTTTTTTGTGGGTCAAGCCAGTTTATCTCATTTTCGGCTTGAATTTTTTTGGCCAACTTTTCTAGTCGAGCCTCTTCTCGTTCTTTTTCCTTTTTTTCTTTTTTAGATTTTTCATAAATTCCTAAAACAAAAAAATTAATAAGCCACTTTGAGCAACAACTAAAGCCAACCCTGAAATTCATCCGTGCACTTAGACATTTGCTCAACCGTAAATCCAAACTCTGAAGGATTTGTTAGGCCTACTTTCTCGCAAACAGTTCTTAATATTTGAACAACTTTTTCAGATTCATCTATCAAAATAACTTTCTCTGATTCGTCCATCAGCCTTACTCGTAGCATACGCGTCTTTTTCTTAAACTCGAGCACATCCTATATAAAAAGTATATTCATTTATATATTTATAGATTCTATAATTCACTGTATTAACAAACTGACTTACTCCACTTTTAAGGTCGTACGACCCAAGTGTACGACCTTCATTAAGCCAAACACTTAAGGAATCGTTTTCTGGGCATAATCTAAAGAGTCCGTGATCCCTCCCAGCCTCTATATTTGCTAAGCCTTTTTTAATATGATTGATGGCATCATAGACCACCATATTATTGTCAAACTTCATAAAGTTAATTGTTAATTAGCAGTCAAAGTTAGTAATCAAAATAAAAGTTACTGCAACCTTTAGGGTTCTTGTCACTGTAGTGATTTCCTCGGAATCAAGTTCGAGCTTCCGCTCTTTAACAACAATTTTTAAAGGAAGAACCATAGTAGTAATAGTATTTCGTATAATTTAAATATTTAAAGAAGCCGGTTACTCTAGCAAAACCTGAAATAATAAGCAAAAGTATTTCGGTGGTTAAGGAAAGATAAATATGCCTTCTAATTGGATAAGTAAAAGATAAAAACGTGATTCGTTGTATGCTAGACATTTTCAACCAAATTAGATTTAAAACTTTGTGGAAAGGCCAAATCAAGTAACCCCTTTGAAACGAAACTGTTGATTATGTATGAAAGGGTATATGCCATGTTACTCAATTTGTAGGGGAAAAAAGGGCTTTTTCTTTAACTATTCATATACTCACAGCCTAATATATATTTTTGTAAAAGATAATTTATTTGCTTCTTCGTCACTACTCAGACGCTAAGCATACCCTATTTTGAGGACTTTCTAATTTTTAGTTGAAAGTTAAAAGATGGAAGTGAAAATAGAAATATATATTGCCCGAGCAATAAACAAAAGTTGATTATAGGCCTATTATTTAAAAAAAGATGATTTGAAAATCAAAATTAATTTTATTAAAGCTTTATTAAATATTATTTTTGCATCTAAATATTGTGCTCCTCTCAAATTTACAAATAAAATCATTAATTTAAGTAGAAGTTTTTGTAAAAAAAAAATTTCATTAAAAAGACAGGCTTGCGCGAAATTTCATTACATGGCAAACAGTAACCTCTGTCTTTTAGTAGGAAGTCTCATCCGCTCCTCTATTAATGGTATCTTAGATACCCGAAAATGGTAATATAACTTTTTAATGCACCCAAAAGTGACAATGGTTAATCATTAAAAACAGTTCAATTATCTGCTCATTTAGTGGCCCCTCTGGTTTTTACCCGTCTATGCACGTGGTTTCCTTTTCATATTATATTTAACCCATACAGTAACATCGGGGGGACTCACAGATCTGGAAATTATTTTGTTTTCTAATTTTTAAATCAGCTAGAAGTTTAAGTTTAGTGTATCCCAATATCTCAGTAAACAATGTGTTCAAAATTTTACGGTATTTTTTAATTAATATGAAAGTAAAAAATTTAAAACTCAAGAAGTCTGAGAGACCTACTGCCACTACTGTCTATATATGAGAATGCGGCTGCCGTAGAGTTAATCAAAGCTTATACATATATATCGCTTTTCTCCTTTTACTTGGGACCCCGCTAGCCTTTATCTTAGTTGTTGCTATTCATAATATTGACATGTATATAAAAGGTAACTAATGTTTTCAATTTGAAGCAAGAGCAAATGTATAGTGGGAATGAGTCTTAATAATATTTTCATTAAGGCCTTAAAAATTCAAATATATATTTTAGTTCTTTAGTTTTTTTGATTTGACAGACTAAAAGAGTTACATTAGTATATGACAAGAAGGTAAACATATTATAGGTAAGTCGAAGAAGTAAAGCAAAAATGTTAGTCTACGACAATTTTAACATTAGAGCACTGATAACACACTCCAGTCTACAAAAAAATAAGTTTATGCATGTGTTCACAGTCGCTATGTAAAGAGATTTTTGATTTATACTTTGTTAATTAAATATAATTAATATTTTTTTAAGCTGATAATCAAAGTTTGTATAGTTCTCCTAACGGTTTTATGCGATAAACTAATAGTATACTTTTCTTTTTTTTTTATGACGTAGAAACAAGTTTATTATAAATAGTTTCCAAGTTTTCAACTGTACTTGAAGAGCTTATATGCAATATGTTTTTTCTTTCTCATTGTTGTAAGAAAATTTTTTTAATGTTTTAAGATCCATGAGTAGTTTTATTTCCGTGAGGGTAGCGAGTAGTTGGTTAGTGCTCCTCAGTATATTTGTGTGGCAAGCAGCGCAATAAATCTGACCCCTTTCAAGAGGAGAAGAAATTAGATTAAGCAGATTTAAGTGCTTTCTAGCACTGACCGTAAAAAATGTTGGTGTTAAAAAAAAATAATACTAGTGATAATTTATTTTTGGGAGGGGAGCAGACTCTCGAATTTAGTGCTTGGGGCCGCCTTTCCTGGTAGTGGTTTTTAGATAATTTTGCACGGACTGGACACTTTCGCTGTTTCAGTCTCTCAAGGCGGTCGTTACACTTTTTAAATTTTTATAAAATAATAAAGTAGCTAGTGCCAAAAATAAGATCTCTATAAAAATCAAATAATTATTACCCTTCGTTATCTACCCTTGGCACTATACTTTTAAACTAGAAAGAGCTTTTTAAAAATTTTACATGTATACTGCACCATAGTGGTTATACTTAAAAGGAGTCCTCCTCTTCATTGACCAACTATATTCATAGCTGACAGTAAAAATTTCCCTTTAAAAAAGATAAGCTTTATATAATGGAATAGCTCTAGAAGGTAGTGTTATTAGGAGAAGAGAAAAGAGAGGGGGGGAAAGGCTTGAAGGTTAACAGGTTATAGTTGATAACTGACAAGTATAAATTAATTTTACAAAGACTTACGTTAATTTATCAATCATATATATTATGCCACAATAGCTCAAATCGTTGAAGCACGAAAGCATTCACAACTAAATGTCAATGATTACAGTGTACATCCTTCCCAAAACAAGTTAGATAATATAAATTGTTTAAGTCTCCAGACTTAGTAAATCTTTAAATTAAATCTTGTGCACTTTTTCTTTAAGAAAAAAAAAGAACAGGATATTTTAAATTCGGCTTTACAAGTACTCATATTGGGGCCTGAAAATAGAAATTGAATCAAAAATATTTACTAAAGATTTTGTACGTACAGTTTTGATAAAATTTTATAACAGATAGCTTGGTGACTTAAACTGAGTTGAGTAGTACACTTAGTAACTATAGATATAGGAAATAAACATATTATAAAGGCTATAACAGGTTTAAATTAAAAAAATTAAATTCTAAATGAAATAGATGTTTTTCAGTAAAGATTAATCTGTTTTTAATGGTAATATGAGAGTTAAAAAACAGTGGAGTAAATATCTAGGCCAAAGTATTGGTTTTTTAACTTTTCATGGCTTCCAAATTTATTATATCATACTAAATTGTATATAAAATATATTAGAAACCAAAGTGGCGCTTATTAAACAAGCTTGGTTAATAACCTAAACTCATTAAGTTAATGTATAATAATTCAAGAATTTACATTCCTTGTAGCAAAACTTAATAGCTTAAATTGTTGTATAAAATCTAAGAGGGCTCACTTAAAAAAAAAAGGTCCAAACTTACCACAGTGCGGTAAACAAAAAGAGGCAAGTTCGGAGGGGCCAGGTTTGTAGCAGTCCAACTAGCAACTTTGCTTTAACTTCGTATTAATAAGAGTTTGAGTTTCTTTTATGTATTATATGAATAGAGAATGTCTTTTTTGCCTCTTTTGCGCCTTCGTTTTCAGCCTAGTAGACCAGTTCATTTTATTCTAAGTTTTTTTTATTTCAGCTATACTCTTTCTTGGTGGTAGGCAGTTAACTTATTTATATTTTAGATTTTATCTTCAGCAAGAATACTTTATAAAAAAATTCCCAACTCAACTACTACTTCTTTGGCAGTACAAGGAAATGCACAGTCGAGAACTGAAGAACAATATAAAGCCTTAGAAAAGTGGAGCAAAACTTATGCTCCAGTTCGCCCTTTACAACCTGGTAGTGGCAATCTACTTTATAATAAAATTGTAGTTTTCTAATTTTAGATTAAATGTATGTATTATCTCCTCTTAGATAGGGAGGCCTGGGTTACTGATTTGCGAGGAAACAATATAGGCATAACTATGCTCCCAGGAAGTGTAATTATATGCTTCATTTTTAATTTTCATTGCACTTAAAACTTTTAGTTGTGTTTCCTACCCAGTTAACCTTCTGTAGTGGCGTACTTTATATAAATTTAGTGTTAGCTTGGCCTCTTTGCAACTTTTTTTATTGCTCGTATTTAATACTTTACCTAAAAGGTATTTTCAGAACCCCCTCGATTATACGTCGTGCAACAAGTTTTAAAATGGCAACTTGCTAATAGAAGAAAGGGGAATGCTTGGACAAAAACGAAAGCGTAATTATATAAAGTGTAGTTTTTTAAAAAATCCCGAGCACTACTGCATCTTGGCGTGCGGCATCTCTAGTGAAGTCAGGGGGACTAATCGAAAGCCCTTTCCTCAGAAAGGAAGGGGAGCGGCCCGACATGGTAGTTTGCGCAATCCGCAGTTTCGTGGAGGTAGGCATCTTTTTTCCCTCCTAAAATTAACGTTGTGTAGGAGTTTGCTTACTCGCATATATGTAGGCGGTGTCGCGCACGGACCGAGAGGAACCAACTGGCACTATACATTATCTAGGAAAGTGCGAGCACTTGGCTACCGAATTGTTCTGAGCGTCAAGATGGGTTTTGTTTACTTAGCCTTTTTTTGAGTTTTTTTTTAACTTCATGGCATAAATTGCTAAAGCACAAGGGAACTTGAGCATCATCGACAAGATCCCTGACTGCGAAGGGAAAACCGGCATGTTCCACTTTCATCTCACGCAGGTGCTCTATATTCCTAAGTTGCTGGTTTTCTGCTTTCTAAATAGTCCGTCGTGACCAAGCGGGGTTGCGGCCCAAAAAGGAGCATCCTTCTCGTAGGAAAAACCGTTACTTCCCTGGCGGAACGGGGCCTCTTCACTCTGCCGTACTGCAAGTTGCTTGCCCTCGAGGGTTGGCCCAACCACGGTTTTCGCTCTATGGAAGTGTCATTCTTGCTTTTTTTACAATAGATTTAAACATGCATGATATACTAAAGTACAAGGAGATTGCAATTGAGCGAGACGCCATAGAATTGCTGGCTAACTATCTTAGTAACGACGGAAAGCGCATAAGAACTTTTTTAAACGATAAAACATAGAGCTTATTTATACTAAGCAAGTCTGTCACCTTTTACAAGCATTAAATACCGTTGTCTTTTTTTTGAAGTTTCTCTCTAACTCTTTCTGCGAGTAGCCCAATGGAGTCGTCCACTTGCTTTAAAAATACTTGCGTGTCCGCTGACAAAAAGCTGCTCTTATTTATTATTTGAGCCGGCTGGGTTGCCGCGTGGGTGCTTGCTGAAATCCAGGTGTAGCCGCTTCTTGGGGAATACTTTTTATTCTGTGCAAGGTTGTCTAAACCCTTCTGGAGAAATGTGGTGATACTCATCTAAATAGAAAACTAAAGGATAAAAACCCTTATAAGGTGGTTAAGGGGTACAAGTAAATTACCAGTCGAGAGGCGGCTACAGAGGCCAAGTCAGGCACACGGTAAATCACCGAATTTTCAATATAGTATAAGGCTTCTGTTATTACTAAGCATAAAATTAAGTTCACTGCCTTCTACGAGAAAAACAAAAAGATTGTGCGTATCAAAGTACATTCGTTCCTCTGCTTACAGTTGTACTGGTATATTACAAAAGCACTGTCACTTCCTGGGCATTGAACAACATCATATTGCACTTTGTCGTCCTCGAACTCAGTAAAGTAACTTCTTAATTCGTCATAAATCACTTCGTTCTTTTTTAAGCTGTAGTCTTTATAATAATGCTTATTAATTTAGCTACTGCTTGAAACTGATAAACTTATTTAATATGAAAAGAAATTAAGTAGTTAAAAAACTATTCTTTGAAAAGCAATTTAAAAAAAAATTCCGAGTTACGCGTAATTAAAAAAAAAGAAAGGGCCTAACAACCACTAAAATAAAAACGTACAACCCACATCGGAGGAAGGAAATGGAATCGTAGTCAAGTTAAAACGAACAGCAATTTCCTCGTTTTTACAATCTTTATCATAAAATTGTGAACCCGAGAAGTATTCCAAAACATTGTAAATATTAAGAGGTTTCTGTAGCACATAAAAAAAATTGCTAAGGAGCTTTAAAGTACATAAGAATTGAAAAATAACCGAGAAAAGTGGATCTACGTAGCACTCTGTTAAAGGCCCCTCATAACTCATTTACTCTTTTTACAAAACTAGAAAAGGCTATGTGCTAGTAGGCCTAATAAATAACTTATTAATACATGGCCAAACAGACCCTAAAAAGTTTAGTTTCGAGTTATATTTTTTAATTGTTAACAAGGTAAAGGTGATGCTCTCTTTATGCTTCAGCCGGCAGTTTGAATGAACTGTTTACTAAATGTGTCATCAAAGAATTTCTTTACCCTCGAGGTTTCAACAATCCATATCTTATTTAGTTTCCAGGTTTTTATTTTTTAAAAGACCGATATAAATAAAGTATAGATAAAAACTAAGAGTATCTGTACAAAAAGCGCGACAAGAATATACCTTACATTGTGTTTATTAGAATAATTGTTAATTTTTGTATTTCTACAATAGACATCTTTACTAAAAATTGAATTAAAAATTTTCACAGAATAACATAAAAAGTTAATGGGCTAAAAGACTTGATAAAAGAACTATATGTTGCTCTTAACTTTTTTCCTGAAGGATAATTTATGTCTGCTGTTGTCTAGAATTTTCTCTCCAGTTATTTAGGTTCTTAAAGAATGCTCGCCCTCTAGGTTTAGGTTTATAACAAACTCTCCTATAGACACATTGATAACACTTTGTTCGGCTTAATAGACCTTAACACTATATTATACTTGCTCTTTTTACAATAAGGCAAAAACTTTTTTTCAGCCCTGGTGACGCCACAAAACAAAAGAACAAAATCTTATTTTATTTATTTTTTTAAATTTTGGCACTGACAGACATACTACGGCCGGTTTTCGTGAAAGACAACCGCTTAATCTGATCCACCTATTCCGTTGGGGTTGGGGCACGAGCGCCCACCAGTGTAGGCTCTTTATAGAGCTATAATAACTGTCCCAAGGGACTGGAAAAGTGGGGGGTATTCGCACAAACTCCTACTCATCTGGCCTAGTGTGCTGGAATACCGCTAAAAACAGTCCCCGGCAGAGGCAGCCTTAGGCACAAGACCCAAGGAGACACCGGCCAGTCAGGTTTCTCTTATTAAAAGGTCTCAAATTCTGCTTAATCTAATTATGTTGCGGTTTACATTGTATGACAGGGGTTTAGTCAGGTAAATTAGATGGTCACTGGAACACGGAGGCAACCAAGTTAATCTTAAGGCCTCCTTTAATACTTGTAGAACTTGTATCGGTAGTTACTTCTTTAATAAACAGCGATTAGAATGAGCTAAAAAGTTTTCTTAATACTCTTTGGCTGCATGTTAAAATAATTGCGGTAGGGTTTCAATACTTAAGTCTCAATAAAGGTTATAGCTTGGAACAACTGATAGAGTAATTAAAGTAGGTTTCAGTATATATTATTGTATAACTTGGAGTGGCCGAAAATGGGCAGGGGAAAATATTACCACGCCACAGAGGCGTAAAAGGGAATTACTTCCGGTAATTTATGCTTTCACGTAAAACCATGGAAGGAATGTTTATTTTTAAGGATGGTGTGTTACTAGTGTTGTCGCTGGTGGTGGCTTTACCGTTATTTTTAATTATCAATATTTTTGTTACTGCTTTTAGTAATAGAGGTATAACTATTAATATTATTACTATGATACTCGCCACTATGGTAAATAGTATTATACTTATTACTACTTTTCTGTTACTATATTTGTTATTGCAGTCACTATTTTTATAATAGTTAATACAATACTATTAGTAGTGATATCATACCTATTATCGATGATGGCAACTTCGACTTTATCTAGGGGCATGCGCGCTGAAAACCCTTTAGAATTAGGATTTTCTAAAGCTAAAGAACCTCCGTTTCGCTTTTTCAAAGCATTAAACCGGATTTGTTTATTTTACTTTCAAGTTTGGATATATTTCTGTTTGCAAAATCTAATTTTGTTAATTCTATAACTTATTATCTCGAGGAGAGGGGTTGCTTGGGGCGGTATAAATCTGTAATGTGCTATTCCCAATTATTAGGTTAAAATGAATATATATACCCTGATTTAAAAAAAAATTTTTTTAAAGAATAAATCAACTGGGTAAAATTAATTTAAACGCAAACGCAGACCCTTGGTTGAATGGATTCTATCTTATTTAACTACACACTGCAAGTGAATTATACCATCAATAAGAAAAATTGCCGAGCCAAGTAAAGTTACGATTAAAGACTAACATCAATCTTAAAAATGTGTAGTTTCTTTATTATAGTCAAATTGTAGGTTTTCTTTTAATATTAATTATAATAAACAACCTTACTAACAATTATTCCAACAAAGAACGCCCTCGCCCCTAATTTTTTGGTGGAATACTTAAAACTTTACCTGCAGGTACTTAAACCTTTAAATCCTCCATAAGTTTACAGGGATACACGAAGTACACATCTAAGGACTTAAGCAAAAAGCGCAGACAAAAATATACGCGACTTGCTCTATTGTAAAAGAAATTACTTTGATATACATATATAAGCGGAACAAGAATTTAATTTATAAACATAAATATATTCAAATTATTGCAAGTTGCGTAAATAACTGTGAGCTGGGTTTTTTCTAAACATTTTCATCGACGGAAATTTATGTTATTACCGGCCATACTATTTAAGTACCACAAGAAAAGTGAAGTTTGAAATGAAAAAAGGGAATGTAAAAAAAAACTGTACTATTAAAAAAGATAATATCACGTGTTAGTTTTACATAAATTTGTAAACTAACATTACGGTTGACCGCACCAATGAATGTGTTATAGTCATAAAAAGTCTACCCCTTGTACCTAATTTGGCACACGAGCAATTTTGTTTCTCGGATAAATATCTAGCAGGCCTCCATTCTCGTGGGAGGATTTTAGGTTTTGTTATACCCTTTATAATAAGGCACTTTATTACTTTGGTTCTTAACTGATCTGCTTCTGTTCTCTTTAACTCTCGGTTGTTTCCTATTTGTTCTTATAGTTTTAATTTAATATAATCGCTGTTTTCATATTTTCTGGTTATTATTATAAGTTTTAGATATTTTATCATGTTAACAATTCTTTGAATCCCTATTACTTTAATCGGCTGTTACTTTCAGGCTTTATCTCCGTAGAAGTTATAATCTTTACTTTGGTTGTAACAGAATGTTTCATACAAAAACTGGGTTTAGTAATAACAATGTTTGCTAGGGAAAGAACCATAAAATACTTCCGTCTTATAAATTATAAAAAATAAACATTTAACTTTTATTATTTTAGTTTGTGGATTTAAGGGAGAAACCTATGACAAACTTCTTACTTCAAAACAAGATCGTTTATAATCTTTGAGGTATTTCTGTTATTAGTTTTTTTCACAGGTGACAAAGTGATTAGCCCACTGCGGTTTTACTTTTCGATTCTATTGTTACTTTCAAAGTAATTTACTGTATACACACAGCTTCTCTTAAAAAAAAGATAATGCTAGATTTCGAAGATTTAGTGACTAGGTTTTTTGTAATAATTTATTTGAATCTGATAAATAAAAATTTGAGGTGGTACAAAAAACAAACTAAACCACAAAAATCAAAAATTGCCTAATATAAAAGAAATAACAAGCCAGAATATTAACTGAGAAAAACAATTTCTCAAACCCAAAAGTTTCCTAAATAATTACAAAAACATCATTGACTGAGATCTCGAAGTTCATTGGTCGGGGCAGTACTGTGAATCTAGTATTCTAGAGAGTAACCAACTAACCTTTCTTAGCATTCTTTTCATATAGTTCTGTTAGATTCTCAAAGTTGCCAATTACAGACTTTCAGTGACTGGCTTTACACTACTTATACCTTTACCGAAGAATTTCTATTATAAGAAGTATAAACTTTTTTTTTTCATTATTCTAAAGTAATTAATCTTTGAAAATAAAAGTCTGTTTGTATAAAAAATGCGATAATTTAATTTACAATTAAATACTAATAAAAGCAACCTTTAAGCTATGCAGAAGATGGAGTTTATTAAAAGTTTTAATACACAAAGTAAGCATACGTTACGAAGTGGGTGTTTAATAAGTAGAAGACTATCTTAACATTAACCAAATAATTTTTATTATCTATTTCTTTTTAATGATTTATAGTATAATAACAAAATAAAATAAATTGAATTATAATTTTCTTAGTATCAGGAAAATATACTATTATATATTGGTGTTTTAAGTTATTAACATTCGCAAATAATTTCGTTCTAATTTTTTTTAATTAATGCCTTATCTCTTTCAATATAGCGGTCTATTAAACGAAAAGCTATAGTTTTTATAATCCAAAAATAATCAGGATTTACTATAAATCCTAATTCACAATAGTCCTATTATATGTTAACAATTAAAAATAAAAAGGTTTTATACACAACTTAACAGTTTATAGTATAAACGCACGTTACCAATTATATGATTTAATTTTTTGGGTAAAGCCTATTATAAATTCTTGTAAATTAACTTACTATAGGCGCAGAACATTGCTTCTAAATAAAATTAAAGTATGCAAGTAAACTTGAAGTGACAAGATCATAAAAGTGGTTGCTCACCTCTAGTGAGTGTTAAGTAATATATAAATAAGTGATTTATATAGAATACACAAAAATACATATAACTTTGGTGCTTGTCTTTTATGATGTCCTCGACTCCTTATAGAGTCTCGCGTCCTTCGCAAGATCTAAGAAAACAGTTGTGATAATAGTTTATAGTCTTGTCAAGATTAAAAAGGTGTTAAACGGAGGTACATGAGTTTTCAATCATTATAGAATACTTAACGCAACTATCCTTTACGAAATTAGGATATAATGGTTTGTGTTTAACCTAAAAAACATTAAAACGTTTTATAATTTTAGATAAGATAATTAGAAGTCTAAAAGGCCTTATATAAGATGCAAACACAGATTCTATAATACTGAACCCATGTTCTTTTCCAAAACCTTTATCCAGATTATATCAAAGTGTATATGAGATTGATGACGGAAAAAAAAAATACTAGTAAGCCATAATAGCATGACCAAATCTTATTTTGAATTAATATCCTAGTAATAATGATATTATGGATAACATTAATCCTAAACACTTAAGGTAATTCTATAATAATATTTAAAAATTTTTTTT